TTAAATCTGGGATTTTGGGGTGAAATTGGGGATTTGGGTGCCAAAATGAGAATTTTTGGAGTCGCAATGGGAATTTTGGATGCTGCAATGGAATTTTTAGAGCCACAATGTGAATTTTTGGGGCCAAAATGTGAATTTTTGGGGCTGAAATGTCCAATTAAATCTGGGATTTTGGGGCTGAAATGTGGGATTTTGGTGCCAAAATGGGAATTTTGGGTGCTGAAATGCAAATTTTTGGAGGCACAATGGGGATTGTTGATGCCAAAATGTGAATTTTCAGTGCAACAATGGGAATTTTTGCTGCTGAATGTGAATTTTTGGTGCTGCAATGGAAATTTTTGAGGTGAACCAGAGGATTTTGGTGCTGAAATGTGAATTTTTGGGGGCTGCAATGGGAATTTTTGAGGCCAAAATGTGAATTTTTGCTGCTGCAATGTGAATTTCTGATAATGAATGGGAATTTTTGATTGCCGAAATGGGAATTTTTGGGGCTGAAATGGGAACTTTTGGGCTGAAATGGGAATTTTCGATGCTGAAATGGGAATTTTCAATGCTGAAATGGGAATTTTCAATGCTGAAATGGGAATTTTTGATACCAAATTGTGAATTTTAGGGCTAAACCAGAGGATTTTGGGCTGAAATGGGAATTTTGGGCTGAACCAGAGGATTTTGGGGCCAAAACTTGGGATTTTGGGATTTTGGGGCTGCAATGTGGGATTAAATCTGGTGCTTTGGGGCTGACATGAGGAATTTTGGGGTGAAATGAGGGATTTGGGGTGAAATGTGGGATTTTGGGGTGAAATGTGGGGTTTTGGGGTGAAATGTGAGATTTTAAGGCTGCAATGTGAAATTTTGGTACCGAAATGGGAATTTTTGCTGCCAAAATTTGAATTTTTCCTTCTGAAATTTGAATTTTTGCTGCTGCAATGGGAATTTTTGGTGCCAAAATGGGAATTTCTGACACTGAATGTAAATTTCTGATAGCAAGTGTGAATTTTTTGCTGCCAAAATTGAGGATTTTCAAGGCTGCAATGGGAATTTTTGTTCCTAAATGTGAATTTTGCTGCTGCAATCTGAATTCCTGATACCGAATGGGAATTTTTTGCTGCCAAAATTTGAAGTTTTGTTTCTGAAATGTGAATTTTTCACTGCTGTAAATCTGAATTCCTGATACCAAATGGGAATTTCTGATACCAAATGGGAATTTCTGATACCAAATGTGAATTTTGGGTTCTGCAATGTGAATTTTCGTTCCTAAATGTGAATTACTGCTGCTGCACTGTGAATTTTTGTTCCTCACTGTGAATTTCCCTTCCTCAATGTGAATTTTTGTTCCTCAATGTGAATTTTTTGCTGCTGCAATGTGAAATTTCATTCCTAAATGTGAATTTCCCTTCCTCAATGTGAATTTCCATTCCCCAATGTGAATTTTGCTTGCTCAATATGAATTTCCCTCCCTCACTGTGCATTATTTCCCTCCCTCACTGTGCATTATTCCCATCCCTCACTGTGCATTATTCCAATCCCTCACTGTGCATTATTTCCCTCCCTCACTGTGCATTATTCCCATCCCTCACTGTGCATTATTCCAATCCCTCACTGTGCATTATTTCCCTCCCTCACTGTGCATTATTTCCATTCCCCAATGTTCATTTCCCCCCTCTCTGTGCATTATTCCCATCCCCAATATGAATTATTCCCATCCCCACTGTGCATTATCCCCTTCCCCCTGTGCATTATTTCCATCCCTCACTGTGCATTATTCCCTCCCTCACTGTGCATTATTCCCATTCCCCCTGTGCATTATTCCCATCCCCATTGTTCATTATTTCCCCCCTCACTGTGCATTATTCCATTCCCCACTGTTCATTATTCCCCTCCCCACTGTTCATTATTCCATCCCCAATATGAATTATTCCCATCCCCAATGTTCATTATTCCCTCCCCACTGTTCATTTCCCTCCCTCACTGTGCATTATTCCCATCCCTAATGTGCATTATTTCCCCTCTCACTGTGCATTATTTCCATCCCCGATATGAATTATTCCATTCCCCACTGTTCATTATTTCCCTCCCTCACTGTGCATTATTTCCATTCCCCAATATGAATTCCCTCCCTCTCTGTGCATTATTCCCATCCCACACTGTGCATTATTTCCATTCCCCAATATGAATTCCCTCCCTCTCTGTGCATTATTTCCCCCCCTCACTGTGCATTATTCCCCTCCCTCACGGTGGCATTATTCCCATCCCTCTCTGTGCATTATTCCCATCCCTCACTGTGCATTATTTCCCCCCCTCTCTGTGCATTTTCCCATCCCTCACGGTGCATTATTCCCATCCCTCACTGTGCATTATTTCCTTCCCCAATATGAATTCCCTCCCTCACTGTGCATTATTTACCCTCTCACTGTGCATTATTCCCATCCCTCTCTGTGCATTATTTCCATTCTCCAATGTGCATTTCCATCCCCAATATGAATTGTTTCCATCCCTCACTGTGCATTATTTCCCCCCTCACTGTGCATTATTCCCTTCCCTCACTGTGCATTATTTCCCTCCCTCACTGTGCATTATTTCCATTCCCCAATGTTCATTTCCCCCTCTCTGTGCATTATTCCCATCCCCAATATGAATTTCCCCCCTCACTGTGAATTTCATTCCCCAGTGTTCATTTCCACCCCTCACTGTGAATTATTTCCATTCCCCAATATGAATTTCCCCCCTCACTGTGCATTATTTCCTTTCCCCAATGTTCATTATTCCCATCCCCACTGTTCATTCCCCCCTCACTGTGCATTATTCCCATCCCCAATATGAATTATTTCCATCCCCAATGTTCATTATTTCCATCTCCAATATGAATTATTCCTCTCCCCAATATGAATTATTCCCCTCCCCCATGTTCATTATTCCCCTCCCCCATGTTCATTATACCCATTCCCACTCTTCATTATTCCTATTCCTCACTGTGCATTATTCCCATCCCCACTGTTCATTATTCCCATTCCCCCATGTTTATTATTTCCCTCCCCCCTTTGCATTATTCCCCCCCCACTGTGCATTATTTCCCTCCCTCACCGTGCATTATTCCCATCCCCAATGTGCATTATTCCCCCCCCACTGTGCATTATTTCCCTCCCTCACTGTGCATTATTCCCATCCCCACTGTTCATTATTCCCTCCCCACTGTTCATTATTCCCTCCCCACTGTTCATTATTCCCCTCCCCACTGTTCATGTTCATTATTCCCTCCCCAATGTTCATTATCCATCCCCACTGTTCATTTCCCCCTCACTGTGCATTATTTTCCATCCCTCACTGTGCATTATTTCCCTCCCTCTCTGTGCATTATTCCATCCCCAATATGAATTTCCCCCCTCACTGTGAATTATTTCCATTCCCCCCATGTTCATTTCCATTCCCCAATATGAATTATTCCCATCCCCACTGTTCATTATTCCCATCCCCAATATGAATTATTCCCATCCCCACTGTTCATTATTCTCATCCCCAATATGAATTATTCCCATCCCCACTGTTCATTCCCTCCTCACTGTGCATTATTTCCCTCCCTCACTGTGCATTATTCCCATCCCTCACTGTGCATTATTTCCCTCCCTCACTGTGCATTATTCCCATCCCTCTGTGCATTATTCCCATCCCTCACTGTGCATTATTCCCATCCCTCTGTGCATTATTCCCATCCCTCACTGTGCATTATTCCCATCCCTCTGTGCATTATTCCCCTCCCTCACTGTGCATTATTCTCATCCCCACTGTGCATTATTTCCCCCCTCACTGTGCATTATCCCCTCCCCCCTGTGCATTATTCCCCTCTCTGTGCATTATTCCCATCCCCAATATGAATTATTCCCATCCCCACTGTTCATTATTCCCATCCCCAATATGATTTCCCCTCACTGTGCATTATTCCCATCCCCACTGTTCATTATTCCCATCCCCCTGTGCATTATTTCCCCCCTCACTGTGCATTATTCCCATTCCCCCTGTACATTATTCCCCTCCCCACCGTTCATTATTCCCATCCCCAATGTGCATTATCCCATCCCCAATATGAATTTCCCCCCTCTCTGTGCATTATTCCCCTCTCTGTGCATTATTCCCATCCCCAATATGAATTTCCCCCCTCTCTGTGCATTATTCCCCTCTCTGTGCATTATTCCCATCCCCAATATGAATTTTCCCCCCTCACTGTGCATTATTCCCATCCCCAATATGAATTATTCCCCTCACTGTGCATTATTCCCATCCCCAATATGAATTTCCTCCCTCTCTGTGCATTATTCCCCTCTCTGTGCATTATTCCCATCCCCAATATGAATTATTCCCCTCCCCCCTGTTCATTATTCCCATCCCCAATATGAATTTCCCCCCTCTCTGTGCATTATTTCCATTCCCCAATATGAATTATTCCATCCCCCCCGTTCATTATTCCCATCCCCAATATGAATTCCCCTCCCCCCTGTGCATTATTCCCATCCCCAGTATGAATTCCCCCCTCTCTGTTCATTATCCCCTTCCCCCTGTGCATTATTCCCATCCCCAATATGAATTTTCCCCCTCTCTGTTCATTATCCCCTTCCCCCTGTGCATCATTCCCCTCTCTGTGCATTATTCCCCTCCCCCCTGTTCATTATTCCCATCCCCAATATGAATTTCCCCCCTCACTGTGCGTTATTCCCCTCCCCCCCCGTGCATTATTCCCATCCCCAGTATGAATTTCCCCCTCTCTGTGCGTTATTCCCAACCCCCCTGTGCATTATTCCCATCCCCAATACGATTCCCCCCTCACTGTGCATTATTCCCCCTCCCCCCCTGTGCATTATTCCCCTCTCTGTTCATTATTCCCATCCCCAGTATGAATTCCCCCCTCACTGTGTGTTATTCCCCTCACTGTGCATTATTCCCCTCTCTGTTCATTATTCCCACCCCAGTATGAATTCCCCCTCTCCGTTCCCTCTTGCCCAGGTAGGGCCATGGCGTCCCCGCAGGGGCCGCAGCTGCAGCCGGAGCCGTCCCGGGAGGGCCCCGCGGGGTCCCCGGGGGCGGAGCCCGAGACGCTGAGCCCGGACGAGCAGGAGCTGCTGGCCAAGCTGGAGGAGCAGAACCGGTGAGCAAGGAACGGGATTGGATGGGTTCTGGTCTGGATTTGGGGAAAAAATGGGATTAAAATTGATCTCATGGGGGTTTGGGGTAATATCTCCATTTTTGGGCTATTGGATTTCTGGCCAAGCTGGAGGAGCAGAACCGGTGAGGAATGACCGGGATTGGATGGGATTGTGTCCTTGATTTGGGAAAAAAATGGGATTAAAATCGATCTCATGTGGGTTTGGGACAATATCTCCATTTTTGGGGTAATATCTCCATTTTTGGGGGTAATATCTCCATTTTTGGGCTATTGGAGTTTTGGCCAAGCTGGAGGAGCAGAACAGGTGAGCAAGGAACGGGATTGGATGGGGTTGTGTCATTGATTGGGGAAAAAATGGATTAAAATCGATCTCATGTGGGTTTGGGACAATATCTCCAGTTTTGGGGTAATATCTCCATTTTTGGGGTAATATCTCCATTTTTGGGGTAATATCTCCATGTTTGGGCTATTGGAGTTCTGGCCAAGCTGGAGGAGCAGAACCGGTGAGGAATGGCCGGATTGGATGGGATTGTGTCATTGATTTGGGAAAAAATGGGATTAAAATCGATCTCATGTGGGTTTGGGACAATATCTCCAGTTTTGGGGTAATATCTCCATTTTTGGGGTAATATCTCCATTTTTGGGGTAATATCTCCATTTTTGGGCTATTGGAGTTCTGGCCAAGCTGGAGGAGCAGAACCGGTGAGGAATGACCCGGATTGGATGGGATTCTGTCCTTGATTTGGGAAAAAAATGGGATTAAAATTGATCTCATGTGGGTTTGGGGCAATGGCTCCATTTTTGGGGGCATTTTGGGGGAGAAATATCTCCATTTTTGGGGGCATTTTGGGGAAAATATCCCATTTTTGGGGTCATTTTGGGGACAATATTTTCATTTTTGGGGTCATTTTGGGATAATATCTCCATTTTTGGGGTCATTTTGGGATAATATCTCCATTTTTGGGGAAATATCTCCAATTTTGGGTAATTTTGGGGGGTAATATTTCCATTTTTGGGGTAATATCTCCATTTTTGGGGTAATATCTCCATTTTTTGGGTAATAGCTCATTTTTGGGGTAATATCTCAATTTTTGGGCTATTGGAGTTTTGGCCAAGCTGGAGGAGCAGAACCAGTGAGGAATGGGCGGGATTGGATGGGGTTGTGTCATTGATTGGGGCAAAAATGGGATTAAAATTCATTTGGTGAAAATCTTCATGGTTAGGGAAAATAGCTCCAGTTTTGGGGTAATTTTGGGGAAAATATTCCCATTTTTGGGGTCATTTTTGGGGTAATATCTCCATTTTTGGGGTCCATTTGGGGGAAATATTCCCATTTTTGGAGTAATTTTGAGGAAAATATCTCCATTTTTGAGGGAAATATCTCCATTTTTGGGGTCATTTTGGGGGAATATCTCCATTTTTTGGAACAATATTTCCATTTTTGGGGTAATTTTGGGGGTAGTATCTCCATTTTTTGGGGTAATATCTCCATTTTTGGGGTAATATCTCCATTTTTTGGGGTCATTTTGGGACAATATCTCCATTTATTGGTTGTCATTTTGGGGACAATATCTCCATTTTTGGGGTCATTTTGGGGGAAATATTTCCATTTTTTGAGTCATTTTGGGGACAATATCTCCATTTTTGGTGTCATTTTGGGGACAATATCTCCATTTTTGGGGTCATTTTGGGGGAAATATTTCCATTTTTTGAGTCATTTTGGGGACAATATCTCCATTTTTGTGTCATTTTGGGGACAATATCTCCATTTTTGGGGTCGTTTTGGGATAATGTCTCCATTTTTGGGTCAATTTTGGGTCAGTTTGGGGTCACTTTTGGGTCAATTTTGGGTCAGTTTGGGGTCAATTTTTTGGGTCAGTTTTGGGTCAATTTTGGGTCAATTTTGGGTCAGTTTGGGGTCAATTTTTTGGGTCAGTTTTGGGTCAATTTTGGGTCAATTTTGGGTCAATTTTGGGTCACTCTCTCCAGGTCAGCTTTGGGTCACTCCCACCTCCTTTGGGCACCTTTTGGGGTCACTTTTGGGGTCACTTTTGGGTCACTTTTGGGGTCACTTTTGGGTCACTTTTGGGGTCACTTTTGGGTCCCTCCCACCTCCTCTGAGGGTGTTTTGTGTCACTCCCACCTGCCCTGAGCACATTTTGGGTCACTTTTGGGTCACTTTTGGGTCACTTTTGGGGTCAATTTTGGGTCACTCTTTCCAGGTCAGCTTTGGGTCACTCCCCCCTCCTTTGGGCCCATTTTGGGTCACTTTTGGGTCACTCCCATCTGCTCTGAGGACGTTTTGTGTCACTCCCACCTCCTTTGGGCCCATCTTGTGCCCGTTTTGTGCCCATTTTGTGCCCATTTTGTGCCCGTTTTTGGTGATTTCTGGGCTGATTTATCCCCCCAGGCTGCTGGAGGCCGACTCCAAGTCAATGCATTCTGTGAATGGCTCCCGGCGCAACAGCGGCTCCTCCTCCTTGTGTCACTCCCACCTCCTCTGTGCCCATCTTGTGCCCGTTTTTTACCCATTTTGTGCCCATCTTGTGCCCATCTTGTGCCCGATTTTGGTGATTTCTGGGCTGATTTATCCCCCCAGGCTGCTGGAGGCCGACTCCAAGTCAATGCGCTCTGTGAACGGCTCCCGGTGGCTCCTTGCTGGTCTCCAACTCCTTGTGTCACTCCCACCTTGTCTGTGCCCCTTTTATGCCCATTTTGTGCCTGTTTTGTGCCCATTTTTGGTGATTTTTGGGCTGATTTATCCCCCCAGGCTGCTGGAGGCCGACTCCAAGTCGATGCGCTCGGTGAACGGCTCCCGGCGCAACAGCGGCTCCTCGCTGGTCTCCAGCTCCTTGTGTCACTCCCACCTCCTCTCTGCCCCTTTTATGCCCATTTTGTGCCCATTTTGTGCCCGTTTTTGGTGATTTCTGCCCGAATTGTCTCTCCCAGGTTGCTGGAGGCCGACTCCAAGTCCCTGCGCTCAGTGAACGGCTCCCGGCGCAACAGCGGCTCCTCCTCCTTGTGTCACTCCCACCTCGTCTGTGCCCCTTTTGTGCCCGTTTTTTGCCCGTTTTCTGCCCGTTTTTGGTGATTTCTGCCCGATTTATCCCCCCCAGGTTGCTGGAGGCCGACTCCAAGTCCATGCGCTCGGTGAACGGCTCCCGGCGCAACAGCGGCTCCTCCCTCCTTGTGTCACTCCCACCTCCTCTGGGCCCCATTTTGTGCCCATCTTGTACCCATTTTGTGCCCGTTTTCTGCCTGTTTTTGGTGATTTCTGCCCGATTTATCCCCCCAGGCTGCTGGAGGCCGACTCCAATCCCTGCGCTCTGTGAACAGCTCTTGGTGGCTCCTTGCTGGTCTCCAGCTCCTTGTGTCACTCCCACCTCCTCTGTGCCCCTTTTATGCCCCTTTTGTGCCCCTTTTGTGCCCATTTTGTGCCCATTTTTGGTGATTTCTGGGCTGTTTTTCCCCCCAGGCTGCTGGAGGCCGACTCCAAGTCCCTGCGCTCTGTGAACGGCTCCTGGCGCAACAGCGGCTCCTCGATAGTGTCCAACTCCTTGGGTCACTCCCACCTCCTCTGGGCCCATTTTGTGCCCATTTTGTGCCCATTTTTTGCCCATTTTGTGCCCATTTTGTGCCCATTTTTTGCCCATCTTGTGCCCATTTTGTGCCCGTTTTTGGTGATTTCTGCCCGGTTTTCCCCCCCAGGCTGCTGGAGGCCGACTCCAAGTCCCTGCGCTCGGTGAACGGCTCCCGGTGGCTCCTTGCTGGTCTCCAGCTCCTTGTGTCACTCCCACCTCGTCTGTGCCCCTTTTATGCCCATTTTGTGCCCGTTTTTTACCCATTTTGTGCCCATTTTTGGTGATTTCTGGGCTGTTTTTTCCCCTCAGGCTGCTGGAGGCCGACTCCAAGCCCCTGCGTTCTGTGAACGGCTCTTGGTGGCTCCTCGCTGGTCTCCAGCTCCTTGTGTCACTCCCACCTCCTCTGTGCCCATTTTGTGCCCATTTTTTGCCCGTTTTTTGGCCCATTTTGTGCCCATTTTTGGTCATTTCTGGGCTGTTTTTTCCCCCCAGGCTGCTGGAGGCCGACTCCAAGTCGATGCGCTCGGTGAACGGCTCCCGGCACAGGAGCAGCTCCTCCTCCTTGTGTCACTCCCACCTCCTCTGTGCCCATTTTGTGCCCATTTTTTTCCCGTTTTTTACCCATTTTGTGCCCATTTTTTTCCCATTTTTTGCCCATTTTCTGCCCATTTTTGGTGATTTCTGCCCGAATTGTCTCCCCCAGGCTGCTGGAGGCCGACTCCAAGTTGATGCGCTCGGTGAACGGCTCCCGGCGCAGGAGCGGCTCCTCGCTGGTCTCCAGCTCCTTGTGTCACTCCCACCTCCTCTATGCCCATTTTTTGCCCATTTTCTGCCCATTTTCTGCCCATTTTCTGCCCGTTTTTGGTGATTTCTGCCCGGTTTTTCCCCCCAGGCTGCTGGAGGCCGACTCCAAGTCCATGCGCTCGGTGAACGGCTCCCGGCGCAACAGCGGCTCCTCCTCCTTGTGTCACTCCCACCTCCTCTGTGCCCATTTTGTGCCCATTTTTTGCCCATTTTGTGCCCATTTTGTGCCCGTTTTTGGTGATTTCTGCCCGAATTGTCTCTCCCAGGCTGCTGGAGGCCGACTCCAAGTCGATGCGCTCGGTGAACGGCTCCCGGCACAGGAGCAGCTCCTCCTTCTTGTGTCTCTCGCACCTCCTCTGTGCCCATTTTCTGCCCATTTTCTGCCCATTTTCTGCCCGTTTTTGGTGATTTCTGCCCGATTTATCCCCCCAGGCTGCTGGAGGCCGACTCCAAGTCCCTGCGCTCGGTGAACGGCTCCCGGCGCAACAGCGGCTCCTCCCTCCTTGTGTCACTCCCACCTCCTCTGTGCCAATTTTGTGCCAATTTTTTGCCCATTTTGTGCCCATCGTGTGCCAGTTTTTGGTCATTTCTGGGCTGTTTTTACCCCCAGGCTGCTGGAGGCCGACTCCAAGTCCCTGCACTCTGTGAACGGCTCTTGGTGGCTCCTTGCTGGTTTCCAGCTCCTTGTGTCACTCCCACCTGCTCTGTACCCATTTTGTGCCCATTTTTTGCTCATTTTGTGCCCCTTTTGTGCCCATTTTGTGCCTGTTTTTGGTGATTTCTGCCCGATTTATCCCCCCAGGCTGCTGGAGGCCGACTCCAAGTCCCTGCGCTCTGTGAACAGCTCTTGGTGGCTCCTCGCTGGTCTCCAGCTCCTTGTGTCACTCCCACCTCCTCTGTGCCCGTTTTGTGCCCATTTTGTGCCCATTTTGTGCCCCTTTTGTACCCATTTTGTACCCATTTTGTGCCCATTTTGTGCCCATTTTTGGTGATTTCTGGGCTGTTTTTTCCCCCCCAGGTTGCTGGAGGCCGACTCCAAGTTGATGCGCTCGGTGAACGGCTCCCGGCGCAACAGCGGCTCCTCCTCCTTGTGTCACTCCCACCTCCTCTGGGCCCATTTTGTGCCCATTTTGTGCCCATTTCGTGCCCATTTCGTGCCCGTTTTTGGTGATTTCTGCCCGATTTATCCCCCCAGGCTGCTGGAGGCCGACTCCAAGTCGATGCGCTCGGTGAACGGCTCCCGGCGCAACAGCGGCTCCTCGCTGGTCTCCAGCTCCTCGGCCTCGTCCAACCTGAGCCACCTGGAGGAGGACACCTGGATCCTCTGGGGCCGCATCGTCAACGAGTGGGACGAGTGGAGGAGGAAGAAGGAGAAGCTGCTCAAGGTGGGTGGGGCTGGAATGCTCCAATTCCTTGGGATTTGGGATGAAATTGTCCAATTCCTTCAGTTTTGGGCTGGAATTCTCCAATTCCTTGTGTTTTGGGGTGGGTTTATCCAATTCCTTGGGTTTTGGGGTGGAATTCTCCAATTCCTTGGGTTTTGGGGTGGAATTCTCCAATTCCTTGGGATTTGGGGTGGAATTCTCCAATTCCTTGGGTTTTGGGCTGGAATTCTCCAATTCCTTTTCTGAAATTCCTTTTTTAGGTTTTGGGGTGGAAATTCTCCAATTCCTTGGGTTTTGGGGTGAAAATTCTCAAATTCTTTGGGTTTTGGGGTGGAATTGTCCAATTCCTTGGGTTTTGGGTTGGAATTCTCAAATTCCTTGGGTTTTAGCGTGGAATTCTCCAATTCCTTGGGATTTGGGGTGGAATTGTCCAATTCCTTGGGTTTTGGAGTGGAATTGTCCAATTCCTTGGGTTTTGGGGTGGATTTGTCCAATTCCTTGGGTTTTAGCGTGGAATTCTCCAATTCCTTGGATTTTGGGCTGGAATTCTCCAATTCCTTGGGATTTGGGGTGGAATTCTCCAATTCCTTGGGTTTTGGGCTGGAATCCTCCAGTTCCTTGGGTTTTGGGGTGAAATTCTCCAATTCCTTGGGATTTGGGCTGGAATTCTCCAATTCCTTGGGTTTTGGGGTGAAATTCTCCAATTCTTTGGGTTTTGGGGTGGAATTGTCCAATTCCTTGGGATTTGGGGTGGAATTCTCCAGTTCCTCGGGTTTTGGGGTGGGATTGTCCAATTCCTTGGGTTTTGGGCTGGAATTCTCCAATTCCTTGGGATTTGGGCTGGAATTCTCCAATTCCTTGGGATTTGGGCTGGAATTGTCCAATTCCTTTTTTGGAATTCCTTTTTTGGGTTTTGGGGTGGGATTCTCCAATTCCTTGGGTTTTGGGCTGGAATTGTCCAGTTCCTTGGGTTTTGGGGTGGAATTGTCCAATTCCTTGGGATTTGGGGTGGAATTGTCCAATTCCTTGGGATTTGGGGTGGAATTGTCCAATTCCTTGGGATTTAGGCTGGAATTGTCCAATTCCTTTTTTGGAATTCCTTTTTTGGGTTTTGGGGTGGGATTCTCCAATTCCTTGGGTTTTGGGGTGGAATTCTCCAATTCCTTGGGTTTTTGGATGGGTTTTTCCAATGGGGAGGAGTTTTGGGGTGGGTTTCTCCAGTTTGTTGAGTTTTGGGGTTAAATTGTCCAATTTTGTGGTGTTTTGGGATGGGTTTTTCCAATGGGAGGAGTTTTGGGGTGGATTTGTCCCACTTGTCATGTTTTGGGGTGAAATTGCCTCAATTTCTTGGGTTTTGGGGTGGATTTACCCACTTTGTTGGGTTTTGGGGTGGAATTCTCCAATTCCTTGGGTTTTGGGGTGAAAATTCTCAAATTCTTTGGGTTTTGGGCTGGAATTCTCAATTCCTTGGGTTTTGGGGTGGAAATTGTCCAATTTGTTGGGTTTTGGGGTGGAATTGTCCAATTCCTTGGGTTTTGGGGTGGAATTCTCCAATTCCTTGGGTTTTGGGGTGGAATTGTCCAATTCCTTGGGTTGTGGCATGAAAATTCTCAAATTCTTTGGGTTTTGGGGTGGAATTGTCCAATTCCTTGGGTTTTGGGGTGGAATTGTCCAATTCCTTGGGTTTTGGGCTGGAATTCTCCAATTCCTTGGGATTTGGGCTGGAATTCTCCAATTCCTTGGGATTTGGGCTGGAATTGTCCAATTCCTTTTTTGGAATTCCTTTTTTGGGTTTTGGGGTGGGATTCTCCAATTCCTTGGGTTTTGGGCTGGAATCCTCCAGTTCCTTGGGTTTTGGGCTGGAATTCTCCAATTCCTTGGGTTTTGGGCCGGAATTGTCCAATTCCTTGGGATTTGGGGTGGAAATTGTCCAATTCCTTGGGTTTTGGGGTGGAATTGTCCAATTCCTTGGGTTTGGGGTGGAATTGTCCAATTCCTTGGGTTTTGGGTTGGAATTGTCCAATTCCTTGGGTTTTGGGGTGGAATTCTCCAATTCCTTGGGATTTGGGGTGGAATTGTCCAATTCCTTGGGATTTGGGGTGGAATTGTCGAATTGCTTGGGTTTTGGGCTGGAAATTGTCCAATTCCTTGGGTTTTGGGGTGAAATCCTCCAGTTCCTTGGGATTTGGGCTGGAATTGTCCAGTTCCTTGGGTTTTGGGGTGGATTTGTCCAATTTGTTGGGTTTTGGGATGGATTTGTCCTGCAGGAGGTCACAGCTTGGGTCCAGCTCTGACCACGCCACGTTCTGAGCACGTTTGGGGTCACCCTGACCCCACTGTCCCCATTGTCCCCATTGTCCTCAATGTCCCCATTGTCCCCATTGTCCCCACTGTCCCCATTGTCCCAATTGTCCCCAGTGTCCCCAGTGTCCCCATTATCCCCACTGACCCCATTGTCCCCACTGTCCCCACTGTCCCCATTATCCCCATTGTCCCCATTGTCCCCCATTGTCCCCATTGTCCCCATTGTCCCCACTGACCCCATTGTCCCCATTGTCCCCATTGTCCCCATTGTCCCCCATTGTCCCCATTGTCCCCATTGTCCCCACTGTCCCCATTGTCCCCATTGTCCCCATTGTCCCCCACTGTCCCCACTGTCCCCACTGTCCCCACTGTCCCCAGTGTCCCCAGGAGCTGATCCAGAACAGGATTCTGCACCATTCCTGCGCCATCGTGTGGCAGCTGCTGTGCCCTGGGCAGCAGACCTGGGGTCAATGGGATCATGTTTAGGATCACATTTGGGGTTTGGGGTCACATTTAGGGTCACATTTAGGGTTTGGTGTCACATTTAGGGTCACATTTAGAGTTTCTCTCCCCCCAGGAGCTGATCCGGAAGGGGATCCCGCACCATTTCCGCGCCATCGTGTGGCAGCTGCTGTGCCCTGGGCACAGACCTGGGGACAATGGGATGACTCTGGGGTCACATTTAGGATCACATTTGGGGTTTTTGGGGTCACATTTGGGATTTTTCCATGTCCCCAGGAGCTGATCCGCAAGGGGATCCCGCACCATTCCCGCGCCATCGTGTGGCAGCTGCTGTGCCCTGAGCACAGACCTGGGGACACGTTTGGGGACAATGGGATGACTCTGGGATCACATTTAGGGTTTGGGGTCACATTTAGGGTCTCTGTCCCCCCAGGAGCTGATCCGGAAGGGGATCCCGCACCATTTCCGCGCCATCGTGTGGCAGCTGCTGTGCCCTGGGCACAGACCTGGGGTCAATGGGATGACTCTGGGATGATGTTTGGGGTTTGGGGTCACATTTAGGGTCACATTTGGGATCTCTGTCCCCCCAGGAGCTGATCCGCAAGGGGATCCCGCACCATTTCCGCGCCATCGTGTGGCAGCTGCTGTGCAGCGCGGCCGAGCTGGGGTCAATGGGATCAGACTCTGGGATGATGTTTGGGGTTTGGTGTCACATTTAGGGTCACATTTGGGATTTTTCCATGTCCCCAGGAGCTGATCCGGAAGGGGATCCCGCACCATTTCCGTGCCATCATGTGGCAGCTGCTGTGCAGCGCGGCCGAGCTGGGGTCAATGGGATGACTCTGGGATGATGTTTGGGGTTTGGGATCCCATTTAGGGTCACATTTGGGATTTTTCCATGTCCCCAGGAGCTGATCCGGAAGGGGATCCCGCACCATTTCCGCGCCATCGTGTGGCAGCTGCTGTGCAGCGCGGCCGAGCTGCCGCTCAAGGCCCAGTACTCGGAGCTGCTGCGCATGAGCTCCCCCTGCGAGCGCCTGATCCGCCGCGACATCGCCCGCACCTACCCCGAGCACGACTTCTTCAAGGGCCAGGACAGCCTGGGCCAGGAGGTGCTCTTCAATGTCATGAAGGTGACACTGGGGACATGGGGACACTGCCATGGGTGGGACAGGGACAGGGACAGGGCCAGGACAGCCTGGGCCAGGAGGTGCTCTTCAATGTCATGAAGGTGACACTGGGGACACTTGGGGACATTGCCATGGGTGGCACTGGGACAGGGACAGGGCCAGGACAGCCTGGGCCAAGAGGTGCTCTTCAATGTCATGAAGGTGACACTGGGGACATGGGGACATGGGGACATTGCTGGGGTGGCACTGACACAGGGCCAGGACAGCCTGGGCCAGGAGGTGCTCTTCAATGTCATGAAGGTGACACTGCTGGGGACACTGCTGGGGACATCCCTGGGGTGGCACTGACACAGGGACAGGGCCAGGACAGCCTGGGCCAGGAGGTGCTCTTCAATGTCATGAAGGTGACACTGGGGACACTGCTGGGGACATTGCCATGGGTGGGACAGGGACAGGGACAGGGCCAGGAGGTGCTCTTCAATGTCATGAAGGTGACACTGCTGGGGACACTTGGGGACATTGCCATGGGTGGGACAGGGCCAGGACAGCCTGGGCCAGGAGGTGCTCTTCAATGTCATGAAGGTGACACTGGGGACACTTGGGGACATCCCTGGGGTGGGACAGGGACAGGGCCAGGACAGCCTGGGCCAGGAGGTGCTCTTCAATGTCATGAAGGTGACACTGGGGACATTGCCAGGGGTGGGACAGGGACAGGGACAGGGACAGGGACAGGGACAGGGCCAGGAGGTGCTCTTCAATGTCATGAAGGTGACACTGGGGACACTGCTGGGGTGGCACTGGGACAGGGACAGGGACAGGGACAGGACAGACTGGGCCAGGAGGTGCTCTTCAATGTCATGAAGGTGACACTGCTGGGGACATGGGGACACTGCCATGGGTGGGACAGGGACAGGGACAGGGACAGCCTGGGCCAGGAGGTGCTCTTCAATGTCATGAAGGTGACACTGGGGACACTGCTGGGGTGGGACAGGGACAGGGACAGGGACAGGGCCAGGAGGTGCTCTTCAATGTCATGAAGGTGACACTGGGGACACTTGGGGACATTGCCAGGGGTGGGACAGGGACAGGGACAGGGCCAGGACAGCCTGGGCCAGGAGGTGCTCTTCAATGTCATGAAGGTGACACTGGGGACATGGGGACACTGCTGGGGTGGCACTGACACAGGGACAGGGACAGGGCCAGGACAGCCTGGGCCAGGAGGTGCTCTTCAATGTCATGAAGGTGACACTGGGGACACTTGGGGACACTGCTGGGGACATCCCTGGGGTGGCACTGGGACAGGAGGTGCTCTTCAATGTCATGAAGGTGACACCGCTGGGGACACCTGGGACATGGATCTGGGGTGGCACTGGGACAGGAGGTTCTCCTCAGCGACCTGGAGGTGACACTGGGGACACAGGGACAGGAGGTGGCACCGGAGGTAGCACTGGGGACACAGGGGTGGCACTGGGGACACAGGGACAGGAGGTGGCACGGGAGGTGACACTGGGGGCACAGGAGGTGACACTGGAGACACAGAGGTGGCACAGGGACAGGAGGTGGCACAGAGGTGGCACAGAGGTGACACTGGGGACACAGGGGTGGCACAGGGACAGGAGGTGGTACAGGAGGTGGCACTGGGGACACAGGGGTGGCACAGGGATGGGAGGTGGCCCAGAGGTGACCCTGGGGACACAGGGGTGACACTGGGGACACAGGGACAGGAGGTGGCCCCGAGGTGTCCCCGAGGTGTCCCCGAGGTGACCCTGGGGACACAGGGACAGGAGGTGGCACGGGAGGTGGCACTGGAGTGGCACTGGGGACACAGGGACAGGAGGTGGCCCTGAGGTGGCCCAGAGGTGACCCTGGGGACACAGAGGTGACACTGAGGACACGGGGGTGACCCTGGGGACACAGGAACAGGAGGTGTCCCCGATGTGTCCCCGAGGTGACCCCGAGGTGTCCCCAAGATGTCCCCGAGGTGTCCCCGATGTGTCCCTGAGGTGTCCCCGAGGTGTCCCTGAGATGTCCCTGAGCTGTCCCCGAGGTGTCCCCGAGATGTCCCCGATGTCCCCCCGTGGTGTCCCTGAGATGTCCCCGAGGTGTCCCTGAGATGTCCCCAAGGTGTCCCCGAGGTGTCCCTGAGGTGTCCCTGAGATGTCCCCAAGGTGTCCCTGAGATGTCCCTGAGGTGTCCCCGATGTGTCCCTGAGGTGTCCCTGAGGTGTCCCCGAGGTGTCCCCGAGATGTCCCCAAGGTGTCCCCGAGGTGTCCCCGAGGTGTCCCCGAGGTGTCCCCGAGATGTCCCCGAGGTGTCCCCGGGGTGTCCCCGATGTGTCCCTGAGGTGTCCCTGAGATGTCCCCGATGTGTCCCTGAGGTCCCCCCGAGGTGTCCCCGATGTGTCCCCGATGTGTCCCTGAGGTCCCCCCGATGTGTCCCCGAGATGTCCCCGAGGTGTCCCCGAGGTGTCCCCGAGGTGTCCCCGAGATGTCCCCGAGGTGTCCCCGAGGTGTCCCTGAGATGTCCCCGATGTGTCCCTGAGGTGACCCCGATGTGTCCCCCCCGATGTGTCCCCGAGGTGTCCCCGAGGTGACCCTGGGGCCATTTTCCAGGCCTATTCCCTGGTGGATCGTGAGGTCGGTTACTGCCAGGGCAGCGCCTTCATCGTGGGACTGCTGCTCATGCAGGTGGGAATGCCGGGGGTTTTTTGGGAATTCTGGGGGTTTTTTGGGAATTCCAGGGATTCTGGGGGAATTCTGAGAGGTTTTGTGGGAATTCCAGGGATTCTGTGGGAATTCCCGGATTCTGTGGGAATTCTGGGGGTTTTGGATGGGAATTCCGGGATTTTGTGGGAATTCTGAGAGGTTTTTTGGGAATTCCAGGGATTTTTGTGGGAATTCTGGGGGTTTTGTGGGAATTCTGAGAGGTTTTTTGGGAATTCCGGGGATTCTGTGGGAATTCTGGGGGTTTTGGATGGGAATTCTGGGGATTTTTTGGGAATTCCAGGGATTCTGTGGGAATTCCAGGGGTTTTTTGGATCTCTCTCAACAACAACAACGGAGGAGGAGGAAAAGAGAGAGATATCTCTCTCAACAACAACAAACGGAGAGGAGGAAAAGAGAGAGATGGTTTTGGATGGGAATTCCGGGGTTTCTGTGGGAATTCCAGGGATTCTGTGGGAATTCTGGGGACTTTTTGGGAATTCCAGGGATTTTTGGGAATTCTGGGGATTTTTTGGGAATTCCAGGGGTTCTGTGGAAATTCCAGGGATTTTTGTGGGAATTCTGGGATTTTTTGGGAATTCTGGGGGTTTTTTTGGGAATTCCAGGGGTTTTTTTGGGAATTCCAGGGGTTTTGGGTGGGAATTCCGGGGGTTTTTTGGGAATTCTGAGAGGTTTTTTGGGAATTCCGGGAATTCTGTGGGAATTCCAGGGGGTTTTTGGGAATTCCGCAGATTCTGTGGGAATTGTGGGGATTTCATGGGAATTCCAGGGATTCTGTGGGAATTCCAGGGATTTTTTTTGAATTCTGGGGATTCTGTGGGAATTCCAGGATTCTGTGGGAATTCTGAGAGATTTTTTTGGAATTCCAGGGATTCTGTGGGAATTCCACGGACTTTTTGGGAATTCCAGGGATTTTGTGGGAATTCCGGGGGTTTTTTGGGAATTCTGAGAGGTTTTTTGGGAACTCCAGGGGTTTTGGATGGGAATTCCCAGGGTTTTTTTGGGAATTCCAGGCTTTTCCCACCGCAGATGCCGGAGGAGGAGGCGTTCAGCATTTGGTGGGAATTCCAGGATTTTGAGGGGAATTCCATCAATTCCTTGGGAATTATGGGGGTTTTGATGAGAATTCCAGGGATTTTGATGGGAATTCCGAGATTTTGATGGGAATTCCGGGGATTTTTTTGGGGAATTCCAGGATTCTGTGGGAATTCTGAGGTGTTTCTGTGGGAATTCCGGGGATTCTGTGGGAATTCTGGGGATTTTGTGGGAATTCTGGGGGTTTTAGATGGGAATTCTGGGGATTTTTTGGGAATTCCAGGGATTCTGTGGGAATTCCGGGGCTTTTGTGGGAATTCCGGGGGTTTTGGATGGGAATTCCAGGGTTTATGTGGGAATTCCAGGGATTCTGTGGGAATTCTGGGGACTTTTTGGGAATTCCAGGATTTTTTGGGAATTCTGGGGATTTTGTGGGAATTCCGGGGATTCTGTGGGAATTCTGGGGGTTTTGGATGGGAATTCTGGGATTCTCTGGGAATTCTGGGGATTTTGTGGGAATTCCGGAGACTTTTTGGGAATTCCAGGGATTCTGTGGGAATTCCGGGGATTTTGTGGGAATTCCAGGATTCTGTGGGAATTCCGGGGATTTTTTGGGAATTCTGCGGACTTTTTGGGAATTTGAGGGATTCTGTGGGAATTCCAGGGGTTTTGTGGGAATTCTGGGGATTCTGTGGGAATTCTGGGGGTTTTGGATGGGAATTCCGGGGATTTTTTGGGAATTCCAGGATTCTGTGGGAATTCTGAGGTGTTTCTGTGGGAATTCCAGGGATTCTGTGGGAATTCTGGGGACTTTTTGGGAATTCCAGGGGTTCTGTGGGAATTCCAGGGATTTTTGTGGGAATTCTGGGGGTTTTGTGGGAATTCTGAGAGGTTTTTTGGGAATTCCGGGAATTCTGTGGGAATTCCAGGGGTTTTGTGGGATTTCTGGGGACTTTTTGGGAATTCCAGGGGTTCTGTGGGAATTCCAGGGGTTTTTTGGGAATTCCGGGGATTCTGTGGGAATTCCAGGGATTTTTTTTGAATTCTGGGGATTCTGTGGGAATTCTGTGGGAATTCCAGGGATTTTTTTGGAATTCCAGGGGTTTTTTGGAAATTCTGAGAGGTTTTGTGGGAATTCTGAGAGGTTTTTTGGAAATTCCGGGATTCTGGGGGAATTCTGGGGGTTCTATGGGAATTCCAGGGGTTTTGGGTGGGAATTCTGGGATTCTGTGGGAATTCTGAGAGGTTTTTTGGGAATTCTGGGGATTCTGTGGGGATTCTGGGGGAATTCCAGGGCTTTCTGGGGGAATTCCAGGGCTTTTTTGGGAATTCTGGGGATTTTGTGGGAATTCCGGGGATTCTGTGGGAATTCCGGGGGTTTTGTGAGAATTCCGGAGACTTTTTGGGAATTCTGGGGATTCTGTGGGAATTCCAGGGTTTTTTTGGGAATTCCAGGGATTCTGATGGGAATTCCCAGGATTTTTTCCTGGGCATCCCAGGCTGTTCCCCGCAGATGCCGGAGGAGGAGGCGTTCAGCGTTTGGTGGGAATTCTGAGGTTTTGCTGGGAATTCCAGGGATTCTGCTGGGAATTCCGTGATTCTGATGGGAACTCCCGGGATTTTTTTGGATTCAGATGCTGGAGGAGGAGGCATTCAGTGTTTGATGGGAATTCTGATGGGAATTTAGTGGGTTTTGCTGGGAATTCCTGGGATTTTGATGGGAATTCCTGGGATTCTGCTGGGAATTCCAGGATTCTGCTGGGAATTCCCGTGATTTTGATGGGAATTCCAGGATTCTGCTGGGAATTCCAGGATTCTGCTGGAAATTTCTGTGATTCTGATGGGAATTCCCGTGTTTTTCCTGGCTGCAGATGCCGGAGGAGGAGGCGTTCAGCGTTTGGTGGGAATTCTGATGGGAATTTAGTGGGGTTTGCTGGGAATTCCCGTGATTCTGCTGGGAATTCCTGGGATTTTGATGGGAATTCCTGGGATTTTGATGGGAATTCCCAGATTTTGATGGGAATTCCCATTTTTCCTGGGAATCCCGTGTTTTTCCCGGCCGCAGATGCCGGAGGAGGAGGCGTTCAGCGTTCCATGGGAATTCCATCAGTTCCATGGGAATTATGGGGGTTTTGATGAGAATTCCAGGGATTTTGATGGGAATTCCAGATTTTGATGGGAATTCCAGGATTCTGATGGGAATTCCCATGATTTTGATGGGAATTCCAGGATTCTGATGGAAATTCCCGTGATTCTGATGGGAATTCCCGGGATTTTGATGGGAATTCCAGGATTCTGCTGGAAATTTCCGTGATTCTGATGGGAATTCCATGATTCTGCTGGGAATTCCCAGGATTTTTTTGGATTCAGATGCTGAGGGGGAGGCGTTCAGTGTTTGATGTGAATTCTGATGGGAATTTAGTGGGGTTTGCTGGAAACTCCAGGGATTCTGCTGGGAATTCCCGTGATTCTGATGGGAATTCCGGGGATTTTGCTGGGAATTCCAGGATTCTGATGGGAATTCCAGGATTCTGACAGGAATTCCAGGATTCTGATGGGAATTCCCATGATTTTGATGGGAATTCCAGGATTCTGCTGGGAATTCCAGGATTCTGATGGGAATTTCTGTGATTCTGCTGGGAATTCCCAGGATTTTTTCGGACGCAGATGCCGGAGGAGGAGGCGTTCAGCGTTCCATGGGAATTCCATCAGTTCCATGGGAATCATGGGGGTTTTGATGGGAATTCCAGGATTTTGATGGGAATTTGGGGATTTTGATGGGAATTCCTGGATTTTTTTTTGGGAATTCCAGGCTTTTCCCACCAGATGCCGAGGGGGAGGCGTTCAGCTTTCCATGGGAATTCTGAGGTTTTGATGCGAATTTAGTGGGTTTTGCTGGGAATTCCAGGATTCTGATGGGAATTCCCAGGTTTTTCTCGGATTCAGATGCCGGAGGAGGAGGCGTTCAGCATTCCATGGGAATTCCAGGGTTTTCATGGGAATTCCATCAGTTCCAGGGGAATTGTGGGAGTTGTGATGGGAATTCCCATGATTCTGCTGGGAATTCCAGGATTCTGATGGGAATTCCCGTGATTCTGATGGGAATTCCTGGCTTTTCCTGGATTCAGATGCCGGAGGAGGAGGCGTTCAGCGTTCCATGGGAATTCCAGGGTTTTCATGGGAATTCCATCAGTTCCATGGGAATTATGGGGGTTTTGATGAGAATTCCAGGGATTTTGATGGAAGTTCCAGGATGTCGATGGGAAGTCTGGGATTTTGATGGGAATTCCAGGATTTTGATGGAAATTTGGGGATTCTGATGGGAATTCCCATTTTTCCTGGGAATCTCGGGCTGTTCCCCCCCAGATGCTGGAGGAGGAGGCGTTCAGCGTTCCATGGGAATTCCAGGATTTTGAGGGGAATTCCATCAATTCCATGGGAAATGTGGGAGTTGTGATGGGAATTCCAGGATTCTGCTGGGAATTCCCGGGATTCTGATGGGAATTCCAGTGCTTTTCCCCCCCAGATGCCGAGGGGGAGGCGTTCAGCGTTCCATGGGAATTCTGATGGGAATTTAGTGGGGTTTGCTGGAAACTCCAGGGATTCTGCTGGGAATTCCTGGGATTTTGATGGGAATTCCCATTTTTCCTGGGAATCCCGTGTTTTTCCCGGCCGCAGATGCCGGAGGAGGAGGCGTTCAGTGTTCCATAGGAATTCCAGGGATTCTGATGGGAATTCCGGGGATTTTGATGGGAATTCCCAGGATTTTGATGAGGATTCCTGGGATTTTAATGGGAATTCCTGGGGGTTTTTGCGGGAATTCCAGGGATTCTGATGGGAATTCCCGGGATTTTTTCAGATTCCGATGCCAGAGGAAGAGGCATTCAGCGTTTGATGTGAATTCTGATGGGAATTTAGTGGGGTTTGCTGGGAATTCCTGGGATTCTGCTGGGAATTCCCTGATTCTGCTGGGAATTCCCGTGATTCTGATGGGAATTCCGGGGATTTTGATGGGAATTCCAGGATTCTGCTGGGAATTCCAGGATTCTGACGGGAATTCCGGGATTCTGCTGGGAATTCCTGGGATTTTGATGGGAATTCCCATGATTCTGCTGGGAATTCCAGGATTCTGCTGGAAATTCCGGGATTCTGATGGGAATTCCCATGATTTTGATGGGAATTCCAGGATTCTGCTGGGAATTCCAGGATTCTGCTGGAAATTTCCGTGATTCTGATGGGAATTCCTGGGATTTTGATGGGAATTCCCAGGATTTTGATGGGAATTCCCATTTTTCCTGGGAATCCCGTGCTGTTCCCGGACGCAGATGCCGGAGGAGGAGGCGTTCAGCGTTTGGTGGGAATTCTGATGGGAATTTAGTGGGGTTTGCTGGGAATTCCAGGGATTCTGCTGGGAATTCCGTGATTCTGATGGGAATTCCCGTGATTCTGATGGGAATTCCTGGCTTTTCCTGGATGCAGATGCCGGAGGAGGAGGCGTTCAGCATTCCATGGGAATTCCATCAGTTCCAGGGGAATCATGGGGGTTGTGATGGGAATTCCAGGATTTTGATGGGAATTCCCGGGATTCTGATGGGAATTCCCGGGATTCTGATGGGAATTCCAGGCTTTTCCCACCAGATGCCGAGGGGGAGGCGTTCAGCGTTTGGTGGGAATTCTGATGGGAATTTAGTGGGGTTTGCTGGAAACTCCAGGGATTCTGATGGGAATTCCCGTGATTCTGATGGGAATTCCAGGATTCTGATGGGAATTCCCGTGATTCTGATGGGAATTCCCAGGATTTTTTTGGATTCAGATGCCGGAGGGGGAGGCGTTCAGCGTTCCATGGGAATTCTGATGGGAATTTAGTGGGGTTTGCTGGGAATTCCTGGGATTCTGCTGGGAATTCCAGGATTCTGCTGGGAATTCCAGGATTCTGCTGGAAATTTCCGTGATTCTGATGGGAATTCCATGATTCTGCTGGGAATTCCCAGGATTTTTTTGGATTCAGATGCCGGAGGAGGAGGCGTTCAGCGTTTGATGGGAATTCTGATGGGAATTTAGTGGGGTTTGCTGGGAATTCCTGGGATTTTGATGGGAATTCTGAGGTTTTGCTGGGAATTCCCAGGATTTTTTCGGATTCAGATGCCGGAGGAGGAGGCGTTCAGCGTTCCATGGGAATTCCATCAGTTCCATGGGAATCGTGGGAGTTGTGATGGGAATTCCAGGATTTTGATGGGAATTTGGGGATTTTGATGGGAATTCCTGGGATTTTTTTTTGGGCATTCTGTGCTTTTCCCACCAGATGCCGAGGGGGAGGCGTTCAGCGTTTGATGGGAATTCTGATGGGAATTTAGTGGGGTTTGCTGGAAATTCCCGGGATTCTGCTGGGAATTCCTGGGATTTTGATGGGAATTCCAGGATTCTGCTGGAAATTTCTGTGATTCTGATGGGAGTTCCCATGTTTTTCCCGGACGCAGATGCTGGAGGAGGAGGCGTTCAGCGTTTGGTGGGAATTCTGATGGGAATTTAGTGGGGTTTGCTGGAAACTCCAGGGATTTTGATGGGAATTCCTGGGATTTTGATGGGAATTCTGAGGTTTTGATGGGAATTCCTGGGATTTTTTCGGATTCAGATGCCGGAGGAGGAGGCGTTCAGCGTTCCATGGGAATTCCATCAGTTCCATGGGAATCGTGGGAGTTGTGATGGGAATTCCAGGATTTTGATGGGAATTTGGGGATTCTGATGGGAATTCCTGGGATTTTTTTTTGGGGCATTCTGTGCTTTTCCCACCAGATGCCGAGGGGGAGGCGTTCAGCGTTTGGTGGGAATTCCAGGATTTTCATGGGAATTCCATCAATTCCATGGGAATTATGGGGGTTTTGATGGGAATTCCAGGATTTTGATGGGAATTCCAGGGATTTTGATGGAAGTTCCAGGATGTTGATGGGAAGTCTGGGATTTTGATGGGAATTCCAGGATTTTGATGGAAATTTGGGGATTCTGATGGGAATTCCCATTTTTCCTGGGAATCTCGGGCTGTTCCCCCCCAGATGCCGGAGGAGGAGGCGTTCAGCGTTCCATGGGAATTCCAGGATTTTGAGGGGAATTCCATCAATTCCATGGGAATTGTGGGGATTTTGATAGGAATTCCAGGATTCTGCTGGGAATTCCCGGGATTCTGATGGGAATTCCAGTGCTTTTCCCCCCCAGATGCCGAGGGGGAGGCGTTCAGCGTTCGATGGGAATTCTGATGGGAATTTAGTGGGTTTTGCTGGAAACTCCAGGGATTTTGACGGGAATTCCTGGGATTTTGATGGGAATTCCCGTGATTCTGATGGGAATTCCGTGATTCTGATGGGAATTCCGTGATTCTGATGGGAATTCCCGTGTTTTTCCTGGATTCAGATGCCGGAGGAGGAGGCGTTCAGCGTCTTCGTGCGCCTGATGCAGGAGTATCGCCTGCGGGAGCTCTTCAAGCCCAGCATGGCCGAGCTGGGGCTCTGCATTTACCAGTTCGAGTTCCTGCTGCAGGTGGGGACAGCCCCAATTCCCACCCTTGTCCCCGTGTCCATCATCCCAAATTCCCACCCTTGTCCCCGTGTCCATCATCCCAAATTCCCACCCTTGTCCCCGTGTCCACGTCCCAAATTCCCACCCTTGTCCCCGTGTCCACATCCCAAATTCCCGTTTTTGTCCGACCCCAAATTCCCATTTTTGTCCGACCCCCAAATTCCCGTTTTTGTCAGGCCCCAAATTCCCATTTTTGTCCAACCCTGAATTCCCTTTTTTGTCTGACCCCAAATTCCCATTTTTGTCCCCAAAACCAACCCCAAATTCCCATTTTTCTCCCCAAATCCAACCCCAAATTCCAGTTTTTATCCCCAAATCCAACCCCAAATTCCCGTTTTTGTCTGACCCCAAATTCCCATTTTTGTCCGACCCCAAATTCCCATTTTTGTCAGGCCCCAAATTCCCATTTTTCTCCCCAAATCCAACCCCAAATTCCCATTTTTGTCTGACTGCAAATTCCCTTTTTTTTCCGACCCCAAATTCCCGTTTTTGTGTGACCCCCAATTCCCATTTTTTCTCCCCAAATCCAACCCCACATTCCTGCTTTTGTTTGACCCCAAATTCCCATTTTTCCCCCCCAATTCCCATTTTCCCCCCCAATTCCCATTTCCCCCCCATTCCCATTTTTCTCCCCCAATTCCCCTTTTCCCACCCAATTCCCATTTTTCCCCCTCAATTCCCCCTTTACTCCTCCAATTCCCATTTTTCTCCCCAAATCCAACCCCAAATTCCCATTTTTGTCCAACCATAAATTCCCATTTTTGTCTGACCCCAAATTCCCATTTTCCTCCCCAATTCCCCTTTCCCCCCCAATTCTCATTTTCCCCCCCAATTCCCATTTTTCTCTCCAATTCACATTTTCCCCCCCCAATTCCCATTTTTCTCCCCAAATCCAACCCCAAATTCCCATTTTCCCCCCAATTCCCGTTTCTCTCCCCCAATTCCCATTTCCCCCCCCCAAATCCCCGTTTTTCCCCCAATTCCCATTTTCTCCCCACTTCCCCTTTCCCCCCCAATTCCCATTTTCCCCCCCCAATTCCCCTTTTCCCCCCAATTCCCATTTTTCTCCCCAAATCCAACCCCAAATTCCCATTTTTGTCCAACCTGAAATTCCTGTTTTTGTCTGACCCCAAATTCCCATTTTCCCCCCCAATTCCCATTTTTCTCCCCAATTCCCATTTTTCTCCCCAATTCCGCTTTTTCTCCCCAAATTCCCATTTTTTGTCCAACCCCGAATTCCCATTTTTGTCCAACCCCAAATTCCCGATTTTTTCTGACCCCCAATTCCCATTTTTCCCCCCCAATTCCCATTTCCCTCCCCAATTCCCATTTTCCCCCCAATTCCCATTTTCCCCCCAATTCCCCTTTCCCCCCCCAATTCCCATTTTTCCCCCCCAATTCCCATTTTTTCCCCCTCCAATTCCCATTTTTCCCCCCCAATTCCCATTTTTCGCCCCCAATTCCCCTTTTTGCCCCCAAATCCAACCCCAAATTCCTGTTTTTGTCCAACCTGAAATTCCTGTTTTTGTCTGACCCCCAGTTCCCATTTCCCTCCCCCAATTCCCATTTTTCCCCCAAATCCCATTTTTCCCCCCTAATTCCCATTTTTCTCCCCAAATCCAACCCCAAATTCTGTTTTTGTCTGACCCCAAATTCCCGATTTTTCTCCCCAATTCCCATTTTTCCCCCTCCAATTCCCATTTTTCCCCCCAATTCCCATTTTCTCCCCAAATCCAACCCCAAATTCCCAATTTTGTCTGACCCCAAATTCCCGTTTTTCTCCCCCAATTCCCATTTTTCTCCCCAATTCCCACTTCCCCCCCCAATTCCCATTTCTCTCCCCCAATTCCCGTTTTTCTCCTCCAATTCCCATTTTTCTCCCCAAATCCAACCCCAAATTCCCATTTTTGTCCAACCCTAAATTCCCATTTTTATCTGACCCCCAATTCCCGTTTTTCTCCCCCAATTCCCCTTTCCCCCCAATTCCCCTTTCCCCCCCCAATCCCCGTTTTTCCCCCAATTCCCATTTCCCTCCCCCAATTCCCATTTCTCTCCCCCATTTTCATTTTTCTGAGCCCCAATTCCCATTTCCCCCCTCCCAATTCCCGTTTTCCCCCCGAATCCCGTTTTTCTCCCCCAATTCCCATTTTCCCCCCAATTCCCATTTTCCCCCCCAATTCCCATTTTCCCCCCAATTCCCATTTTCCCCCCCAATTCCCGTTTTTCTCCCCGAATCCAACCCCAAATTCCCGTTTTGTCCAACCCCAAATTCCCATTTCTCCCCCCCAATTCCCATTTTTCTCCTCCAATTCCCATTTTTCTCCCCAAATCCAACCCCAAATTCCCATTTTTGTCTGACCCCCAATTCCCGTTTCTCTTCCCCAATTCCCATTTTTCTCCCCAATTCCCACTTCCCCCCCAATTCCCGTTTTTCCCCCCCAATTCCCATTTTTCTCCCCAATTCCCCCTTTTCTCCCCAAATTCCCATTTTTTGTCCAACCCCGAATTCCCATTTTTGTCCGACCCCAAATTCCCGATTTTTTCTGACCCCCAATTCCCATTTCCCCTCCCCCAATTCCCATTTCCCCCCCAATCTCCTTTTCCCCCCCAATTCCCATTTTCCCCCCAATTCCCCATTTCCCCCCCCAATTCCCCTTTCCGCCCCCCAATTCCCATTTCTCTCCCCCATTTTCATTTTTCTGAGCCCCAATTCCCATTTCCCCCCTCCCAATTCCCATTTGTCCCCCCAATTCCCATTTTTCCCCCAAATCCCATTTTTCCCCCCAATTCCCTTTTTCTCCCCAATTCCCATTTTCCCCCAATTCCCATTTCCCTCCCCCAATTCCCCTTTCCCCCCCCAATCCCCGTTTTTCCCCCAATTCCCATTTCTCTCCCCCAATTCCCCATTTTCCCCCCCAATTCCCATTTCCCCCCTCCCAATTCCCGTTGTTTTCCCCCCGAATCCGCCCCGACCGCGGCCGTTGTCCCCAGGAGCAGCTGCCGGAGCTGAACGTGCATTTCCGCTCCCAGAGCTTCCTCACCTCCATGTACGCCTCCTCCTGGTTCCTCACCCTCTTCCTCACCACCTTCCCCCTGCCCGTGGCCACGCGCGTCTTCGACATCTTCATGTACGAGGTACCCCAGAGCCGCCCCTTCACCCAACTGGGGCTGGGGGGGGAAAAATCCCAAAAAATGGGTTGGGGTTGGACTGAATCCCAAAAAAAATGGGTTTGGGGTGGACCAAATCACTAAAAAATGGGTTTGGGGTGGATCAAATCCCCCAAAAATGGGTTTGGGGTGGATCCAACCCATCAAGAATGGGTTTGGTTTGATGGTGTCCCTCAAGAATGGGTTTGGGTTGGATCAAACTCCTCAAAAATGGGTTTGGGTTTGACCAAATCCCTCAGAAATGACTTTGAGTTTGACCAAATCCCTCAGAAATGGTTTTGGGGTGGAACCAAATCCCTCAAGAATGGGTTTGGTTTGATGAAGTCCCTCAAGAATGGGTTTGGGTTGGATCAAATCCCTCAAGAATGGGTTTGGGTTTGTCCAAATCCCTCAAAAATGGGTTTGGGGAGGATCAAATCCATCAAAAATGAGTTTGGATTGATGAAGTCCCTCAAGAATGAGATTGGGGTGGAAGAAATCCCTCAAAAACGAGTTTGGGGTGGATCAAATCCTTCAAAAATGGGTTTGGGTTTGACCAAGTCCCTCAAGAATGGCTTTGGTTTGGTGAAGTCCCTCAAGAATGAGTTTGGGTTTGACCAAATCCCTCAGAATTTGGGGTTTGACCAAATCCCTCAGAATTTGGGGTGGAACCAAATCCCTCAGGACTTGGGGTGGTTCCTCACGCTCTTCCTCACCACCTTCCCCCTGCCCGTGGCCACGCGCGGCTTCGACATCTTCATGTACGAGGTACCCCAGAGCCGCCCCTTCCACCCAACTGGGGCGAGAAAAAATCCCAAAAAAATGGGTTGGGGTTGGACTGAATCCCAAAAAAATGGGTTGGGGTTGGACTGAATCAGTAAAAAATGGGTTGGGGTTGGACTGAATCCCAAAAAAATGGGTTGGGGTTGGACCAAATCACTAAAAAATGGGTTTGGGGTGGAGCAAATCCCCCAAAAATGGGTTTGGGGTGGATCCAACCCATCAAGAATGGGTTTGGTTTGATGGTGTCCCTCAAGAATGAGTTTGGGTTGGATCAAATCCCTCAAGAATGGGTTTGGGTTTGAGCAAGTCTCTCAAAAACGAGTTTGGGGTGGATCAAACTCTTAAAAATTGGGTTTGGTTTGATGAAGTCCCTCAAGAATGGGTTTGGGTTGGATCAAACTCCTCAAAAATGGGTTTGGGTTTGACCAAATCCCTCAGAAATGGGTTTGGGGATTGACCAAATCCCTCAGAAATGACTTTGAGTTTGACCAAATTCCTCAGAAATGGTTTTGGGGTGGAACCAAATCCCTCAAGAATGGGTTTGGATTGATGAAGTCCCTCAAGAATGGGTTTGGGTTGGATCAAACTCCTCAAGAATGGGTTTGGGTTTCACCAAGTCCCTCAAGAATGAGTTTGGGGTGGAACCAAATCCCTCAAAAATGGGTTTGGGGATTGACCAAATCCCTCAGAATTTGGGGTGGAACCAAATCCCTCAGGACTTGGGGTGGTTCCTCACCCTCTTCCTCACCACCTTCCCCCTGCCCGTGGCCACGCGCGGCTTCGACATCTTCATGTACGAGGTACCCCAGAGCCGCCCCTTCCCACCAAAACTGGGGCTGGGGGGGGGAAAATCCCAAAAAAATGGGTTGGGGTGGATCAAACTCCTCAAAAATGGGCTTGGGTTTGACCAAATCAGTAAAAAATGGGTTGGGTTTGACTAAATAATAAAAAAATTGGGTTTGGGTTTGATCAAACTCCTCAAAAATGGTTTGGGTTTGTCCAAATCCCTCAAAAATTGGTTTGGGGTGGATCAAACTCCTTAAAAATGGGTTTGGGTTTGACCAAATCCCTCAGAAATGGGTTTGGTTTGATGAAGTCCCTCAAGAATGGGTTTGGGTTGGATCAAATCCTTCAAAAATGGGTTTGGGTTTGACCAAATCCCTCAGAAATGGTTTTGGGGTGGAACCAAATCCCTCAAAAAAGGGTTTGGGTTTGACCAAATCACTCAAGAATGAGTTTGGGGTGGAACCCAATGACTCAAAAATGGGTTTGGGTTTCATCCAATCCCTCAAGAAATGGCTTTGGTTTGGTGAAGTCCCTCAAGAATGAGTTTGGGTTTGACCAAATCCCTCAAAAATGGGTTTGGTTTGATAATGTCCCTCAAGAATGGGTTTAGGATGGATCAAATCCCTCAAAAATGGGTTTGGGTTTGACCAAATCCCTCAGAAATGGTTTTGGGGTGGAACCAAATCCCTCAAAAACAAGTTTGGGGTGGAACAAATCCCTCAAAAAAGGGTTTGGGTTTGACCAAATCACTCAAGAATGAGTTTGGGGTGGAACCAAATGACTCAAAAATGGGTTTGGGTTTCATCCAATCCCTCACAAATGGGTTTGGGTTTCACCGAGTCCCTCAAGAATGGCTTTGGTTTGGTGAAGTCTCTCAAGAATGAGTTTGGGTTTGACCAAATCCCTCAAAAATGGGTTTGGGGTGGATCAAACCCATCAAGAATGGGTTTGGTTTGACCAAGTCCGTCAAGAATGGGTTTGGGGTGGGTCAAACTCCTCAAAAATGGGTTTGGTTTGACCAAATCCCTCAGAAATGGTTTTGCAGTGGAACCAAATCCCTCAAAAATGAATTTCAGGTGGAACCAAATCCCCCAAAAATGGGTTGGGTTTGATGAAGTCCCTCACAAATGAGTTTGGGTCAAACTCCTCAAAAATGGGTTTGGGTTTGACCAAATCCCTCAAGAGTGGGTTTAGGATGGGTCAAATCCCTCAAGAATGGGTTTGGTTTGATGATGTCCCTTAAGAATGGGTTTGGGGTGGATCAAATCCCCCAAAAATGGGTTTGGGTTTGACCAAATCCCTCAAGAATGGGTTTGGGGTGGATCAAACTCCTTAAAAATGGATTTAGGGTTGACCAAATCCCTCAGAAATGGCTTTGGTTTGATGAAGTCCCTCAAGAATGAGTTTGGGTTTGACCAAATCCCTCAAAAATGGGTTTGGTTTGATAATGTCCCTCAAGAATGGGTTTAGGATGGATCAAATCCCTCAAAAATGGGTTTGGGTTTCACCAAACTCCTCAAAAATGGGTTTGGGGTGGATCCAACCCATCAAGAATGGCTTTGGTTTGATGATGTCCCTCAAAAATGGGTTTGGGTTGGATCAAACTCCTCAAAAATGGGTTGGGTTTGTCCAAATCACCCAAAAAATGGGTTTGGGGTGGATCAAATCACTAAAAAATGGGTTTGGTTTGATCAAACTCCTCACAAATGAGTTTGGGGTGGATCAAATCCTCTAAAAATGGGTTTGGGTTTGACCAAGTCTCTCAAAAATGGGTTTGGGGTGGATCAAACTCTTAAAAATGGGTTTGGATTGATGAAGTTCCTCAAGAACGAGTTTGGGGTGGATCAAACTCCTCAAAATTGGGTTTGGGTTTGACCAAATCCCTCAGAATTTGGGGTGGGACCAATCCCCCCTGGTGACCCTGGGAATGGCTCTGGTGCCATTGCCTGACCCAAGGTGGCCCCAGGGTGGCCTTGGGGTGACCCCGGTGACCCCCGGATGATCTGAGGTGGCCCCAGGGTGGCCTTGGGGTGACCCAGGGATGATCTGAGGTGGCCCCAGGGTGGCCTTGGGGTGGCCCCGGTGACCTGGGATGATCTGAGGTGACCCCAGGGTGGCCTTGGGGTGGCCCCGGTGACCCCGGGATGCTCTGAGGTGGCCCCAGGGTGGCCTTGGGGTGACCCCGGGATGCTCTGAGGTGGCCCCAGGGTGGCCGTGGTCATCTGGGATGACCCAGAGCAGCCCTGGCATGGCCACAGGGTGACCCCAGTGACCAGAGGTGGCTCTGGAGTGGTCATGGTGACCCAGGGATGAGCCAAGGTGGCCCTGGCGTGGATGTGGGGTGGCCCCGATGGCCCAAGGTGGCCCCGTGGTGGCCATGGTGATGTGGGATGACCCAAGGTGGCCCCGTGGTGGCCATGGTGTCCCCATGGTGGCCACGCTGACCGCGTGGGTGGTGGCAGGGGTGGGGTGGCCCCGGGGTGACCAAGGTGGCCCCAGGGTGGCCATGGTGTCCCCGTGGTGGCCACGCTGACCGGGTGGGGTGGTGGCAGGGATCTGGTGGCCCCAGTGACCCAGGGTGGCCCAAGGGTGACCAAGGTGGCCCCGTGGTGCCCATGATGTCCACACTGACCGGGTGGGTGGTGGCAGGGGTGGGGTGGCCCTGGGGTGACCAAGGTGGCCCCAGGGTGGCCCTGATGGCCTCGCTGACCGGGTGGGGTGGTGGCAGGGATGGGGTGGCCCCAATAACCCAGGGTGGCCCTGAGGTGGCCGTGGTGGCCCCGTGGTGGCCCCAATGGCCGCAGTGACCAGGCGGGTGGTGGCAGGGGTGGGGTGGCCCCAGGGTGACCATGGTAGCCCAAGGGTGGCCACAGTGACCAGGCAGGGCTGTCACAGGGGTGGGGTGGCCCCAATGACTCAGGGTGGCCCCAGGGTGACCATGGTGGCCCTGTGGTGACCCCATGGTGGCCATGGTGGCCATGGTGACCCAGGGATGACCCAGGGTGACCATGGTGGCCCCGTGGTGGCCACGCTGACCGGGTGTGGGGGTGGTGGCAGGGATGGGGTGGCCCCAATGACCCAGGGTGGCCCTGAGGTGACCATGGTGGCCCCGTGGTGGCCTTGCTGACTGGGTGTGGTGGTGGTGGCAGGGGTGGGGTGGCCCCAGTGACCCAGGGTGGCCCAAGGGTGACCAAGGTGGCCCCATGGTGGCCCCGTGGTGGCCTTGCTGACTGGGTGTGGTGGTGGTGGCAGGGGTGGGGTGGCCCCAATGACTCAGGGTGGCCCTGAGGTGACCATGGTGTCCCATGGTGACCATGGTGTCCCGTGGTGGCCTCGCTGACCGGGTGTGGTGGTGGTGGCAGGGGTGGGGTGTCCCCATGGTGACCATGGTGGCCCCGTGGTGGCCGTGGTGGCCCTGAGGTGACCATGGTGTCCCCGTGGTGGCCTCGCTGAGCGTGTGTGGGGCTGGTGGCAGGGATGGGGTGGCCCCAATGACTCAGGGTGTCCCCATGGTGACCATGGTGTCCCTTGGTGACCATGGTGTCCCCGTGGTGGCCTCGCTGAGCGTGTGTGGGGCTGGTGGCAGGGTCTGGAGATCGTGTTCCGCGTGGGGATGGCCCTGCTGCAGTTCAACCAGGCCGAGCTGGTGCAGCTGGACATGGAGGGCATGTCCCAGGTACCGCAACGGGGGGACCCTGGGGTGGGCTTGGTCAGTGGGGTGGGCTTGGGATGGGTTTGGGGTGGGCTTGGTCAGTGGGGTGGGCTTGGGATGGGTTTGGGGTGGGTTTAGGCTGGGCTTGGTCAGTGGGGTGGCCATGGGGCTGGTTTGGTCAGTGGGGTGGGGTTGGGGTGGGGTTGGGGTGGGTTTGGTCAGTGGGGTGTGTATGGAGTGGCCTTGATCAGTGGGGTGGCCATGGGGCTGGTTTGGTCAATGGGGTGGGTTTGGGATGGGTTTGGGGTGGGGTTTGGTCAATGGGGTGGGGTTGGAATGGGTTGGTCAATGGGGTGGGTTTTGGGGCAGGTTTGGTCAATGGGGTGGGTTTTGGGGTGGGTTTGGTCAATGGGGTGGGTTTTGGGGCAGGTTTGGTCAATGGGGTGGGTTTGGGGTGGGTTTGGTCAATGGGGTGGCCATGGGGCTGGTTTGGTCAGTGGGGTGGGGTTGGGGTGGCCTTGGGTTGGACTTGGTTAATGGGGTGGGGTTGGTCAGTGGGGTGGGTTTGGGGTGGGGTTGGTCAACGGGGTGGGGTTGGGGTGGGGTAGGGTTGGGGTGGGTTTGGAGTGGCCTTGGTCAGTGGGGTGGGGTTGGGGTGGCCTTGGTCAGTGGGGTGGCCATGGGGCAGGTTTGGTCAATGGGGTGGGTTTGGGATGGGTTTGGTCAATGGGGTGGGTTTAGGGTGGGTTTGGTCAGTGGGGTGGGGTCGGGGTAGGTTTGGTCAATGGGGTGGCCATGGGGCAGGTTTGGTCAATGGGGTGGGGTTGGGATGGGTTTGGGCAGGTTTGGTCAGTGGGGTGGGGTTGGGATGGACTGGGCTTGGTGGCCTTGGGTGGGTTTGAGGTGGGTTGGTCAGTGGGGTGGGTTTGGGATGAGTTTGGGATGGGTTTGGTCAGTGGGGTGGGTTTGGGGTCAGTGGGGTGGGGTTGGTCAATGGGGTGGGTTTGGGATGGGTTTGGGGTGGGTTTGGGGTCAATGGGGTGGGGTTGGGGTGGCCAGGGGGCAGGTTTGGTCAGTGGGGTGGGGTTGGGATGGACTGGGCTTGGTGGCCTTGGGGTGGGTTTGGGGTAGGGTTGGTCAATGGGGTGGGTTTGGGGTGGGGTTGGGATGAGTTGGGGGTGGGTTTGGGATGGGTTTGGGGTGGGCTAGGTCATTGGGGTGGGGTTGGGGTCATTGGGGTGGGGTTGGGGTCAGTGGGGTGGATTTGGTCAGTGGGATGAGTTTTGGGGTAAGTTTGGCCAATGGGGTGGGATTTGGGGTAGGGTTGGTCAATGGGGTGGGATTTGGGTGGATTTGGGGTGGATTTGGGGTGGGTTTGGTCAATGGATGGGGTTTAGGATGAGTTTTGAGGTGAGTTTGATCAATGGGATTGAGTTTGCAGTGGGTTTGGGGTGGATTTGGTCAATGGGGTGGGATTTGGGTGGGTTTGGGGTGGATTTGGTCAATGGGATGGGATTTGGGTGGATTTGGGGTGGGTTTGGTCAATGGGGTGGGATTTGGGTGGATTTGGGGTGGATTTGGTCAATGGGGTGGGATTTGGGGTGGATTTGGGGTGGGTTTGGCCAATGGGGTGGGATTTGGGTGGATTTGGGGTGGGTTTGGTGAGTTCATCCCTGTTTTGCCCTGGTTTTTCCCCATTTGGGGTTGGTTTTCCCTGTCTTGTGTGGTTTTTCCCCCAATTTGGGCTGAATTCCCTGTTTTTGGTGTTCCTGGCCCGTTTTTGGTGTTCATTCCCCGGTTTTGGTGCTCATGGCCCATTTCTGGTGTTCATGGCCCGTGTTTGGGTGCATTCCCCGTTTCTGGGTGAATTTCCCCGTTTCTGGGTGAATTGCCCATTTTTGGTGTGAATTCCCCGTTTTTGGTCTGAATTCCCCATTTTTGGTGTGAATTCCCCATTTTTGGTGTGAATTCCCCGTTTTTGGGTGCATTCCCCATTTTTGGTCTGAATTGCCCGTTTTTGGTGTTCACGGCCCGTGTTTGGTGTAAATTCCCCATTTCTGGTGTTCATTGCCCATTTCTGGTGCTCACGGCCCGTGTTTGGGTGAATTTTCCCCATTTTTGGTGCTCACAGCCCGTTTTTTGGTATAAATTCCTCGTTTCTGGTGCTCATTGCCCGTGTTTGGTGTAAATTCCCCGTTTCTGGTGCTCATGGCCCGTTTTTGGTATAAATTTCCCCATTTTTGGTGCTCACGGCCCGTGTTTGGGTGCATTCCCCGTTTCTGGTGTTCACGGCCCGTTTTTGGTATAAATTTCCCCATTTTTGGTGCTCACGGCCCGTTTTTGCTGTAAATTCCCCGTTTCTGGTGTTCATTGCCCATTTTTGGTATAAATTTCCCCGTTTCTGGTGTTCATTGCCCGTTTTTGCTGTAAATTCCCCGTTTCTGGTGTTCATTGCCCATTTTTGGTATAAATTTCCCCGTTTCTGGTGTTCATTGCCCATTTTTGGTATAAATTTCCCCGTTTCTGGTGTTCATTGCCCATTTTTGCTGTAAATTCCCCATTTCTGGTGTTCATTGCCCATTTTTGGTGTGAATTCCCCGTTTCTGGTGTTCATTGCCCATTTTTGGTATAAATTTCCCCATTTTTGGTGCTCATGGCCCGTTTTTGCTGTAAATTCCCCGTGTTTGGGTGAATTTTCCCCATTTCTGGTGCTCATTGCCCGTTTTTGGTGTGAATTCCCCGTTTCTGGTGTTCATGGCCCATTTTTGGTATAAATTTCCCCGTTTTTGGTGCTCATTGCCCGTTTTTGGTATAAATTCCCCGTTTCTGGCAGTATTTCCAGAAGGTGATCCCTCACCAGTTCGACTCGTGCCCGGACAAGCTGATCCTGCGCGCCTGCCAGGTCAAATACAACCCCCGCAAGATGAAGAGGTCAGGGGACACCTCTGGCCCTGTGTCCCTGTGTCTGTCCCTGTCCCCATCCCTGTGTCCTTGTCCTTGTCCCCTCTGGCCCTGTGTCCCTGTGTCTGTCCCTGGCCCTGCGTCCCTGTGTCTGTCCCTGGCCCTGGGTCCCTGTGTCCCTGTCCCCATCCCTGGCCCTGCATCCCTGTGTCTGTCCCTGGCCCTGGGTCCCTGTGTCCCCATCCCTGGCCCTGCGTCCCTGTGTCCTTGTGTCCCCTCTGTCCCTGTCCCTGTGTCCCTGTCCCCATCCCTGTCCCTGTGTCCTTGGCCCCTCTGGCCCTGCATCCCTGTGTCTGTCCCTGGCCCTGTGTCCCTGTGTCCCCTCTGGCCCTGTCTCTGTGTCCCTGTCCCTGTGTCCTTCTCCTTGTCCCCTCTGTCTCTGTGTCCCTGTCCCCATCCCTGTCCCTGTATCCTTGTCCTTGTCCCCTGTGTCCCTGTCCCTGTGTCCCCTCTGTCCCTGTCCCTCTGTCCTTGTGTCCCCTCTGTCCCTGTCTCTGTGTCCCTGTCCCCATCCCTGTCCCTGTATCCTTGTCCTTGTCCCCTCTGGCCCTGTCCCTGTGTCCCCTCTGTCCCTGTCCCTCTGTCCTTGTGTCCCCTCTGTCCCTGTCTCTGTGTCCCTGTCCCCATCCCTGTCCCTGTGTCCTTGTCCTTGTCCCCTCTGTCCCTGTGTCCCCATCCCTGTCCCTGCGTCCTTGTGTCCCCATCCCTGTCCCCATCCCTGGCCCTGCGTCCTTGTGTCCGTCCCTGTCCCCATCCCTGGCCCTGTGTCCTTGTCCTTGTCCCCTCTGTCCCTGTGTCTCCTCTGTCCCTGTCCCTGTGTCCTTGTGTCCCCATCCCTGTCCCTGTTCCCTCTGTCCCCATCCCTGGCCCTGTGTCCTTGTGTCCCCATCCCTGTCCCCATCCCTGGCCCTGTGTCCTTGTCCCCATCCCTGTCCCTGTCCCCTCTGTCCCTATCCCTGTCCCTGTGTCCCTGTGTCCCCATCCCTGTCCCCATCCCTGCCCCTGTGTCCTTGTGTCCCCTCTGTCCCTGCCCCTGTGTCCTTGTGTCCCCATCCCTGTCCCTGTGTCCTTGTCCCCTCTGTCCTTGTGTCTCCTCTGTCCCTTTCCCTGTCCCTGTCCCCTCTGTCCTTGTCTCCTCTGTCCCTTCTGTCCCTGTCCCTGTCCCCACCCTGTCCCCATCCCTGTGTCCCTCTGTCCCCTCTGTCCCCATCCCTGTGTCCCCCATCCCTCTCTCCACCCTGTCCCCATCTCCATCCCTGTTCCCGTGTCCCCTGTCCCATCCCTGTCCCTGTCCCCCACTGTCCCCTGTCCTGTCCCTTCCCCTCTCCTGACCCTTCTCTGTCCCTGTCGCTGTCTCCTCTCTGTCTCCATCCCTATCCCTGTCCCTTCTATCCCTGTCCCTTTCCCTGTCCCTGTCCCCTCTGTCCTTGTCTCTGTCCCTTCTGTCCTTGTCCCTGTCCCCTCTGTCCCTGTCCCTTTCCCATCCCCATCCCTGTCCCCACCCTGTCCCCATCCCTCTGTCCCTCTGTCCCCTCTGTCCCCATCCCTGTGTCCCCCCTGTCCCTGTCCCCACCCTGTCCCCATCTCTGTCCTTGTCCCCTCTGTCCCTGTCCCATCCCTGTCCCTGTCCCCCACTGTCCCCTGTCCTGTCCCTTCCCCTCTCCCTTTGTCCCTTCTCTGTCCCTTGGCTGTCCCCTGTCCCTGTCCCTGTGTCCCTGTCTCTGTCCCTCTGTCCCTGTCCCTGTGTCCCTGTCTCTGTCCCTGTGTCCCTGTGTCCCTGTCCCTGTCCCTGTGTCCCTGTCCCTCTGTCCCTGTGTCCCTCTGTCCCTGTGTCCCTGTGTCCCCCTGTCCCTGTCCCCCTGTCCCTGTCCCTGTGTCCCTGTCCCCCTGTCCCTGTGTCCCTCTGTCCCTGTGTCCCTGTCCCTGTGTCCCTGTCCCCCTGTCCCTGTGTCCCTCTGTCCCTGTGTCCCTGTGTCCCCCTGTCCCTGTCCCCCTGTCCCCAGCTGTCCGTGTGTCCCCAGGCTGGAGAAGGAATACGCCGCCCTCAAGAGCAAAGAGATGGAGGAGCAGATCGAGATCAAGGTGACCCAGCTGGGGACACTGCGGGGACACCTGGGGACATCCCTGGGGACAGCTGAGGGACACTGCGGGGACACCTGGGGACACCTGGGGACAGCTAGGGACACTGCAGGGACACTGCAGGGACACCTGAACACACTGCAGGGACACCTGGGCACACCTGGGGACACTGCAGGGACATGGGGACACCTGGGGACACCTGGGGACACTGCAGGGACACCTGGGGACACTGCAGGGACACCTGAGGGACACTGCAGGGACACTGCAGGGACACCTGAACACACCTGGGGACACTGCAGGGACACATGGGGACACCTGGGGACACTGCAGGGACATTGCAGGGACACCTGGGGACACCTGAGGGACACCTGAACGCACCCGGGGACACTGCAGGGACACATGGGGGACATCCCTGAGGACAACTGGGGGACACCTGGGGATACTGCAGGGACATGGGGACACTGAAAGGACACTGCAGGGACACATGGGGACATGGGGACATCCCTGGGGACACTGCAGGGACACCCAGGGACGTGTGGGGAACATCTCTGGGGACACCCGGGGCACCTGGAGACTTCCCTGGGGACACTGCAAGGACACCTGGGGACACCTGAAGGACACTGCAGGGACATCTGGGGACTTCCCTGGGGACACTGCAAGGACACCTGGGACACCTGAAGGACACTGCAGGGACATCTGGGGACTTCCCTGGGGACACTGCAGGGACACTGCAAAGACACCTGAGCACACCTTGGGATATCCCTGGGGACGCTGCAGGGACACCTGGGGACCCCTAGGAGGTATCTGGGGACATCCCTGGGGACACCTGGGGGACATGGGGACACCTGGATCACCACTCATTGTCCCCTCATTGTCCCCTCCGTGTCCCCTCCGTGTCCCCTCCGTGTCCCCTCAGCGGCTCCGCTCTGAGAATCGCCTGCTCAAGCAGCGCATCGAGACCCTGGAGAAGGTGAGCACCCCAAAAACCTCCCAAAAAAACCCCAAAAAATCCCAAAAACCTCCCCAAAAAAACCCAAAAACCTCCCAAAAAACCCCCAAAAACCTCCCCAAAGAAACCTCAAAAACCTCCCCAAAACCACCCCAAAAACCTCCCCAAAAAACCCCAAAAACCTCCCCAAAACTCCCCAAAAACCTCCCAAAAAACCCTAAAACACCACATGGAACCCAAAAAACTCCAAACCCCCCCCCCAAAACAAACCCAAAGCACAGCATGGAACCCAAGTGTCCCCCAAAAACCCCAAAATCCCAAAACACTGCATGGAACCCAAAACCCCCCCAAGAAACACCCAAAAAACCCAGAAAAAAAACCCCAAAAACCCCAAAACACTGCATGGAACCCCAAAATCCCCCCAAAACCCCAAAACATTGCATGGAAGCCAAAAAACCTAAAAAAAACCCCAAAATCCCCAAAACAAACCCCAAACACTGCATGGAACCCAAAAAAACCCCAAAAACCCAGAAACAAAACCCCAAACCCCAAAACACTGCATGGAACCCAAAAGAAACACCCCAAAAACCCAGAGAAAAAAAACCTCAAACCCCAAACACTGCATGGAACCCCAGAACCACCCCAAAAACCCCATAGAAAACCCCATAGAAAACCCTAAAATGGTTCATGGTCCCAGCCCCGCGGCCATTTTGAGGTGGCCCCGCCCCCGTTTGGCCCCGCCCCCGTTTGGCCCCGCCCCCGTTTGGCCCCACCCCCCATTCAGACCCAACCAATGGGGTCTCATCCCCACCCAAACGGTCCCAAATCCGCGGGAATTGGGGAATCCCAGAGCGTGGGGAGGGCTCGGGATGGCGCTGCCACTGCTGGCACTGATGTCATTGTCATTGTCACTGGCACTGTCATTGTCACTGCTGGCACTGGCACTGCTGGCATTGTCACTGGCACTGTCACTGGCACTGTCATTGTCACTGGCACTGCTGGCACTGCTGGCATTGTCATTGTCACTGGCACTGGCATTGTCACTGGCACTGCTGGCACTGTCATTGTCACTGCTGTCACTGTCACTGCTGTCATTGTCACTGTCCCTGCTGTCATTGTCACTGTCCCTGTCCCTGTCCCATCACTGTCACTGCTGTCACTGTCACTGTCACTGCTGTCATTGTCACTGCCACTGTCCTTGTCACTGTCACTGCTGGCATTGTCACTGCTGCCACAGCTGGCATTGGCACTGTCACTGTCCTTGTCACTGGCACTGCCACTGGCACTGCCACTGCTGTCATTGCTGTCACCTGGATCTGTCACTGCCACTGCTGCCACTGTCACTGGCACTGTCCTTTTCACTGCCACTGCTGTCACTGCTGTCACTGCTGTCACTGCTGTCACTGGCACTGCCACTGCCACTGCCACTGCTGCCACTGCTGCCACCTGGATCTGTCACTGTCATTGTCACTGTCACTGTCCGTGACCTGTCCCTGTCCCTGTCCCTGTCCCCGTCCCTGTCCCTGTCCCCGTCTCTCTGTCCCTGTCCCTGTCCCTGTCCCCGTCCCTGTCCCTGTCCCCGTCTCTCTGTCTCTGTCCCTGTCCCTGTCCCTGTCCCTGTCCCTGACGTGTCCCTGACCTGTCCCTGTCCCTGTCCCTGTCCCTGTCCCTGACATGTCCCTGTCTCTGTCCTCACTGTCACTGTCCCTCTGTCCCTCTGTCCCTGTCCCTGTCCCTGACGTGTCTCTGTCCCTGTCCTGTCCCTGTCCTGTCCCTGTCCCTGTCCCTGACGTGTCCCTGTCCTCACTGTCACTGTCCCTGTCCCCACTGTCCCTGTCCCTGTCCCTGTCCCTGTCCCTGACGTGTCCCTGTCCCATTCCCTGTCCCTGTCCCATTCCCTGTCCCTGTCCCTGTCCCTGTCCCTGACGTGTCCCTGTCCCTGTCCCTGACGTGTCCCTGTCTCTGTCCCTCTGTCCCTCTGTCCCTCTGTCCCTCTGTCCCTGTCCCTGTCCCTGTCCCTCTGTCCCTGTCCCTGTCCCTGTCCCTGACGTGTCCCTGTCTCTGTCCCCTCCCCAGGAGAGCGCAGCCCTGGCCGATCGCCTCATCCAGGTACGGCCGGGCCCCGCGGGGATCCAGAGAGACCCCAGAGACCCCAAATGGCCCCATAGACCCCAGAGACCCCAAATGGCACCATAGACCCCAGAGACCCCAAACCCCCATTGCCCCATAAACCCCAGAGACCCCAAATGGCCCCAGAGACCCCATAAACCCCAAACCCCCATTGCCCCATAGACCCAAACTCCCAATAAACCCCAAACTCCCCCATTGCCCCCATAGACCCCAAACTCCCCCATAGACCCCATAGACCCCAAACGTCCCCATAGACCCAAACTCCCAATAAACCCCAAACTCCCCCATTGCCCCCGTAGACCCCCAAACTCCCCCATAGACCCCATAGACCCCAAACCCCCATTGCCCCATAGACCCTAAACCCTCATTGCCCCATAGACCCCAAACCCTCATTGCCCCATAGACCCCATAGACCCCAAACTCCCCATAGACCCCAAATGTCCCCATAGACCCCAAACATCCCCATAGACCCCAAACTCCCCCATTGCCCCATAGACCCCAAACGTCCCCATAGACCCCAAACGTCCCCATAGACCCCAAACTCCCCATAGACCCCAAACCCCTATTGCCCCATAGACCCCAAATGTCCCCATAGACCCCAAACTCCCCCATTGCCCCATAGACCCCAAATGTCCCCATAGACCCCAAACCCCTATTGCCCCATAGACCCCAAACTCCCCCATAGACCCCAAACCCCCATTGCCCCATAGACCCCAAATGTCCCCATAGACCCCAAACTCCCCCATTTTCCCAATTGATTTTCCAATTTTTCTGCTATTTCCCCATTTTCCCAATTGATTTCCCCATTTTCCCAATATTTCCCCTTTTTTCCAGTTTATTTCCCCTTTTTTCCAGTTTATTTCCCATTTTTCCAGTTTATTTTCCAATTTTTCCCCCAATTTTCCCCCCTCCAGTTTATTTCCCTGATTTCCCCAATTCCCTCAATTTTCCCGATTGATTTCCCCAATATTTCCCTGATATTTTCCCAATTTTCCTGATATTCCCAAGGTTCTCCCAATACTTTCCCAATATTTTCCCAATAATCCAAATATTTTCCCAATAATCCCAATACTTTCCCAATATTTTCCCAATACTTTCCCAATATTTTCCTGATATTTTCCCCAATATTTTCCCAATATATTCCCAATATTCCGAATATTTTCCTGATATTTTCCCAATATAATCCAAATATAACCCAAATATTTTCCCAATTTTCCCAGTAATCCCAATATTTTCCCGATATTTTCAGGATTTTTTCCCAATTCTCCCAATACTTTCCTGATATAATCCCAATATAATCCAAATTTTCCCAATATTTTCCTGATCATTTCCCTGATATTCCCCCAATATTTTCCCAGTATTCCCAATATTGTCCTGATTTTCCCAATTTTTCCCTGATTTTCCCAAGATTTTCCCTATATTTTCTCAAAAATCCTGATATTTTCCTGATATTTTCCCAATACTGTCCTGATATTTTCCCAATTTTCCCCAATTTTCCCCAATTTTCCTGATTTTTTCCCCAATTTTCCCCAATTTTCCTGATTGATTTTCCCGATTTCCCTGATTTTTTCCCTGATTTTCCCAATTGATTTTCCCATTTTTTCCCAATTTTCCCGATTTATTTTCCCTATTTTTCCCCGATTTCCCAGATTTTTTCCACAATTTTTTTCTGTTATTTTCCCCCAATTTTCCCTCTGATTTTCCCCCCAATTTTCCCGATTGATTTTCCTGATATTTTCCCTGATATTTCCCTGATTTTCCCAATTTTTTCCCAATTTTTCCCAATTTTCCCCCTATTTTTCCCTATTTTTCCCCGATTTCCCAGATTTTTTCCACAATTTTTTTCTGTTATTTTCCCCCAATTTTCCCCCTGATTTTCCTGATTTATTTTCCTGATTTTCCCCCCAATTTTCCCAATTTCCCCCCAATTTCCCCGACTGATTTTCCTGATATTTTCCCTGATATTTTCCTGATTTTCCCCATTGATTTTCCTGATTTTCTTCCCCATTTTACTGATTTGTTTTCTAGATTTTCCCGATTTTTTTTCCTAATTTTCCTCTCTGTTTTTCATGATTTATTTCCCTGATTTTCCCACTTGATTTTCCCAATTTTCCCGATTTATTTTCCGTATTTTCCCCCCAATTTTCCCTATTTTTCCCCGATTTCCCAGATTTTTTCCCCGATTTTTTCAGTTATTTTCCCCCAATTTTCCCCCTGATTTTCCCGATTTATTTTCCCAATTTTCCCCCCAATTTTCCCAATTTTCCCCATTGATTTTCCCGATTGATTTTCCTGATATTTTCCCTGATATTTCCCTGATTTTCCCAATTGATTTTCCCGATTTTCTTCCCCATTTTACTGATTTGTTTTCCAGATTTTCCCGATTTTTTTTTCCTAATTTTCCTCTCTGATTTCCCTGATTTATTTCCCCAATTTCCCTGATTTCCCCAATTGATTTTCCCAATTTTCCCAATTTATTTTCCCAATTTATTTTCCCCCTATTTTTCCTGATTTTCCCCCGATTTCCCAGATTTTTTCCCCGAATTTTTTCTGTTATTTTCCCCCAATTTTCCCCCTGATCTTTCCAATTTATTTCCCTGATTTTCCCCCCAATTTTCCCAATTGATTTTCCTGATATTTTCCCAATTTTCTTCCCCATTTTACTGATTTGTTTTCCAGATTTTCCCGATTTCTTTTTCCTAATTTTCCTCTCTGATTTCCCCAATTTTTTCCCCAATTTTTCCCATTTTTCCCCATTTTCCTCCTTTTCCTCCCTCTCCTCCCCAGCCCCACTTTTGGGGGGATTTTCCTTTTTTCTGCCTTTTTTTTTTCCACCTTTTTTTTTTCTGCTTCTCTGAGGCTCCCGCGGACCCTGGGGGGAATTTGGGGGAATTTCGATGGAATTTGGGGAAATTCAGGGAGATTTTGGGGAATTTTGAGGGAAATTCGGGGAGATTTTGGGGAATTTTGGGGAAATTCGGGGAGATTTTGGTGAATTTTGGGGAAATTCGGGGAATTTTGGTGAATTTTGAGGGAATTTGGGGGGAATTTTGAATGTTGGGGGATTTGGGGATTTTGATGAAATTTTAGGGGAAATTCTGGGGAATTTTGGGAAAAATTTGAGGAATTTGGGGGGAATTCTGGTGAATTTGGGGGGAATTTTGAATTTTGGGGGAATTTGGGGCAATTTTGATGGAATTTTGGGGGATTTGGAGGATTTGGGAGGAATTTTGGGGGATTTTTTTTGAATTTTAGGGAAATTTGGGGGAATTTTGGGGGAATTCTGATGAATTCAGGGGAAATGTTGGGGGATTGAGGGATTGGGGGGAATTTCGAATTTTGGGGAAATTTTGAGGCAATTCAGGGAATTTGGGGGGAGAATTTTGGGGCAATTCTGGTGAATTTTGAGGAATTTTGGGGGGGAATTTGGGATTTTTGGGGTTTGGGGTGGGGAGGGGACAAACGGGGCTGGTGGCACCTCCAGTGTCACCTCCCTGTCCCCAGTGTCACTCACTGTGCCCCCAGTGCCACCACAGCCCTGGTGGCAGCAGGTGACAGCGTCCCCAATGTCCCCATTGTCCCCAATGTCCCCAATGTCACCAAGGCCAGGTGGCACAGGCCCAGGAGGTGACACTGTCCCCATTGTCCCCAATGTCCCCAAGGTGTCCCTGATGTCCCCAGTGTCCCCAGGGCCAGGTGACACTGTCCCCATTGTCCCCAAGGTGTCTCCAAGGTGTCCCCTCTGTCCCCAGTGTCCCTAGGACCAGGTGACACTGTCCCTGATGTCCCCTATGTCCACAGGCCAGGTGACAATGTCCCCATTGTCCCCAATGTCCCCAATGTCCCCAGGGCCAGGTGGCACAGGCACAGGCGGTCACACTGTCCCCATTGTCCCCAAGGTGTCCCCATTGTCCCCAGTATCCCCAAGGTGTCCCCAAGGTGTCCCCAAGGTGTCCCCACTGTCCCCATTGTCCCCAGGGCCAGGTGACGCGGGCGCAGGAGGTGACACTGTCCCTGCTGTCCCCATTGTCCCCATTGTCCCCAATGTGTCCCCAAGGTGTCCCCAATGTCCCCAAGGTGTCCCTGCTGTCCCCATTGTCCCCAGGGCCAGGTGTCACTGTCCCCATTGTCCCCACTGTCCCCAGGGCCAGGTGACACTGTCCCCATTGTCCCCTCTGTCCCAGGGCCAGGTGACACTGTCCCCATTGTCCCCACTGTCCCCAGGGCCAGGTGACACTGTCCCCATTGTCCCCATTGTCCCCAGGGCCAGGTGTCACTGTCCCCATTGTCCCCTCTGTCCCAGGGCCAGGTGACACTGTCCCCATTGTCCCCACTGTCCCCAGGGCCAGGTGTCACTGTCCCCATTGTCCCCAATGTCCCCAGGGCCAGGTGACACTGTCCCCATTGTCCCCAATGTCCCCAATGTCCCCATTGTCCCCAATGTCCCCAGGGCCAGGTGACACTGTCCCCATTGTCCCCAATGTCCCCAATGTCCCCATTGTCCCCAATGTCCCCAGGGCCAGGTGACACTGTCCCCATTGTCCCCAATGTCCCCAATGTCCCCATTGTCCCCAATGTCCCCAGGGCCAGGTGACGCGTGCGCAGGAGGTGACACTGTCCCCATTGTCCCCAATGTCCCCAAGGTGTCCCTGATGTCCCCATTGTCCCCAGGGCCAGGTGACACGGGCGCAGGAGGTGACAGTGTCCCCAAGGTGTCCCCAAGGTGTCCCCATTGTCCCCATTGTCCCCAAGGTGTCCCCAAGGTGTCCCCATTGTCCCCTCTGTCCCAGGGCCAGGTGTCACTGTCCCCATTGTCCCCTCTGTCCCCAGGGCCAGGTGACGCGGGCGCAGGAGGCCGAGGAGAACGACGTCATCCGGCGGGAGCTGGCGCTGGTGCGGCAACGCTGCAGCTCAGCCACAGAGAGCCTGAGGCGGGCACAGAGCACCATCAGGGAGCTGCAGGTGTGTCACTGTCACCTGTGTGTGTCATTGTCACCTGTGTGTGTGTCATTGTCACCTGTGTGTCACTGTGTGTGTCACCTGTGTGTCACCTGTGTGTGTGTCACTGTGTGTCACTGTGTGTCACTGCATCACTGCCCCAACGCTGCAGCTCAGCCACAGAGAGCCTGAGGCGGGCACAGAGCACCATCAGGGAGCTGCAGGTGTGTCACTGTCACCTGTGTGTGTCACCTGTGTCACCTGTGTGTGTCACTGTGTGTGTCACTGTGTGTGTGTCACCTGTGTGTGTCACCTGTGTGTGTGTCACTGTGTGTGTGTCACTGTGTGTGTGTCACTGTGTGCCATTGCATCACTGCCCCAACGCTGCAGCTCAGCCACAGAGAGCCTGAGGCGGGCACAGAGCACCATCAGGGAGCTGCAGGTGTGTCATTGTCACCTGTGTGTGTCATTGTCACCTGTGTGTGTCACTGTCACCTGTGTGTCACCTGTGTGTGTCATTGTATCACCTGTGTCACTGCATCACTGCCCCAACGCTGCAGCTCAGCCACAGAGAGCCTGAGGCGGGCACAGAGCACCATCAGGGAGCTGCAGGTGTGTCATTGTCACCTGTGTGTGTCACTGTGTCACCTGTGTGTGTCATTGTATCACCTGTGTGTGTGTCATTGTATCACCTGTGTCACTGCATCACTGCCCCAACGCTGCAGCTCAGCCACAGAGAGCCTGAGACGGGCACAGAGCACCATCAGGGAGCTGCAGGTGTGTCACTGTCACCTCTGTGTGTGTCACTGTGTCACCTGTGTGTGTCATTGTCACCTGTGTGTCACCTGTGTGTCACTGTGTGTGTCATTGTATCACCTGTGCCATTGATCACCGCCCCAACGCTGCAGCTCAGCCACAGAGAGCCTGAGACGGGCACAGAGCACCATCAGGGAGCTGCAGGTGTGTCACTGTGTGTGTCATTGTCACCTGTGTGTCACCTGTGTGTGTCACTGTCACCTGTGTGTGTGTCACTGTCACCTGAGTGTCACTGCATCACTGTGTGTCACTGCCCCAACGCTGCAGCTCAGCCACAGAGAGCCTGAGGCGGGCACAGAGCACCATCAGGGAGCTGCAGGTGTGTCACTGTCACCTGTGTGTGTCACTGTCACCTGTGTGTCACCTGTGTGTCACTGTATCACCTGTGTGTGTCATTCTATCACCTGTGTGTGTCACCTGTGTGTGTCACCTGTGTGTGTCACCTGTGTGTCACTGTATCACCTGTGTGTGTCATTGTGTCACCTGTGTGTCACCGTGTGTGTCACTGTGTGTGTCACTGTGTTTGTCACTGTGTTTGTCACTGTCACCTGTGTCATTGTGTCACCTGTGTGTCACCTGTGTGTCACTGTCACCTGTGTCTCATCTCTGTGTCACCTGTGTGTCACCTGTGTGTCATTGTCACCCGTGTGTCACCTCCTGTGTCACCCATGTGTCACTGTATCACCTGTGTGTGTCACCTGAGTGTTTGTCACTGTCACCTGTGTGTGTCATTGTCACCTGTGTGTCACTGTGTGTGTCACCTGAGTGTGTCATTGTCACCTGTGTCATGGTGTGTGTCACTGTGTCACTGTGTCACCTGTGTGTCACTGTCCCTGGGTGACAATGCTGCAGGTGACATTTAGTGACATTTGGTGGCACAGGTAACTCCTGCATGAACGAGGATTTCATGGCAGGTGGGAGGTGACATTTGGTGACACTTGGGGACACTTGGGGACACTTGGTGACACTGGGGACAGGGTAACCTCAGTCTGAGTGAGGAGTTTGTGGTGCGTGGGGACAATGGGGAGGTGACACTTGGGGACACTTGGGGACATTTGGTGAATCCCATCTCTTGGAGCAGCACTTGGCAGGTGGGAGGTGACCTTTGGTGACCTGTGGTGGCCTTTGGTGACATTTGGGGACATTGGGGACAGGGTAACCTCGGTCTGAGCAAGGAGTTCATGGTGGGCAGGGACAATGGGGAGGTGACATTGGGGACATTTGGGGACACAGGGCAACCCCATCTCTTGGAGTGGCTCATGGCAGGTGGGAGGTGACCTTTGGTGACATTTGGGGACACTGGGGACATGGTAGCCCTTGTCTGAGCAAGGAGTTCAGGATGGGCATTGGGGAGGTGACATTGGGGACATCTGGGGACATCTGGGGACATTTGGGGAACTGGGGACAGGGTAACCCCCGCCTGAGCGAGGAGTTCATGGTGGGCAGGAACAATGGGGAGGTGACATTGGTGACATTGGGGACACTGGGGACACTTGGTGACATTGGTGCCATTGGGGACAGGGTAACCCCTGCCTGAGCGAGGTTGGGGCGGTTGGGAGGTGACATTGGTGACATTGGTGACCTTTGGTGACATTTGGGGACACTGGGGACAGGATAACCCCCGCCTGAGCGAGGAGTTCGTGGCGGTTGGGAGGTGACACTTGGTGACATTTGGGGACATTGGGGACATTGGGGACACTGGGGACAGGGTAACCCCCGCCTGAGAGAGGAGTTCGTGGCAGTTGGGAGGTGACATTGGTGCCATTTGGTGACATTGGGGACAGGGTAACCCCCGCCTGAGCGAGGAATTTGTGGTGGTTGGGAGGTGACATTGGTGCCATTTGGTGACACTGGGGACAGGGTAACCCCCGCCTGAGCGAGGAGTTGGTGGCAGTTGGGAGGTGACACTGGTGACATTGGTGACATTGGTGACACTGGGGACAGGGTAACCCCCGCCTGAGCGAGGTTGGGGCGGTTGGGAGGTGACATTGGTGACATTGGTGACACCTGGGGACATTGGGGACAGGGTAACCCCCGCCTGAGCGAGGAGTTGGTGGCGGTTGGGAGGTGACATTGGTGCCATTTGGTGCCATTTGGTGACATTGGGGACAGGGTAACCCCCGCCTGAGTGAGGAGTTCATGGTGGGCAGGAACAATGGGGAGGTGACATTGGTGACATTTGGTGACATTTGGTGACATTTGGGGACAGGGTAACCCCCGCCTGAGCGAGGAGTTCGTGGCGCACCTGGAGACGGAGCTGGAGCGGTCGCGGCTGCGCGAGAGCGAAACCCTGGGAGCCCTCAAGGAGATGCAGGACAAGGTCCTGGACATGGAGAAGGTGACACTGAGGGGACACTGGGGGGACAGCAGGGGTGGCATCGGGGGTGGCAGGGTCCCATGGGTGCTCTTGGGGACAGGGAGGGGCCTTGGGGACAGTGAGAGTTCCAGGAGATGCAGGGCAAGGTCAGAAGGTGACACCGAGGGGACACCAGGGTGGCATCGGGGGTGGCAGGGTCCCAATGGGATGGAGAGGGTCCCATGGGTGCCCTTGGGGACAGGGAGGGTTCCAGGAGATGCAGGGCAAGGTCCTGGACATGGAGAAGGTGACACCAAGGGGACACCGGGGTGACATTAGGGGTGGCAGGGTCCCAATGGGATGGGGAGGGTCCCATGGGTGGCTCTGGGGACAGGGAGGGGACAGGGAGGGTCCCGTGGGTGGCCCTGGGGACAGGGAGGGGACAGGGAGGGTCCCGTGGGTGGCCCTGGGGACAGGGAGGGGCCAGGGAGGGTCCTGTGGGTGGCCCTGGGGACAGGGAGGGGCCGTGGGGACAGGGAGGGGACAGGGAGGGTCCCATGGGTGGCCCTGGGGACAGGGAGGGGCCAGGGAGGGTCCCGTGGGTGGCTCTGGGGACAGGAGCTGTCGCAGGTGGCCTGTGAAGGTCCCTCTGTCTGTCCCCCCTGATGTCCCTTGTCCCCTGTGTCCCTGTCCCTCTGTCACTCTGTCCCTGTGACCATGATGTCCGTCTGTCCCTCTGTCCCTGCTGTCCGTCTGTCCCTGCTGTCCCTCTGTCCCTGATGTCCATCTGTCCCTGATGTCCCTCTGTCCCTCTGTCCCTGCTGTCCCTGCTGTCCCTCTGTCACTCTGTCCCTCTGTCCCTGCTGTCCCCCTGTCCCTGCTGTCCCCCTGTCCCTGATGTCCGTCTGTCCCTGTCCCTGATGTCCGTCTGTCCCTGATGTCCGTCTGTCCCTGTCCCTGCTGTCCATCTGTCCCTGCTGTCCGTCTGTCCCTGATGTCCCCCTGTCCCTGCTGTCCGTCTGTCCCTGATGTCCGTCTGTCCCTGTCCCTGCTGTCCGTCTGTCCCTGCTGTCCGTCTGTCCCTGCTGTCCCCCTGTCCGTGCTGTCCGTCTGTCCCTGATGTCCCCCTGTCCCTCTGTCCCTGTCCGTGCTGTCCGTCTGTCCCTGATGTCCGTCTGTCCGTCTGTCCCCAGCGGCAGCCGCTGCTCCCGGATGACTCCAGCGTGGTTCGGCTGCAGGAGGAGCTGCAGGAGCTGGCACTGAGGGACATCGGGGACATCGGGGACATCGGGGACACCTGGCAGGTGAGACAGGGACACTGGGGACACCTGAGTGACCCTGGGGACACCTGAGTGACCCTGGGGACATTGGGGACATCTGGCAGGTGAGACACGGACACTGGGGACACCTGAGTGACCCTGGGAACACCTGGCAGGTGACACAGGGACACTGGGGACACCTGAGTGACCCTGGGGACACCAGGGACACCTGGCAGGTGAGACGGGGACACTGGGGACACCTGAGTGACCCTGGGGACATCGGGGACACCTGAGTGACACTGGGGACACCTGAGTGACATCGGGGACATCGGGGACACCTGGCAGGTGAGACGGGGACACCTGCGTGACCCTGGGGACACCTGGCAGGTGAGATATGGGGGACACTGGGGACATCGGGGACACCTGGCGGGTGAGACATGGACACTGGGGACACCTGAGTGACCCTGGGGACACCTGGGACAGCTGGCAGGTGACACAGGGACATTGGGGACACCTGGGGGACGCCTGGCAGGTGTCCCAGCTGTCCCCAGGTGTGTCCCCATACCTGACCAGGTGTGTCCCAAGTGTCCCCCAGCTGTCCCCAGGTGCGTGTCACCTGACCAGGAGTGTCCCCAGGTGTCCCCATTCCTGACCAGCTGTCCCCAGGTGTGTCCCCAGGTGTGTCTCACCTGACCAGGTGTGACCAGGTGTGTCCTCAGGTGTCCCCATACCTCACCAAATGGGTCCCCAGGTGTCCCCATGCCTGACCAGGTGTCCCCATGCCTGACCAGGTGTCCCCTGGGTGTGTCCCCAGGTGTGCCTATACCTGACCAGGTGTTCCCAGGGTGTGTCCCCAGATGTCCCAGGTGTCCCCACACCTGACTGGGTGTGTCCCCAGGTGTCCCTATACTTGACCAGGTGTTCCCAGGGTGGGTCCCCAGGTGTCCCCATGTGTCCCCATACCCAACCAGGTGTCCCCACACCTGACCAGGTGTCCCCAGGGTGTGTCCCCCAGGTGTCCCCAGGTGTGTCACCTGACCGGGTGTGTCCCCAGGTGTGTCCCCAGGTGTGTCCCCAGGTGTCCCAGGTGTGTCACCTGACCAGGTGTGTCCCCAGGGTGTGTTCCCAGGTGTCCCCAGGTGTCCCCAGGTGTGTCACCTGACCGGGTGTGTCCCCAGGTGTGTCCCCAGGTGTCCCCAGGGTATGTCCCCAGGTGTCCCAGGTGTGTCCCCTGACCAGGTGTGTCCCCAGGTGTGTCCCCTGACCGGGTGTGTCCCCAGGTGTGTCCCCAGGTGTGTCACCTGACCGGGTGTGTCCCCAGGTGTGTCCCAGGTGTGTCCCCTGACCGGGTGTGTCCCAGGTGTGTCCCAGGTGTGTCCCCTGACCGGGTGTGTCCCCAGGTGTGTCCCAGGTGTCCCAGGTGTGTCACCTGACCGGGTGTGTCCCCAGGTGTGTCCCCTGACTGGGTGTGTCCCCAGGTGTGTCCCAGGTGTGTCCCAGGTGTGTCCCCTGACCGGGTGTGTCCCCAGGTGTGCGGGGGCCGCTGGAAGGAGCCGCGGGCGCTGCACGAGGCCGTGCTGGGGGTGCAGCTCCGCGAGAGCCAGGCCCAGGCGGAGCTGAGGGCGCTGAGACAGAGGGTGCTGCACCTGGAGACACAGGTGAGACACAGGTACCAAACTGGGAGGGACTGGGAGGGACTGGGACAAACTGGGAATGGGGCTGAGGGTGCTGCACCTGGAGACACAGGTGAGACACTGGTACCAAACTGGGAGGGACTGGGACAAACTGGGACGGACTGGGAATGGGGCTGAGGGTGCTGAGACAGAGGGTGCTGCACCTGGAGACACAGGTACCAAACTGGGAGGGACTGGGATGGACTGGGAGGGACTGGGACAAACTGGGAATGGACTGGGAATGGGGCTGAGAGTGCTGGGACAGAGGGTGCTGCACCTGGAGACACAGGTGAGACACTGGGAGGGACTGGGGATACTGGGAAGTGAACTGGGAGCACTGGGAGAGCAGGGACCAGGGTTTATCCCAGGTTTATCCCAAATTAACTTTGTGTTTATCCCAGGATTTTGATGGGTTAATCCCGGGTTTATCCCAGGTTAATCCTGGGTTTAATCCTGGGTTTATCCCAGGTTTATCCCAGGTTAATTCTGGGTTTAATCCCAGGTTAATTCCAGGTTTATCCCAGGTTAATCCCGGTTTAACCCCGGTTTAACCCCGGTTTAGGGGCGCATCCAGCGCTCGGTGCTGGGCCGGGCCGAGCAGGCCTGCGCTGGCCTAAGGGAGCAGCAGGGCTGGGTTGGTGCCGGGTCTGTCTCGGGTTTATCCCAGGTTAATCCCAGGTTTAATCCCAGTTTAACCCCGGTTTAGGGGCGCATCCAGCGGTCGGTGCTGGGCCGGGCCGAGCAGGCCTGCGCTGGCCTAAGGGAGCAGGGCTGGGTTGGTGCCGGGTCTGTCCCGGGTTTATCCCAGTTTAATCCCGGGTTAATCCCGGTTTAACCCCGGTTTAGGGGCGCATCCAGCGGTCGGTGCTGGGCCGGGCCGAGCAGGCCTGCGCTGGCCTAAGGGAGCAGCTCCGTGCCGCGGCCGCCCAGAGCCAGGGGCTGCAGGCCCAGCTCAGCGAGAGCCACCGGAAACACGCGGAGGCTCAGTGCAAGGTGGGGACAGCAACGGGGACAGCAATGGGGACACTGGGGACAGCAACGGGGACAGCAACAGGGACAGCAATGGGGACACTGGGGACAGCAATGGGGACACTGGGGACAGCAACGGGGACAGCAACAGGGACAGCAATGGGGACACTGGGGTCAATGGGGACACTGGGGACACTGGGGGCGTCGGGGACATTGGGGACACTGGGGGCATCGGGGACATTGGGAACACTGGGGACATTGGGAACACTGAGGACAGTGGGGACATCAGGGACAGGAGTGTATTGGGAGGATTGGGGACATAGGGGACACTTGGGACATTGGGGACATTGAGCATATTGAGACATTGGGAACATTGGGGACACTTGGGGATGTTGGGGACATTGGGGACATTGAGGGTATTGGGACATCAGGGACACCGGAGACATCTGGGGACATTGGGGGACAGCAGTGGGGACAGTGAGGGCAATGGGGACATTGGGGGCATCATCAGGGACATTGGGAGTATTGGGGACACTGAGGGTATTGGGATGTTGGGGACAGTGGGGACACTTGGGGGTGTTGGGGACATTCAGACATTGGGGACACTGTGGGCATTGGGGACATCAGGGACATTGGGAGCATCATTGGGGCTGTTGGGGACACTGGGGACGGCTCTGGAGACAGCAGGGATGTTGGGGACACTGGGGACATCGGGGATGTTGGGGACATTGGGCACTCTTGGGGACCTTTGGGACACACACGGGGATGTCCCCAGGGCCCCTGAAGTGTCCCTGGCTGTTCCTGTGTTGTCCCTGGGTGTCCCCACAGTGACAGGGCTGTCCCTGGGGGTGTCCAAGGTGTCCCCACAGTGTCCCCAGTGACAGGGCTGTCCTGGGGGGGGATGTCCCTGGGTGTCCCTGTGGGTGTCCTTGGGTGTCCCCATGGTGACAGGGCTGTCCCTGGCTGTCCCTGCAGTGTCCCTGGGTGTCCCTGGGGGTGGCAGGGCTGTCCCCGAGTGTCCCCATGGTGTCCCTGGGGTGTCCCCACACTGTCCCCAGTGGCAGGGCTGTCCTGGGGCTGTCCCAGGGGGTGTCCCCACAGTGTCCCTGGGTGTCCCTGTGGTGTCCTAGGGCTGTCCCTGTGGTGTCCCTGGGTGTCCCCACAGTGTCCCTGTGGTGTCCCTGGGTGTGGCAGGGCTGTCCCTGGGTGTCCCCGTGGTGTCCCTGTGGGTGTCCCCATGCTGTCCCCAGTGGCAGGGCTGTCCTGTGGCTGTCCCCGGGTGTCCCTGGGGCTGTCCCCATGGTGTCCCAGGCCTGTCCCAGGCCTGTCCCTGCGGTGTCCCTGTGGGTGTCCCTGGGGCTGTCCCCATCGTGTCCCAGTGCTGTCCCCATGGTGTCCCCGCAGTGTCCCCGGGTGTCCCCGCGGTGTCCCAGTGCTGTCCCCATGGTGTCCCCGCGGTGTCCCCATGATGTCCCCAGGTGCCCCAGTGCTGTCCCCGGGTGTCCCTGTGGGTGTCCCTGTGGGTGTCCCTGTGGGTGTCCCAGTGCTGTCCCTCTGGGTGTCCCTGGGGCTGTCCCCATGGTGCCCCAGTGCTGTCCCCGGGTGTCCCAGTGCCGTCCCCATGGTGTCCCCGCGGTGTCCCTGTGGGTGTCCCAGTGCTGTCCCCGGGTGTCCCCGCGGTGTCCCCGGGCGCCCCGCGGTGACAGCGCTGTCCCCAGAGCAAGGAGGAGGTGATGGCCGTGCGGCTGCGCGAGGCCGACAGCATGGCCGCCCTGGCCGAGATGAGGCAGCGCGTGGCCGAGCTGGAGATCCAGGTACGGGGACACCGGGGGACACCGGGGACAATGGGGACAGTGGGGGTGCTGGGGACATTGGGGGATGTGGGGGATATGGGGACATCAGAGACATTGGGGACATCGGAGACATTGGGGGATGTGGGGGATATGGGGACATCAGAGACGCTGGGGGGACATGAGGGATATTGGGGACATCAGGGAGACATGGGGACATCGGGGACATCAGGGATGTGGCAGGGACAATGGGGACATTGGGGACATTGGAGGGACATGGGGACTTGGAGCGGATGGGGGACGTGAGGGTTGTGGGGACATCAGGGACAATGGGGACACTGGGGGATGTGGGGAAATGGAAACATCAGGACATGGGGACATTGGGGACATGGAAGGGATGGGGATACTGGGGACATTGGGGACATCAGGGGGACATTGGGGACATCAGGGGGACATGAGGATATGGGGGGAGATGGGGACATCGGGGACATCGAGGACATTGGGGGACATGGGGACATGGAGGGGATGGGGGACCTTGGAGACACTGGGGACATCAGGGACATGAGTGGGACATGGAGGGGATGGGGGACACAGGGACGTGGGGACATGGGGGGACAAGGGGACCTTGGGGACATGGGGGGACAAGGGGACCTTGGGGACACTGGGGACATGGGGGGGTAAGCGACATTGGGGATGTCAGGGGGACATGGGGGGGATGGGGGACGTGGGGATGGTGGGGACATGAGGGGACATGGAGGGGACAGAGGGACATGAGTAGGACATGGGGGACATCGGGGACATGGAAGGGATGGGGGACACAGGGACATAGGGGGGACATGGGGGGGACATGGAGGGGATGGAGGACCTTGGGGACACTGGGGACATTGGGGACATGGGGGGGATGGAAGGGATGAGGGACATTGGGGACATCAGGGGGACATCAGGGGACATGGAGGGGATGGGGGACACAGGGATGTGGGGACATGGAGGGACACAGAGGGGACAGGGGGACACAGGGATGTGGGGACATGAAGGTCATGGGGACATGGAGTGGACACAGGGGACATGGGGGGCACAGGAGGGGCCAGGTGGCCGCGGTGTCCCCCCAGTGTCCCCTCGGTGTCCCCCCGGTGTCCCCTCGGTGTCCCCTCGGTGTCCCCAGCGGGAGGAGGGGCGGCTGCAGGGCCAGCTGGAGCACTCGGACGCGGCGCAGTACATCCGGCACCTGCAGGGCCACATCCGGCAGCTCAAGGCCGAGGTGAGACATTGGGGACATTGGGGACATTGGGGACATTGGGGACATCACTGGGGACACCACTGGGGACACCACTGGGGACATTGGGGACACTGGGGACACGGGGGGCGCAGTACATCCGGCACCTGCAGGGCCACATCCGGCAGCTCAAGGCCGAGGTGGGACACTGGGGACACTGGGGACATCACTGGGGACACTGGGGACATCACTGGGGACATCACTGGGGACATCACTGGGGACATGGGGGGCGCAGTACATCCATCACCTGCAGGGCCACATCCGGCAGCTCAAGGCTGAGGTGGGGACACTGGGGACACTGGGGACATCACTGGGGACATCACTGGGGACATTGGGGACACTGGGGATGTTGGGGACATTGGGGACACGGCGGGTGCAGTACATCCGGCACCTGCAGGGCCACATCCGGCAGCTCAAGGCTGAGGTGAGACATTGGGGACATTGGGGACATCACTGGGGACACTGGGGACACCACTGGGGACATTGGGGACATCACTGGGGACATTGGGGACACGGGGTGCAGTACATCCGGCACCTGCAGGGCCACATCCAGCAGCTCAAGGCCGAGGTGGGACACTGGGGACACTGGGGACATCACTGGGGACACTGGGGGCCAGGGACGTAGGGAGACACCCAGGTGGCATCCAGGGGGGCTGGGGGAGGTGACAGGGGTTGGGGACACCCACGTGGCACCCACAGGTCCTGGGGGACCCCCAGTCTGGCCCCAGGTGCCACCAGCCATGTCCCCTCAGTGCCACATGGCCTGGGGACAGCTGGTGACAGCGCGTTCCCCCTGTGTCCTCCCTCCTGCCCTTCCCTGTTGGCCTTTGTCCCCTCCTGTCCCTTGTCCCTGTCCCCATCTCCATTCCTGTCCTTGTCCCCTCACTGTCCCCTGTCCCCTCCCCTCTCTGTCCCCTCTGTCCCTGCTTCCCCCTCTCTGTCCCCTGTCTCTGTCCTCACTGTCCCCTGTCCCCTGCCTGTCCCTGCTGTTCCCTGTCCTGCTGTCCCCTGCCTGTCCCTCACTGTCCCCCCTCTGTCCCCTCTCTGTTCCTGTCTCATGTTCCCTGCTGTCCCCTCTCTGTCCCCTGTCCCTGTCCCCACTGTCCCCTCTGTCCCCTGTCCCAGATCCGGCTGCTGCGGGGGCCGCTGTCCTTTGGCGCGGTGGCCTTGGGGACGCGCCTGGGGGACGAGGACTCGCTGGGCTCCTCGGACGAGGAGCTGCCCCCGCCGCCCTTCACCCTGACCCCGGGGGACATCGGGGACACCGGGGACAGCAGCGACAGCGAGCCCGAGGTGCCACCGACGGCACCGTGACACCCAGGGGACACCGGGGACACTGGGGACAGCAGTGACAGCAGTGACAGCGAGCCCGAGGTGGCACCCACAGCACCGTGACACCCAGGGGACACCGGGGACACTGGGGACAGCAGTGACAGCAGTGACAGCGAGCCCGAGGTGGCACCCACAGCACCGTGACACCCAGGGGACACCGGGGACAGCGGGGACAGCAGTGACAGCGAGCCCGAGGTGGCACCCACAGCACCGTGACACCCTGGGGACACCGGGGACATTGGGGACAGCAGTGACAGTGAGCCTGAGGTGGCACCGACAGCACCGTGACACCCTGGGGACATTGGGGACAGCAGTGACAGCGAGCCCGAGGTGGCACCGACGGCTCCGTGACACCCAGGGGACACTGGGGACAGAGAGCCTGAGGTGGCACCAACAGCACCCTGACCTCAAGGAACATTGGGGGCACTGGGGACAGCAGTGACACCGAGCCTGAGGTGGCACCAATGGCACCGTGACACACAGGGGACACCGGGGACAGCAGTGACAGCGAGCCCGAGGTGGCACCCACAGCACCGTGACACCCAGGGGACATTGGGGACACCGGGGACAGCAGCGACAGCGAGCCCGAGGTGCCACCGACGGCACCGTGACACCCAGGGGACATTGGGGACATTGGGGACAGCAGTGACAGCGAGCCTGAGGTGGCACCCACAGCACCGTGACACCCAGGGGACACCGAGGACAGCAGTGACACCAAGCCTGAGGTGGCACCCATGGCACCGTGACACCCAGGGGACACTGGGGACATTGGGGACAGCAGTGAAACTGAGCCTGAGGTGGCACCAGCAGCACCATGACCTGAGGGGACACTGGGGACATTGGGGACAGCAGTGACAGCCCAAGGTGGCACCAATGGCACCGTGACTGACAGGGGACAGTGGGGACAGCAGTGACACCAGCCCATGGCACCGTGACCTGAGGGGACACTGGGGACAGCCTGAGGTGGCACCCAGGGACCCACAGGGACAGTGGGGACACTGGGGACATTGGGGACACCTGTGGGTCCTGTGGCACCTGGGGGACATCCCAGGTCCCTGTGGCACTTTGGGGACACCAGGGGACCCTGAGGGACACCAAGGACCCTGAGGGGACACCTGTGACAAGCAGGGGACACTGGGGGACATGCAGGGGACCCTGAGGGACACCAAGGACACTGAGGGGACACAGAGGGAGGACATGTAGGACACCTGGGGGACACCAAGGGACATCTGTGACACCTGAGGGACACCGAGGGGACACTGAGAGACAGCCCTGGCCTGGCTGATCCCGCACAGGGACAGGGACAGGACAGGGATGGGGACAGGGACAGAGGGGACAGGGACAGGGGTGGATCCCGGGATGGGGACAGGGACAAGGATGGGGACACATCTGGCACAGGGACAATCCCAGGGCACAGCTGGATCTGGGACAGGGACAGGGACACACCTGGGACAGGAATGGGGACAGGGACAGGGACACACCTGGGACAGGGATGCACCAGGGACAGGGACACAGTGAGGCCCTGGGACAGGGACGGGGACAGGGACACACCTGGGACAGGGACGGGGTTGGGGACAATCCCAGGGCACCCCTGGACACGGCCAGAGCCCAGGACGGGACAGGGACAGGGACAGGGACAGTGCTGGGACACACCTGGGACAGGGACAGGGCTGGGACAGGAACAGGGACACAGCCGGACACTGGACACAGCCAGGCCCTGGGACAGGGACAGTGCCACAACAGGGACAGGGACAGGGACACAGCTGGGACAGGGACACAGCCAGGCCCTGGGACAGGGACAGGGACACAGCTGGGACAGGGACACAGCCAGGCCCTGGGACAGGGACAGGGACACAGCTGGACACTGGGCACAGCCAGGCCCTGGGACAGGGCCACAGGCACAGCAGGGACAGTTCCCAGGACAGGGACAGGGACAGTGCTGGACACTGGACATGGCCAGAGCCCAGGACACAGCCAGGTCACTGCTGGACACAGCACAGCTGGACAGGGACAGGGACACAGCTGGACAGGGACACAGCTGGGACAGGGACACAGCTGGACAGGGACACAGCTGGGACAGGGACACAGCTGGACAGGGACAGGGACAGGGACAGGACAGGGACACAGCTGGACACAACAGCCAGATCCCAGGACAGGACAGGGACACAGCTGGGACAGGGACAGGGACACTGGACACGGCCAGATCCCAGGACAGGACAGGGACACTGCTGGGACAGGGACAGGGACAGGGACAGGGCCACAACAGGGACAGGGACACAGCTGGGACAGGGACAGGGACACTGGACACGGCCAGAGCCCAGGACATGACAGGGACACTGCTGGGACATGGCTGGACACTGGACACAACCGGATCCCAGGACACGGCCGGACACTGGGACAGGGACAGACACGGGGATGGGGACAGACACTGGGACACAGGGACAGACACTGGGACACAGGGACAGACACTGGGACAGGGACACTCCCAGGACAGATCCCTGGACACCGGGCATGGCCGGACACTGGGACAAAGGGACACTCCCAGGACAGATCCCAAGACACTGGGCAGGGACAGATCCCAGGACAGGGACAGATCCCAGGACAGGGACAGATTCCAGGACAGGGACAGACACTGGGACACAGGGACAGACACTGGGACACAGGGACAGACACCGGGCAGGGCCGGATCCCGGCTGTGGTGGATCCCAGGCTCGGTTCCCTCCTGGATGCTCTGGGACCAGCACGGACGTGAGCGGATCCCCCTGGACAGCCCCGGGTGGGTCCCGGACCCCCCAAATGGATCCCAGACCCCCCAAATGGATCCCAGATCCCCCCAAATGGATCCCAGACCCCCCAGATGGATCCTGGGCCTCTCTGGGTGGATCCCAGACCCCCCAAATGGATCCCAGATCCCCCCAAATGGATCCCAGATCCCCCCAAATGGATCCTGGGCCTCTCTGGATGGATCCCAGACCCCTCTGGACTCCCTGGATGGATCCCAGATCCCCCAAATGGATCCCAGACTCTTCAAATGGACCCTGGACCCCTCTGGACTCGCAGGATGGGTCCCAGATCCCCTTGGACCCCTCAAATGGAACCCGGACCCCTCTGGACCTTCTGGACGGATCCCAGATCCCCCAAATGGATCCCAGACTCTTCAAATGGATCCTGGGCCTCTCTGGATCTCTGGGATGGATCCCGGATCCCCCTGGACCCCTTGAATGGATCCTGGACCCCTCTGGATCTTCTGGGTGGATCCTGGAGCCCCCAAATGGATCCCAGATCCCCCCGGAGCCCTCGTATGGACTCCAGAGCCCCCGAATGGGTCCCGGACCCCAAATGGATCCCCCAGACAGATCCCAGATCCCCTGGGTGGATTCTGGAGCTCCTTGGATGGATCTCGGATCCCAAATGGATCCCCTGGATGGATCCTGGATCCCCCTGGAGCCCTGGATGGATCCCAGATCCCAAATGGACCCCCTGGATCCCCCTGGACCCCTTGAATGGATCCTGGACCACCCAAATGGGTCCCGGACCCCTCTGGACCCTGGGCGGATCCCAGATCCCAAATGGACCTACAGGACGGATCCCAGATCCCAAATGGATCCCCTGGATGGATCCTGGGGACCCTTGGACAGATCCCAGATCCCAAATGGACCCACAGGACAGATCCCAGATCCATGGATGGATCCCAGATCCCAAATGGACCCACGGGACGGATCCCGGATCCATGGATGGATCCCAGACCCCTCTGGACCCTGGACAGATCCCGGATCCCAAATGGACCCACAGGACAGATCCCAGATCCATGGATGGATCCCAGACCCCAAATGGATCCCCTGGGCGGATCCCAGACCGGGACAATTGTGGGGTCACCCCCCCCGCCCCTCCCCCTCTGTACAGAAATACAGGATCCCAAAAAGCCTCGAGTCCGCCCCAAAATTCCTCAGAGCGACCCCAAAAACCCCGGCCGGGACCCCAAAATCTCAGAGATTCACCCCAAAATTTCTGGGACCCCAAAATCGCCGAGATTGGCCCCAAAACCTTTGGGGGTTGACCCCAAACACTCCTGGAATTCCCAAAATCCCCGAGAGTGGCCCCAAAATCTTTTGGATTGAGCCCAAACCCTCCTGGAATTCCCAAATCCCTGAGATCGACCCCAAAACCTTCGGGATTGACCCCAGAACGCCCCTGGGGGACCCCAATGAGCACAGGGGGGTTCAGCAGCTGTGCACAGGTGTGTAATGGGTGTGTACAGGTGTGCACAGGTGTGTAATGGGTGTGTACAGGTGTGTAATAGGTGTGCACAGGTGTGCACGGGTGTGTACAGGTGTGCACAGGTGTGCACAGGTGTGTACATGTGTGTAATGGGGGTGCACAGGTGTGTAATGGGTGTGTGACAGGTGTGTACAGGTGTGTACGGGGGTGCACAGGTGTGTAATGGGTGTGTACAGGTGTGTAACAGGTGTGCACAGGTGTGTACAGGTGTGTAATGGGTGTGTACAGGTGTGTACATGTGTGTAATGGGTGTGCACAGGTGTGTACAGGTGTGCACAGGTGTGTGATGGGGTGTAATGTGTGTGTACAGGTGTGAAACAGGTGTGTACAGGTGTGTAACGGGTATGTACAGGTGTGTACAGGTGTGTAACAGGTGTGTGATGGGTGTGTACAGGTGTGTAATGGGTGTATAATGGGTGTGAGCAGGTGTGTACAGGTGTGCACAGGGGTGTAGTGGGTGTAATGCGTGTGTACAGGTGTGTAATGGGGGTGTACAGGTGTGCACAGGTGTGTAAATGTGTGTACAGGTGTGTAATGGGTGTGCACAGGTGTGTAACAGGTGTGTAAATGTGTGTACAGGTGTGTAACGGGTGTGCACAGGTGTGCACAGGTGTGTAAAGGTGTGCACAGGTGTGTAATGGGTGTGCACAGGTGTGTACAGGTGTGTAAAGGTGTGCACAGGTGTGTAATGGGTGTGCACAGGTGTGTACATGTGTGTAATGGGTGTGCACAGGTGTGTACAGATGTGTAATGGGTGTGCACAGGTGTGTACAGGTGTGCACAGGTGTGTGATGGGTGTGCTCAGGTGTGTAATGGGGTGTAATGTGTGTGTGCAGGTGTGTAATGGGTGTGTAATGGGTGTGTACAGGTGTGAAACAGGTGTGTACAGGTGTGTAACGGGTATGTACAGGTGTGTACAGGTGTGTAACAGGTGTGTGATGGGTATGTACAGGTGTGTAATGGGTGTATAATGGGTGTGAGCAGGTGTGTACAGGTGTGCACAGGGGTGTAATGGGTGTAATGCGTGTGTACAGGTGTGTAATGGGGGTGTACAGGTGTGCACAGGTGTGTAAATGTGTGTACAGGTGTGTAATGGGTGTGCACAGGTGTGTAACAGGTGTGTAACAGGTGTGTAAATGTGTGTACAGGTGTGTAATGGGTGTGCACAGGTGTGTACAGGTGTGTAACGGGTGTGTACAGGTGTGTACAGGTGTGTGATGGGTATGTACAGGTGTGTAATAGGTGTGCACAGGTGTGTAATGGGTGTGTAACAGGTGTGTAAGGGCTGTGGAACCCATACAGGTGTGCACAGGTGTGTAATAGGTGTGCACAGGTGTGTAATGGGTGTGTAACAGGTGTGTAAGGGCTGTGTAACAGATACCAGGTGTGTGACCCCACCCCCAATCCCCTCCCCAACTCCGTTCCCACCCCGCCGCCTTGGGCTATACCAGCCCCCCCCTTGGGGTCTGAGCCCCGCCCCTTTGGGGTCTGAGCCCCGCCCCTTTGGGTCTCAGCCCCGCCCCTTTGTGCTCCGCCTCTCCCCCGCTCCTTCGCTCTTCTGGCCCCGCCCCTTCGCACCCTCCCCGTCCATGCCCCGCCCCGTAACGCTCCGTGCTGGCTCCTGATTGGCTGCGAGCGCGGGCGCGCCCATTGCCGGCGGCGCTGGGGTGGGGAGGGAGCGGCCACGCCTTTTCCTGCCGCCCCCGCCTCCCATTGGGCCGCGCGGGGCGGGGCGGCCGCGCTGATTGGTCGGGGCAGGGCGGGGCGGCGGCGCTGATTGGTGCGGGCGGGGTTTGGCCACGCCCTCCCGGAAGTGCCGCTCCGGCAGCAGCGCCCGGCCGGTGAGGGGGAACCGGGACCGGGACCGAAACCGGAACCGGAACCGGAAACGGAACCGGGACCGGGACCGGGGCAGAGCTCGGGGGGGCCGGGACCGCGTGCGGGAGGGGGCGGGGCCGGGGGTCGGTGGGAACCGGGGCCGGGACGGGCCGGGGGTCCCGGGGGGAGCCGGGCCCGGGGAGCGGGGGGGAACCGGGAGGGTTCCGGGGGGTTCCGGGGGGTTCCGGGGCTCGGGGACCCCCCCCGCGTGCCTCAGTTTCCCCCCTCGCCTTTCAGCCCCCAGCGGAGCAGAGCGGGACCCCCCCGGACCTCGGGGTGGGGGCAGCGAGAGACCCCCGGGGACACCGGGAGCCAAAAAGAAACCCCGGGAACACCGGGAGCCCCCCAAAACCCCTCCGGATACACCGGGACCCCCCCGGGAACACCGGGAGCTCCCCAAAACCCCTCCGGATACACCGGGACCCCCCCGGGGACACCGGGACCCCCCCGGGCACCCTCCAAAACCAACTCAACGCCCCCCAGAAAGCCCCGAACCCCCCCAAAATCCCCCCTGAACCCCACGCCAGACCCTCCCAGACCCCCCCAAACCCCTCCGGACCCCCTCGGCTCCACCTTAATCCCCCCCAGACCCTCCCAGAACCCCCCAAAATCCCCTCTTAGACCCCCCCAAACTCTCCCAGACCCCTCCAAGACCCCCCAAAATCCCCTCCTAGGTGTCCCAAACCTCCCCCAGACTCCCCAAAACCCCCTCAGAGCCCCCTAAGAGCCCCCAAAATCCCCTCTAGACCCCCCCAAAACCGCTCCAGATCCGCTCAGCTGCACCTAGATCCCCCCAAAGCTCCAAAAATCCCCTCCTAGACCCCCCAAAACCCCCTCAGACCCCCCCAGCACCCCCCAAATCCCCTCCTAGACCCCCCCAATCCCTTCTAGACCCCCCCAAACTCTCCCAGACACCCCCCAAACTCTCCCAGACCCCCCCCAAATCCCCCAAAATCCCCTCCTAGACCCGCCCCAATCCCTTCTAGAGCCCCCCAAAACCCCCCAAAACCCCCTCAGCTCCACCGAGATCCCCCCAGACCCCCCAAACTCCGCACCAGACCCTCCCCAGACCCCCAAACTCCCCCCAGACCCTTCCAGCGCCCCCAAATCCCCTCCTGGACGCGCTCCCCCGTCCCCTGTAGCCCCCCAGAGCCCCGATGCCGCTGGGGCTGGGCCGCCGCAAGAAGCCGCCGCCGCTGGTGGAGAACGAGGAGGGCGCCGGGGGCCGCGGGGGGGCCCCGGGAGAGCCCGGGGGGGCCCCGGGGGGGGTCCCGGGGGCGGCGCCCCCTCCGCAGCCGCTGCGGCCCCGCCTGGTGTTCCACACGCAGCTGGCGCACGGCAGCGCCACCGGCCGCGTGGAGGGGTTCGGGAACGTGCGGGAGCTGTACGGGAAAATAGGAGAGGCCTTCGGGATCCCGCCCAGCGAGGTGAGACTGGGAGCACTGGGATGGACTGGGATGGACTGGGTTATACTGGGATGGGGCTGGGTTATACTGGGTTATACTGGGATGGGGCTGGGTTATACTGGGATGGGGCTGGGAGGGGTTCGGGAACGTGCGGGAGCTGTACGGGAAAATAGGAGAGGCCTTCGGCATCCCGCCCAGCGAGGTGAGACTGGGAGCACTGGGATGGACTGGGATGGACTGGGAATGGGCTGGGTTATACTGGGTTATACTGGGTTACACTGGGAATGGGCTGGGTTATACTGGGTTATACTGGGATGGGGTTCGGGAACGTGCGGGAGCTGTACGGGAAAATAGGAGAGGCCTTCGGGATCCCGCCCAGCGAGGTGAGACTGGCATGGACTGGGAATGGACTAGGATATACTGGGATATACTGGGAATGGGCTGGGTTATACTGGGATGGACTGGGAATGGGCTGGGTTATACTGGGTTATACTGGGATGGGGTTCGGGAATGTGCGGGAGCTGTACGGGAAAATAGGAGAGGCCTTCGGGATCCCGCCCAGCGAGGTGAGACTGGGATGGACTGGGATATAGTGGGAATGGACTGGGATGGACAGGGTTATACTGGGATGGGCTGGGTTATACTGGGATATACTGGGAATGGAGTGGGTTAGACTGGGAATGGAGTGGGTTAGACTGGGATATACTGGGAATGGGCTGGGTTATACTGGGTTATACTGGGATGGACTGGGTTATACTGGGAATGGGCTGGGTTATATTGGGATGGACTGGGTTATACTGGGAATGGACTGGGTTATACTGGGAATGGGCTGGGTTATACTGAGTTATACTGGGAATGGACTGGGTTAGACTGGGATATACTGGGAATGAGCTGGATTATACTGGGATGGACTGGGTTAGACTGGGATATACTGGGAATGGACTGGGTTATACTGGGTTATACTGGGTTATACTGGGATGGGGCTGGGATAGACTGGGAGGGACTGGGATGGCACACTGAACACGCCAGTGTCCCCAGTGTCCCCAGTGTCCCCCCAGGTGCTGTTCTGCACACTCAGCACCCTCAGGTGGGCACGGAGAAATTCCTGGGGGGGCAGATTGGGATGGGGGATTTGTCCCCAGTGTCCCCAGACAATGTCCCAGTGTCCCCAGGTGCTCTCCTGTGTCCCCAGTGTCCCCACCTGTCCCCAGGTGCTGTCCTGTGTCCCCAATGTCCCCACCTGTCCCCAGGTGCTGTTCTGCACGCTGAACACGCCCCAGGTGGACATGGAGAAGCTGCTGGGGGGGCAGATCGGGCTCGAGGATTTCATCTTCGCGCACACGCGGGGCCGCCAGAAGGACGTGCAGGTGCTGAAATCTGAGGAGGCGCTGGGGCTGACCATCACCGACAACGGAGCTGGATACGCCTTCATCAAGGTGAGACACACCTGGGACAGGTGAGATACACCTGGGGACACACCTGGGATAGGTGAGACACACCTGGGGACAGCTGGGGACACACGGGGACAGTGCAGGTGCTGAAATCTGAGGAGGCCCTGGGGCTGACCATCACCGACAACGGAGCTGGATACGCCTTCATCAAGGTGAGACACACCTGGGACAGGTGAGACACACCTGGGGACACACCTGGGATAGGTGAGACACACCTGGGACACACCTGGGATAGGTGAGATACACCTGGGATAGGTGAGATACACCTGGGACACACCTGGGATAGGTGAGACACACCTGGGGACACCCAGGGACACACCTGGGTGCATGTAGGAACACCTGGGGACACAGCTGGGGCTGACCATCACCGACAACGGAGCTGGATACGCCTTCATCAAGGTGAGACACACCTGGGACAGGTGAGACACACCTGGTGACACACCTGGGATAGGTGAGACACACCTGGGAGACGTGAGACACACCTGGGACACGTGAGACACACCTGGGGACACCCAGGGACACACCTGGGTGCATGTAGGAACACCTGGGGACACAGCTGGGGCTGACCATCACTGACAACGGAGCTGGATACGCCTTCATCAAGGTGAGACACACCTGGGACAGGTGAGACACACCTGGGACACACCTGGGATAGGTGAGACACACCTGGGATAGGTGAGACACAGCTGGGGACACACCTGGGACAGGTGAGACACACCTGGGACAGGTGAGACACAGCTGGGGACACACCTGGGATAGGTGAGACACACCTGGGGGCAGCTGGGGACACACCCAGGGACACACCTGGGTGCATGTAGGAACACACCTGGGGACACACCTGGGATAGGTGAGATACACCTGGGATAGGTGAGACACAGCTGGGATAGGTGAGACACACCTGGGATAGGTGAGACACACCTGGGGACACACCTGGGATAGGTGAGACACAGCTGGGACAGGTGAGACACAGCTGGGGACACACCTGGGACACGTGAGACACACCTGGGGGCACACCTGGGATAGGTGAGACACACCTGGGACAGGTGAGACACACCTGGGACACACCTGGGATAGGTGAGACACACCTGGGACAGGTGAGACACACCTGGGACACACCTGGGATAGGTGAGACATACCTGGGGACACAGGGACAGGTGAGACACACCTGGGGACACACCTAGGGACAGGTGAGACACACCTGGGCAGGTGAGACACAGCTGAGGGACACCTGGGGACAGCTGGGGACACACCTGGGTGTGTGTGCTGGGGCTCACCATCACCAACAACAGAACGGGCCACACCTTTGTCAAGGTGAGACACACCTGGGGACACACCTGGGACAGGTGAGACACACCAGGGGACACAGCTGGGACAGGTGAGACACACCTGGGGACACACCTGGGACAGGTGGGACACACCTGGGGACACAGCTGGGACAGGTGAGATGCACCTGGAGACAGCCAGGTGGGGACAACGGGACAGTGCTGGGGCTCACCGTCACCAACAACAGGTGACCCCAGGTGCCCCCAGGTGACTGAGATGATCTCAGGTGTGACCCAGGTTACCCAGGTGTGACCCAGGTGTCCCCAGGTGTCCCCAGGTGTTCCCAGGTGTGTCCAGGTGTGACCCAGGTGTCCCCAGGTGTGAGCCAGGTGTGTTCCCTGTCCCCCAGCGGATCTGGGAGGGCTCAGTGATGGCGCGCACGCCCCAGGTGTGACCCAGGTTACCTGGGTTACACAGGTTACACAGGTTGCACAGGTTATCCAGGTGTCCCCAGGTGTCCCCAGGTGTGACCCAGGTGTCCCCAGGTGTGTCCAGGTGTGACCCAGGTGTGTCTGTGTCCCCCAGCGGATCCGGGAGGGCTCGGTGATGGCACGCACACCCCAGGTGTCCCCAGGTGTGACCCAGGTGTGACCCAGCTGTCCCCAGGTGTGACCCAGGTGTCCCCAGGTGTCCCCAGGTGTGACCCAGGTGTCCCCAGGTGTCCCCAGGTGTGTTCAGGTGTGTCTGTGTCCCCCAGCGGATCCGGGAGGGCTCGGTGATGGCGCGCACGCCCCAGGTGTGACCCAGGTGTGTCCCAGGTTACACAGGTTACACATGTGGCTCAGGTGTCCCCAGGTGTCCCCAGGTGTGTCCCAGGTGTCCCCAGGTGTGAGCCAGGTGTGTCTGTGTCCCCCAGCGGATCCGGGAGGGCTCGGTGATGGCGCGCACGCCCCAGGTGTGACCCAGGTTACACAGGTGGCTCAGGTTATCCAGGTGTCCCCAGGTGTCCCCAGGTGTGAGCCAGGTGTCCCCAGGTGTCCCCAGGTGTGAGCTAGGTGTGTTCCCTGTCCCCCAGCGGATCCGGGAGGGCTCGGTGATGGCGCGCACGCCCCAGGTGGGCGTCGGGGACGTGCTGGAGGCGCTGGATGGGCGCAGCCTGGTGGGGACGCGGCACTTTGAGGTGGCGCGGCTGCTGCAGGAGCTGCCCCGCGGGCACCGCTTCAGGCTGAGGCTGACCGAGCCCAGGAGGGCCTGGGGTGGGTACTGGGATTGAACTGGGAGGGACTGGGATGGGCTGGGAGGGACTGGGATTGAACTGGGATTGAACTGGGAATGAATGGGATTGAACTGGGGTCAGTGGAGCTGGAGCTGCCCCGTGGGCACCGCTTCAGGCTGAGGCTGACCGAGCCCAGGAGGGCATGGGGTGGGTACTGGGAGCACTGGGAGGGACTGGGATGGGCTGGGAGGGACTGGGATTGAACTGGGAATGAGTGGGATTGGACTGGGAACACTGGGATTGGACTGGGGTCAATGGAGCTGGAGCTGCCCCGTGGGCACCGCTTCAGGCTGAGGCTGACCGAGCCCAGGAGGGCGTGGGGTGAGCAACTGGGAGCACTGGGAGGGACTGGGATGGGCTGGGAATCAATGGGATTGGACTGGGAACGAATGGGATTGGACTGGGGTCAATGGAGCTGGAGCTGCCCCGTGGGCACCGCTCCAGACTGAGGCTGACCGAGCCCAGGAGGGCCTGGGGTGGGTACTGGGAGCACTGGGATTGAACTGGGAGCACTGGTATGGCACTGGGAGCACTGGTATGGCACTGGGAGGGACTGGGAGCACTGGGATTGAACTGGGCTGTACTGGGGAGGTCTGACGGTGCCCTCGCAATGGGGACCCCTGTGTGACCCCCGTGTGACCCCTGTGTGACCCCCATGTGTCCTCCCTGTGTGACCCCTCTGTGACCCCTGTGTCCTCCCCTGTGTCCCGTGTCCCCTCTGTGTCCCCTGTGTGACCCCTGTGTGTCCCCTCTGTGACCCCTGTGTGACCCCTGTGTGTCCCCTCTGTGACCCCTCTGTGACCCCTCTGTGACCCCTGTGTCCTCCCCCGTGTGACCCCTGTGTCCCCTCTCTGTCCCCAGACGGGGTCGGGCCCCGCTCCGGGGGGGTCTCGGCTCGGGGGGGGCCCCCCCAGGTGCTCTCGGGCCGGGGGACGCTGAGGCTGCGCTCGAGGGGCCCGGCCACGCTGCAGGAGCAGGTAGGGACCAAAAACACCCCAAAACCACCCCAAAACCACCCCAAAAACACCCCAAAACCACCCCAAAACTGGCCACGCTGCAGGAGCAGGTAGGGACCAAAACCACCCCAAAAACACCCCAAAATCACCCCAAAAACACCCCAAAATCACCCCAAAACCACCCCCAAAATCACCCCAAAAACACCCAAAAAACACCCCAAAATCACCCCAAAATCACCCCCAAAACACCCCAAAATCACCCCAAAACTGGCCACACTGCAGGAGCAGGTAGGGACCAAAAACACCCCAAAAACACCCCAAAATCACCCCAAAACACCCCAAAACTGGCCACACTGCAGGAGAAAGTAGGGACCAAAATCACCCCAAAATCACCCAAAAACACCCCAAAAACACCCCAAAATCACCCCAAAAGTGGCCACACTGCAGGAGCAGGTACAGACCCCAAAACGAACCCCAGAACCACCCCAAAACTGCCAGGGGACCCCCAAAATCCCCTTGGGACCCCCCAGAATCCCCTCGGGACCCCCAAAATCCCCTTGGGACCCTCGGGGATCCCCCAAACTGCCCCAAACTGCCCCAAACTGCCCCAAACTCCCGCAGCCGTCGGCGTTCGAGGAGCGCGCGGTGGCCAAGGTGGACGATCTGCTGGAGAGCTACATGGGCATCCGGGACAGCGAGCTGGGTGAGCCCCCCAAAATCCCGGGCACCCCAAAATCCGGGACCCCAAAATCCTGGGGGACCCCAAAATCCTGGGGGACCCCAAAATCCAGGACCCCCAAACCCAGGGGAACCCCGAACAACCCTCCAGGATTACCCCAAAACTGCCCCGATCACCCCAAACCCCCCGTGCTCTGCTGGAGAGCTCCAGGGGCATCCGGGACAGCGAGCTGGGGGAGCCCCCCAAAATCCCGGGGGACCCCGAAATCCGGGACCCCAAAATCCCAGGGAAACCCCAAAATCCTGGAAATCCCCTAAATAAACCCCCTGGGATCACCCCAAAACTGCCTCAATCACCCCAAACCCCCCGGACTCTGCTGGAGAGCTCCAGGGGCATCCGGGACAGCGAGCTGGGGGAGCCCCCCAAAATCCTGGGGGACCCCAAAATCCTGGGGGGACCCAAAAATCTGGGACCCTAAAATCCTGGGGGAACCCCAAACAACCCCCCGGGATCACCCCAAACTGCCCTGATCACCCCAAACCCCCCGGACTCTGCTGGGGAGCTCCATGGGCATCCGGGACAGCGAGCTGGGGGAGCTCCCCAAAATTCACAGGGACCCCAAAATCCGGGACCCCAAAATCCTGGGGAACCCCAAAACCAGGACCCCAAAATCCTGGGGAACCCCAAAAAAACCCCCCGGGATCACCCCAAACTGCCCCCATCACCCCAAACCCCTCTGGGTTCTGCTGAGGAGTTCTGTTGGGAACAACGAGCTGGGTGAGCCCCCCAAAATCTGGGAACCCCAAAATCCTGGGGAACCCCAAAATCCTGGGGAAACCCCCAGAAAACCCCCCGGGATTCCCCCAAACCCCCCCAAACTGCCCCAATCACCCCAAACCCCCCGGGCTCTGTGAGCTGGGGAAGCCCCAAAATCCGGGACCCCAAAATCCTGGGGACCCCCCCAAAACCCCCTGGGACCCCTGGACTGTCCCCTGATGTCCCCATCTCTGTCCCCATGTCCCTGATGTCCCCCAATGTCCCCAGTGTCCCCAGTGTCCCTGACAGTGTCCCCAATATCCCCAATGTCCCCACAGCCGCCACCATGGTGGAGCTGGGCCGTGACGCCCGTGACCCCAATGTGACCCCAATGTCCCCAATGTCCCCAATGTCCCAAATGTCCCCAATTTGTCCCCAGTGTGTCCCCAATGTCCCCAATGTCCCTGACAGTGTCCCCAATGTGTCCCCAATGTCCCCATGTCCCCACAGCGGCCACCATGGTGGAGCTGGGCCGCAACGCCCATGTCCCCAATGTGTCCCCAATGTCCCCAATGTGTCCCCAATGTCCCCAATGTCCCCAGTGTGTCCCCAGTGTGTCCCCAGTGTCCCCATGTCCCCACAGCGGCCACCATGGTGGAGCTGGGCCGTGACGCCCGTGACCCCAATGTCCCCAATGTCCCCAATGTCCCCAATGTGTCCCCAATGATGTCCCCACAGCCGCCACCATGGTGGAGCTGGGCCGTGACGCCCGTGACCCCAATGTCCCCAATGTCCCCAATGTCCCCAATGTGTCCCCAGTGTGTCCCCAATGTCCCTGACAGTGTCCCCAATGTCCCCAATGTCCCCAATGTGTCCCCAATGTGCCCATTGTGTCCCCAATGTGTCCCCAATGTCCCCACAGCGGCCACCATGGTGGAGCTGGGCCGTGACGCCCGTGACCCCAATGTGTCCCCAGTGTCCCCAATGTCCCCAATGTGTCCCCAATGTGTCCCCAATGTGTCCCCAATGTGTCCCCAGTGTCCCCAATGTGTCCCCAATGTCCCCACAGCGGCCACCATGGTGGAGCTGGGCCGCAATGCCCATGACCCCAATGTCCCTGACAGTGTCCCCAATGTGTCCCCAATGTCCCCAATGTGTCCCCAATGTCCCCACAGCGGCCACCATGGTGGAGCTGGGCCGTGACGCCCGTGACCCCGACGCTCTGGCCGAGGCTCTGGACGCTCAGCTCGGCGACTTCGCCTTCCCGGACGAGTTCGTGTTCGACGTCTGGGGCGCCATCGGCGACGCCAAGGCCGGGCGGTGCTGAGACCCCAAAAACTGGGACCCCAAAAACACCTGGGGGGGACCCCAGAACCGCCGGGAGCCCAAAACCCCGAGACACCCCCAAACGGGGACCCCAAAACCCAGGACACCCCTACATGGGGACCCCAAAACCCTGGGACCCCAAAAACCTGGGACAACCCCAAAACCTGGGACCCCAAAACCCCGAGACACCCCCAAACGGGGACCCCAAAACCCTGGGACACCCCCAAATGGGGACCCCAAAACCCGGGACCCCAAAACCCCGAGACACCCCCAAACGGGGACCCCAAAACCCGGGACCCCAAAACCCTGGGACACCCCCAAACGGGGACCCCAAAACCCAGGACACCCAAAAACCCTGAGACACCCCTAAATGGGGACCCCAAAACCCTGGGACACCCCCAAATGGGGACCCCAAAACCCAGGACACCCAAAACCACTGGGATCCTAAAAACTACTGGGACCCTAAAACCCCAGGACACCCCAAAAACCACTGGGAACCCAAAGCCCCGAGACACCCCTACATGGGGACCCCAAAACCCTGGGACCCCAAAAACCACTGGGAACCCAAAACCCAGGACACCCAAAAACCCTGAGACACCCCAAAACCCGGGACCCCAAAACCCTGGGACACCCCCAAACGGGGACCCTAAAACCCGGGACCCCAAAACCCCGAGACACCCCTACATGGGGACCCCAAAACCCTGGGACGCCCCCAAATGGGGACCCCAAAACCTTGGACCCCAAAAACCACTGTGAACCCAAAAACCACTGGGACCCCAAAACCCGGGACACCCAAAAATCCTGGGACACCCCCAAATGGGGACCCCAAAACCCCGGGATCCCCAAAAACCACTGGGACCCCAAAACCCGGGACCACAAAAACCGCAGGACACTACAAAACTCCCTGGGACACCCCAAAAACCCCAGGACACCCCCCTGAATGGGGACCCCAAAACCAACTGGACATCCCTGAATGGGGACCCCAAAATCCTGGGACCCCCAAAAACTGCTGGGACCCCAAAAATCCTGGGACCCTCCCGAATGGGGACCCCAAAACTCTGGGACACCCCAAAAACTCGGGGACCCCAAAATCCCAGGACCCTCAAAACCCCGGGAAACCCCAAAAACCGCTGGGACCCTAAAAACCCCTGGGTGCCCCCAAATGGGGACCCCAAAACCCCTCAGGACTGGGGACCCCAAAACCCTGGGACACCCCCAAGACTCCCAGGGGCTCCCCTGAATCAGGACACCCCAAAACTCCCTGGGACACCCCAAAAACTGCTGGGACCCCAAAAATCCCGGGACTGTCTTGAACAGGGACCCCAAAACTCCCCGGGATTGGGGACCCCAAAACTCTGGGACACCCCAAAAACCACTGGGACCCCTCTTGATGGGGACCCCAAAATCCCAGCACCCTCAAAACCCCGGGAAACCCCAAAACCCCTGGGTTCCCCCCAAATGGGGACCCCAAAACCCCCCAGGGCCTGTGGGATTGGGGACCCCCCAAAACCTCCCGGGACCCCCCAAGGGATTGGGGCCCCCCATAATTAGGGGGGAACCCCCCCAAAAGCTGGAACCCCCCCCCCCCCCCCAAAATCTGCTGGACCCCCAAAGTGCCCTGAGCCCCCCCCTGGGAGCCCCCCCAAAATTCCCTGGGGACCCCCAAATCCTTTGGGTGTCCCCCCCAGTGCCACCTGAGCCAGTCACCGTCACTGTCACACACTGTCACACACCTGTCACTGTCACACACCTGTCACCTGTCACACACTGTCACTGTCACACACCTGTCACACACCTGTCACACACCTGTCACTGTCACACACTGTCACTGTCACACACCTGTCACACACCTGTCACTGTCACACACCTGTCACTGTCACACACCTGTCACACACCTGTCACACATTGTCACTGTCACACACCTGTCACACACCTGTCACACCTGTCACTGTCACACACTGTCACTGTCACTGTCACACACTGTCACTGTCACACACCTGTCACACACTGTCACTGTCACTCACTGTCACACATCTGTCACACACCTGTCACTGTCACTCACCTGTCACACACCTGTCACACATTGTCACACCTGTCACTGTCACACACTGTCACTGTCACACACTGTCACTGTCACACACCTGTCACACACCTGTCACTGTCACACACTGTCACCTGGCACACACCTGTCACTGTCACACACCTGTCACTGTCACACACCTGTCACTGTCACACATGTCACACACCTGTCACACACCTGTCACTGTCACACACCTGTCACTGTCACACATGTCACACACCTGTCACACACCTGTCACACACTGTCACACACCTGTCACACACTGTCACTGTCACACACCTGTCACTGTCACACACCTGTCACACACCTGTCACTGTCACACACCTGTCACTGTCACACACCTGTCACACACATGTCACTGTCACACACCTGTCACACACCTGTTACTGTCACACACCTGTCACTGTCACACACCTGTCACACACCTGTCACTGTCACACACCTGTCACTGTCACACACCTGTCACCTGTCACACACCTGTCACACACCTGTCACTGTCACACACCTGTCACACACTGTCACTGTCACACACCTGTCACACACCTGTCACACACTGTCACTGTCACACACTGTCACTGTCACACACCTGTCACACACCTGTCACCTGTCACACACCTGTCACTGTCACACACCTGTCACTCACCTGTCACACACCTGTCACCTGTCACACACTGTCACTGTCACACACTGTCAGTCACCCCCACCTGGTGTCACCTGGCGCTGTCACACCCCCAGCCCCCCCCTCCCCCCCCCCCCGGTGTCACCTGCTGGCCCCTCCCCCCCCCCGGGATATTTTTTGTATTTTCATGGAAAAGATTTGGAGATAAAAAAACAGAGAAACGGGAACGGCTGTGGGGGAGGGGAGGGACACACCTGGGGACAGCTGGGGACACACCTGGGGACACACCTGGGGACACACCCATTACACACCCATTACACACCTGGGGACACACCCATTACACACCTGGGGACAGCTGGGGGCACCTGGGGACACACCCGGGGACACACCCATTACACACCTGGGGACACACCCATTACACACCTGGGGACAGCTGGGGACACACCCTTTACACACCTGGGGACAGCTGGGGGCACCTGGGGACAGGTGGGACACACCTGGGACATCTCAGACACACCTGGATACACCTGGAACATCTTGGACACACTTTGGGAACATCTGGGATACACCCGGGCACACCTGGGATACACCTGGGCACACCCATTACACACCTGAGACGCACCTAGGACACACCTGGGACATCTCAAACACACCTGGGCACACCTGGGATACACCTGGATACAGCTGGGGCACACCTGGGATACACCCATTACAAACCTGGGTACACCTGGGACATCTCGGGGACACCTGGGCACACCTGGGGTACACCTGGATACAGCTGGACACCTGGGACACACCTAGGACATCTTGGACACACATGGGCACACCCATTACACACCTGGACACACCTGGAACATCTTGGACACACTTGGGGCACACCTGGGAACATCTGAGATACACCTGGGCACACCTGGGACAGACCTGGGACATCTTGGACACACCTGGGGACACCTGGGACACACCTGGGGGCACTTGGGGCACACCTGAGACACACCTTGCACACCTGGGACATCTCAGACACACCTGGGCACACCCATTGCACACCTGGGACACACCTGGGGGCACCTGGGACACACCTGGGACATCTCAGACACACTTGGGGTACACCGGGGCACACCTGGACACACCTGGGATACACATAGGACACACCTGGGCTACACATAGGACACACCTGGGGACACACCTGGGTACACCTGGGGGCACTTGGGGCACACCTGGGCACACCTGGAACATCTTGGACACACTTGGGGCACACCTGGGACATCTCAGACACACCTGGGACATCTTGGACACACCTGGGCACACCCATGGCACACCTGGGCACACCTGTGTCACTCTTGCGCAGAGGTGGAGGCAGGGGCAGGTGAGGGCAGCAGTGTAGAAATGCCCCAGAGCCCCCCCCAAAACTGCCCCAGGTGCGGGGTTTGGGGTGGGAAACGCGGGGGGCAGGGTCTGGGGTGGGAAATGTGGGGTGCAGAAATGTGGGGTGTGGAGTTTGGAGGGGCAGAATGTGGGGTGCAGAATTTGGGGTGTGGGGTTTAGGGTGCAAAATTTGGGGTGTGAAATGCGGGGTTCAGGGTTTGGAGGGGCGGAGTTTGGGGGGTGGGATTTGGGGTGCAAAATCTGGGGTGTGAAATGTGGGGTGCAGAATTTGAGGTGCAGGGTTTGGGGGTGCAGAATTTGGGGTGCAAAATCTGGGGTGTGAAATGTGGGGTGCAGAATTTGAGGTGCAGGGTTTGGGGGTGCAGAATTTGGGGTGCGGAGTTTGGAGTGCAGGGTTTGGGGTGCGAAATGTGGAGTGCAGATTTTGGGGTGTGGGGATTGGGGTCCCTTGACCCCTGTGGTGTCCTGGTGACCCTTATGGTGTCCCCATGTCCCCTTGGTGTCCCCATGTCCCTCATGGTGTCCCCCTGTCCCCTGCCATGTCCCCCCCTTCAAGGACACACCAAAGCCAATTGCTCAGAAATGACTTTTTTAACCAAAAAAACCCAAAACAAACAAAGGCAGGGAGGGGACAAAAAGTGACCGGACAAGAGCGGTGACACCCCAGAACTGGGTGCCACCAGCAGGGTGGTGACACCCCAGGGTTGGTGACACCCAGGGTTGGTGACACCCAGGGTTGGTGACACCCCAGGGTTGGTGACACCCAGGGTGGTGGCACCCCAGGGTGGTGACACCCCAGGGTTGGTGACACCCAGGGTGGTGGCACCCCAGGGTGGTGGCACCTCGGGGACTCAGGTGGGACAGCCGAAGAACGCCATGTTCTCGGAGAACTCGACGAAGTCCTGGCAGCGGCGCTGGAGCGGCGCGTCCTGGCACGCGGCCTCCGAGGGCCACTGCTCCAGCCAGGTGTCCTTCCCAATCAGGTACCTGTACCTGGGGACACGGGGGACAGCTGGGGACACGGGACAGACAGGGGGACACGGGACAGACAGGGGGACATGGGACAGACAGGGGGACATGGGGACAATGGGGATACACAGGCAATGGGGACACAGGGGACAGCCCTGGGGCCATGGGGACAGTGAGGACAATGGGGACAGACAGGGGGACATGGGGACAGTGGGGACAATGAGGATAAAGGGGATAGAGGGGACAATGGGGACACAGGGGACAGCCATGGGGACGGCAGGGACAATGGCATCAATGGGGGCAATGGGGATATAGGGACTATGGGGACAGTGGGGACAGCCATGGGGACACAAGGACAGCCATGGGGACAGTGGGGATAAAGGGGATGGAGGGGCAATGGGGACAGTGGGGCAATGGGGACATCTGGAATTCAGGGGACAATGGGGCAATGGGGATAAAGGGGACAGTTGGGACAGTGGGGACATTGGGGACCATGGGGCAATGGGGACAATGGGAATTCAGGGGACAATGGGGACAATGGGGATATAGAGGACAGGGGACACAGGGGACAATGGGGACAGTGGGGATATAGGGGTGGCCTCCAAGGGCCACTGCTCCAATGACGATAGAGGGACAATGGGGACATCAGGAATTCAGGGGACAATGGGGACAATGGGGATATAGAGGACAATGGGGACTCCAGGGACAGTGGGGACAATGGGGACAATGGGGACAGTGGGGACCCAGGGGACAATGGGGACATTGTGCCCGTGTCCTACTGTCTGCCGCTGGCCCAGAGGTCGCTGGCCTGTCCCCAGACCAGGTAGTCCTGTCCCCTCTGCAGCCTCAGGCTGTCCCTGCACTGCTGGTGGCTCATGAAGGTCCTGTTGCTGCCGGCCGGGTTCTCGTCCGTGCCTGGCACCGTGATGGCACCGTGGTGTCACCGTGGTGTCATCGTGATGTCACCGTGATGGCACCTTGGCACCGTGTCACCATGTCCCCCCCTGTGGTGGCCTTGTCGCTCCCAAGGTGGCTGTGTCCCCCCATGATGGCCATGTTCCCGCCCATGGTGACCTTGTCCACCCTGTGGTGGCCTTGTCCCCACCATAGTGGCCTTGTCCCCGCCCCAAGGTGACCATGTCACCTTGTTGAGGTGACCTTGTCCTCCTTCCATGGGCACCCATGATGGCCTTGTCCCCCATGGTGGCCATGTTCACCCATGGTGGCCTTGTCCCCAGCCCATGGTGGCCTTGTCCCCCCCCCGAGGTGGCCTTGTCCCCACCATGGTGGCCTTGTCCGCCCCCCGAGGTGGCCTTGTCCCCAGCCCATGGTGGCCTTGTCCCCCCCCCCCCATGGTGGCCTTGTCCCCCCCCCCCATGGTGGCCTTGTCCCCCCCCCATGGTGGCCTTGTCCCCAGCCCATGGTGGCCTTGTCCCCAGCCCATGGTGGCCTTGTCCCCCTCATGGTGGCCTTGTCCCCCCCGTGGTGGCCGTACCCATCTTGATGACCGACAGCACCTCCATGATGTAATTGTCGTAGGCCGGGGTCTCCTCCTGTGCCAGCAGCCTCACCTTGTACACTGCCAGGGGACACATTGGGGACAATGGGGACAGTCACCCCCGCCAGGGTGGCCCTTCCGTGTCCCCTGTCCCCACCGTGTCCCTCCCTGCTCCTGCCATGTCCCCGATGTCCCCAATGTCCCTAATGCCACCCACCATGATCCCTTATCACCCCATGTCCCCAATGACCACTCCCAATGTCCCCAATGTCCCCAATCCCCCAAAGTCCCCATTGTCCCCCAATGTCCCCAATGCCCCTGATGTCCCTAACGCCACCCGCCATGATCCCTTATCACCCCATGTCCCCAGTGTCCCCAATGACCACTCCCAATGTCCCCAATGTCCCCATTGTCCCCCAATGTCCCCAATGCCCCTGATGTCCCCAGTGTCCCCCAATGTCCCCAATGTCCCCAATGCCCCCATTGTCCCCATTGTCCCCGATGTCCCCGATGTCCCAATCCCCCAATGTCCCTGATGTCCCCAGTGTCCCCCAATGTCTCCATTGTCCCCAACATCCCCATTGTCCCCCAATGTCCCCACTGTCCCTGATGTCCACCCCCAATGTCCCTGATGTCCCCATTGTCCCCTATGTCCCCCAATGTCCCCAATATCCTTGATGCCTCCAACATCCCCAATGCCCTCCAGTATCCCCATTGTCCCCAACATCCCTGATGTCCCCATTGCCCCCATTGTCCCAATGCCCTCAATGTCCCCATTGTCCCCAGTGTCCCCACTGTCCCCATGTCCCACCGAAGTCCACCCCGGGCTCGCAGGCCTTCTCGATGCGTTGGTTGACCGTGATGTCCCTGGGCTCCTCCTGGCGCTTGAAGCAGCTCTCTGTGGGGACACCGTGGGGACATCGTGGGGACATCATGGGGACATTGTGGGGACATCGTGGGGACATCGTGGGGACACAGCCATGACAAGGTCAGCTGTGGCAGGGACGTGTCCCCATCACAGTCATGACATGTGACGTCTCATCAAAAATGACGTGTCCCCACCAGGGTCGTGACGTGTCCCACCACAGCAGGGACGTGTCCCCATTGTGGTCATAACCTGTGACAGTTCCTCAGGGGCATGTCCCACCATGGCCATAACGTGTTCCATCACATCAATGTGTCCCACCATGGCCAGGACATGTCCCCATTGTGGTGACATGTGACATCTCATCATGGATGTGTCCCACCATGACCATGATGTGTCCCACCACACCAACGTGTCCCACCATGACCATGACTTGTCCCCAGCATGGCTATGTAGTGTCCCATCACAACATGTCCCACCATGGCCATGACATGTCTCCACCATGGCAGCGGCATGTCCCCATCATGGCCATGAAGTGTCCCATCACATCAACGTGTCCCACCATGACTGTGACGTGTCCCCACCATGGCCAGGACATGTGACATCTCATCACTGATGTGCCTCACCATGGCCATGAAGTGTTCCATCACATTGTGTCCCATCATGGCCACAACATGTCCCCATCATGGTGGCATGTGACATCTCATCATTGATGTGTCCCACCATGACCATGACACATCCCCACCATGGCCATGACTGTGTTCCATCACAGCAACATGTCCCCAGCATGGCCAGGACATGTCCCACCATGGTGACATGTGACATCTCATCATTGATGTGTCCCACCATGGCCATGAAGTGTCCCATTGAATCAACGTGTCCCACCATGGCCATGACGTGTCCCACCATGGCCATGACGTGTCCCATCACATCGTGTCCCACCATGGCCATGACACATCCCCATCACATCAATGTGTCCCACCATGACCATGACGTGTCCCACCCTGTCCCCGTGTCCCACCATGGCCATGACACGTCCCCATCACATCAACGTGTCCCACCATGGCCGTGACACGTCCCCACCATGGCCATGACGTGTCCCACCCTGTCCCCGTGTCCCCGTGTCACCTTCGGCGCAGCGACAAACGTCCCCCTGGCAGATCTTGTTCAGTTTCCCTCCCTCCTTGTCCGGGTGGTAGAACCGGGTGCAGCGATCGTCTGCGGGGACACGGGGACATCAGGGGACAGCGGGGACAGCAGGGGACAGCTGGGGACAGCTGGGGACAGTGGGGAGAGTGAGGACAACAGGGGACAGCAGGGACAGCTGGGGACAGTGGGGACAGCGGGGACAGCTGGGGACAGCAGGGACAGGGACAGGGATGGGGACAGAGGGAACAGGCACAGGGACGGGGTGGGGACAGTGACAGGGACAGTGACAATGACAGTGACAGGGACAATGACAAGGACACACCGATGCTGTAGTAGCTGTAGCCACTGACAGTGACAGGGACAGGGACAGTGACAATGACAGGGACAGTGACAGTGACAGTGACAAGGACACACTGATGCTGTAGTAGCTGTAGACAGTGACAGTGACAGGGACAGTGACAATGACAGGGACAGTGACAGTGACAGGGACAGTGACAGGGACAGGGACAGTGACAGGGACAGTGACAGTCACACACCGATGCTGTAGTAGCTGTAGACAGGGACAGGGACAGTGACAGTGACAGGGACAGTGACAGTGACAATGACAGTGACAGTGACAGTGACAGTGACAGGGACAGTCACACACCGATGCTGTAGTAGCTGTAGACAGTGACAGTGACAATGACAGTGACAATGACAGTGACAGTGACAGTCACACACCGATGCTGTAGTAGCTGTAGACAGTGACAGTGACAATGACAGTGACAGTGACAGGGACAGTGACAGTGACAGGGACAGTGACAGTGACAGTCACACACCGATGCTGTAGTAGCTGTAGACAGTGACAATGACAGTGACAGTGACAGGGACAGTGACAGTGACAGGGACAGTCACACACCGATGCTGTAGTAGCTGTAGACAGTGACAGTGACAGTGACAGTGACAATGACAGTGACAGGGACAGTGACAGTGACAGTGACAATGACAAGGACACACCGATGCTGTAGTAGCTGTAGACAGTGACAGTGACAGTGACAGTGACAATGACAGTGACAGGGACAGTGACAGTGACAGTGACAGGGACAGTCACACACCAATGCTGTAGTAGCTGTAGACAGTGACAGTGACAGGGACAGTGACAGTGACAGGGACAGTCACACACCGATGCTGTAGTAGCTGTAGACAGTGACAGTGACAGTGACAGTGACAGTGACAATGACAGTGACAGTCACACACCGATGCTGTAGTAGCTGTAGACGCTGACGGCCGCGGGCTGGATCAGCCCCACCTGGAACCTCTGGTGGGCCTTGAAGGCGAAACACTCCTGGGCCCTGTGTGACACCTGGGGACAGCGCGGGGACAGGGATGGGAATGGAGGTGGGGACAGGGACAGGGATGGGGACAGGAACAGGGGACAGGGACAGGGACAGGGGGGTGGCACTCAGACAGGCTGCGAGCCACCTCCCCAGCGCACCCGGTCCTGTCCCCAGCCATGTCCCCGTGCTGTCCCCACCCATCCCTGTCCTTGTCACCACCTTGACACTGTTGCTGTCACCACCCCTGTCCCCAGCCCTGTCACAGCCCTGTCCCCCTCCTGTCCCCGCCCATGTCCCCAACTCCATCCTGACCCCTGTGCCAACCCATCCCTGTCCCCACCCCTGTCCCCATCCCTGTCCCCGTCCCTGTCCCATCATGTCCCCATCCCTGTCCCTGTTCCTGTCCCATGATGTCCCCACCCCGTCCCCATCCTGTCCTATCCCTGTCCCACCTTGTCATTGTCCCACTTTGTCCCTGTCACCATCCCAGTCCCGTCCCCACCCCCGTGTCCCCAGTGTCCCCAGTGTCCCCAGTGGTGTCCCCACCTTGTCCAGGTAAATGACGACGTTGCTCCGCTCTTTGTCCTGGTCCAGCTCGAACTTGGAGATGTACCTGTCCACGCCCTCGGACAGCTGGGGACAGGGACACGGTGACATTGGGGACACTGGGGACAGTGTGACACTGGGGACAGTGTGACACCAGGACCGTGGGGACACATGGGGACACAAGGACGCACGTGTGGCAACGAGGGGACATGGTGGCACATGATGGCAAAAAGACTTGGGGTCCCTTGTCTTTGTCCCCATGTGCCCGCAGTGTCCCCATGTCCCCCTGTGGTGTCCCCATGTCCCCACAGTGTCCCCATGTCCCCCCGTGGTGTCCCCATGTCCCCCCAGTGTCCCCATGTTCCCCCAGTGTCCCCATGTCCCCCTATGGTGTCCCCATGTCCCTGCAGTGTCCCCGTGTCCCCTCACTGACCCTCCTGAGGTCCTGCACGTCCGGTGTGAATCCCGTGAGCATGGACACGTCCAGGATGGACATGGTGGCATCCACGGCGTCCAGGTACCTGTGGGGACACAGCTGAGGCCACCCCGCCTGTCCCCACCCCCCTGTCCCTCCCGATGTCCCCAATGCCCCCATGGGACAAGGTGAGTGCTTTTTGTCCCCAGTGTCACCATCCCTGTCCCCGCTGTCCCCAATGTCCCCTGTGTCCCTCCATCCCATTCCCCACCCTCTCCCCAGTGTCCCCAGTGTCCCCATCCTTTCCCTGATGTCCCTGTCCCATGGTCCCCAATGTCCTCAATGTCCCCAGTGTTCCCAATGTCCCCATCCTCTCCCCCATGTCCCCGTCCCCAACATCCCCTCTCTGTCTCCGTTGTCCCCAGTGTCCCCAGTGTCCCCAGTGTCCCCATACTTTCTCAGCTGTCCCTGTCCCCAATGTCCCCATTTTCCTCCCTCTCCCCAATGTCCCCAATGTCCTCACCCCGTCCCTGATGTCCCCAATGTCCCCATTTTCCTCCTTGTCCCCAGTGTCCCTTCCTCCCCTTCTCCCTGTCTCCACTGTCCCCAATGGCCCTGCTGTCCCCATTGTCCCCACTGTCCCCACTGTCCCCATTTTCCTCCCTGTCCCCGATGTCCCTTCCTCCCCTTCTCCTCCCTGTCCCCAGTGTCCCCAGTGTCCCCAGTGTCCCCACCTGGTGCAGATGTTGATCTTGACCGTCCTGATGATATCCTCCTCTTCCCTGCCTGGGTGGGGACACCGAGGTGACATCGAAGGTGACACGGGGCGCTCACAGAGGGGACACACAGGGGCGGGGCTGGCGGTGACACCGCCAGGACAGGGAGGGGACAGTTGGGGACCCACCCTTGTTGACCTCCTCCACGTCCACGCTCAGGTGGAACTTGTCACACTTGTCCTCCCTCTCGGGGACCTTGGCGTGGTACACGGTCACCACTGTCATTGTCCCCTTGCCCACGCCCTCGGCCTTGACCGTGAAGTCCTCGTTGTGCTTGGTCTGAGGGGACAGGGGACGGTGGGGACATCGGGAGGGGACATTGGGAGGGGACAGGGGACATTAGGAAGGGACAGGGGACATCCCCAGGAGGAACAGGGGATGTTGGCATTGGGAAGGGACAGGGGACATTGGGAGGGGACAGGTGCCAAGGACAGGGACAGGTGCCAAGGACAGGTGCCAAGGACAGGTGCCAGGGACAGGGACAGGTGCCAAGGACAGGTGCCAAGGACAGGTGCCAGGGACAGGGACAGGTGCCAAGGACAGGTGCCAAGGACAGGTGCCAGGGACAGGTGACAAGGACAGGGATAGGTGCCAAGGACAGGTGCCAAGGACAGGTGCCAAGGACAGGGACAGGGACAGGTGCCGAGGACAGGTGACAAGGACAGGTGACAAGGACAGGTGCCAAGGACAGGTGACAAGGACAGGTGACAGGGACAGGTGCTAAGGACAGGTGCCAAGGACAGGGACAGGGACAGGTGCCAGGGACAGGTGACAGGGACAGGGACAGGGACAGGTGCCAAGGACAGGTGACAGGGACAGGTGCTAAGGACAGGTGCCAAGGACAAGGACAGGGACAGGTGACAAGGACAGGTGCCAGGGACAGGTGCCAGGGACAGGTGCCAGGGACAGGTGCCAGGTGCCAGGGACGTTACCTCGGCGGAGCGCGCCACCAGCGCGTTGCGGTTCTCGATGCGGTACTTGATGGGGCTGGCGCGGCGCGGCAGCAGCACCGACACGTCCAGCTCCAGCTGCTCCTGGGCCTGCGCGGCCACCTGGTACTGGGCCAGCGCTTGGAACACCAGGATGGTGGCCTGAGGGGACACCGGGGTCACCGGGGCTTGGGGACACCACCTGTGTGTGCTGGGCCAGCGCTTGGAACACCAGGATGGTGGCCCGAGGGGACACCGGGGTCACCGGGGCTTGGGGACACCACCTGTGTGTGCTGGGCCAGCGCTTGGAACACCAGGATGGTGGCCTGAGGGGACACTGGGGTCACCAGGGCTTGGGGACACTGATGGAGAACCCACAAGGGCTCATGGGTGGCCTGAGGGGACTTTGGGGTCACTGGGGCTTGAGGATTCTGATGGAGAACCCACAAGGTCTTCAGGGTGGCCTGAGGGGACATCGGGGTCACCAGGGCTTGGGGACACTGGGTGGAGAACCCACAAGGGCTCATGGGTGGCCTGAGGGGACTTTGATGTCACCGGGGCTTGGGGACACCAGCTCTGTGTCCACCTGGTGCTGGGCCAGCACTTGGAACACCAGGATGGTGGCCTGAGGGGACATCAGGGTCACCAGGGCTTGGGGACACTGGGTGGAGAACCCACAAGGGCTTCTGGGTGGCCTGAGGGGACTTTGGGGTCACCAGGGCTTGGGGACACCAGCTCTGTGTCCACCTGGTACTGGGCCAGCGCTTGGAACACCAGGATGGTGGCCTGAGGGGACACCGGAGTCATCGGGGCTTGGGGACACTGGTGGAGAACCCACAAGGTCTCTGGGGTGGCCTGAGGGGACTTTGATGTCACCAGGGCTTGGGGACACCAGCTCAGTGTACTGGGCCAGGGTTGGAACACCAGGATGGTGGCCTGAGGGGACATTGGGGTCACCGGGGCTTGGGGACACTGGGTGGAGAACCCACAAGGTCTTCGGGGTGGCCTGAGGGGACTTTGGGGTCACCGGGGCTTGGGGACACCAGCTCTGTGTCCACCTGGTACTGGGCCAGCACTTGGAACACCAGGATGGTGGCCCGAGGGGACACCGGGGTCACCAGGGCTTGGGGACACTGGTGGAGAACCCACAAGGTCTCTGGGGTGGCCTGAGGGGACATTGGGGTCACCAGGGCTTGGGGACACTGATGGAGAACCCACAAGGGCTCATGGGTGGCCTGAGGGGACTTTGGGGTCACTGGAGCTTGAGGATTCTGATGGAGAACCCACAAGGTCTTCGGGGTGGCCTGAGGGGACACCGGGGTCACCAGGGCTTGGGGACACTGCTGGAGAACCCACAAGGGCTCATGGGTGGCCTGAGGGGACATCGGGGTCACCAGGGCTTGGGGACACCAGCTCTGTGTCCACCTGGTGCTGGGCCAGCGCTTGGAACACCAGGATGGTGGCCTGAGGGGACACCGGAGTCACCAGGGCTTGGGGACACTGGTGGAGAACCCACAAGGTCTCTGGGGTGGCCTGAGGGGACTTTGATGTCACCAGGGCTTGGGGACACTGGTGGAGAACCCACAAGGGCTCATGGGTGGGCATGGAGGCCTGAGGGGACTTTGGGGTCATCAGGGCTTGGGGACACTGCTGGAGAACCCACAAGGTCTCTGAGGTGGCCTGAGGGGACATCAGGGTCACCAGGGCTTGAGGACACCGATGGAGAACCCACAAGGGCTCATGGGTGGGCTTGGAGGCCTGAGGGGACACTGGGGTCACCAGGGCTTGGGGACACTGATGGAGAACCCATAAGATCTGAGTGGCCTAAGGGGACATCAGGGTCCCTGGGGCTTGGGGACACTGGTGGAGAACCCACAAGGTCTCATGGGTGGCCTGAGGGGACACCAGTGTCACCAGGCCTTGGTGACATCACCTGGAGCTCCCCAAACTCTTCTGAGCTCCCTTTGGCTCCTGCGCCACCCAGGACGTCCCCAAAACGACCACGCCCCTCCCTGTCACCCCCAGCGCCGCCGGGGGTCCTGGGATGTCCCCGCGGTGGCCGGGGCTGTCCCGTGTCCCACCTGGGTGGAGCCGTAGCCCCCTCCGTAGTAGTTCTGCTGGGCCAGCCACCGGACCACGGGCCCGGCCAGCTGGGCCTTCTCCATCTGCACCAGGGCCAGCAGCGCGTAGGACGTGCCCTCGATGTTGTAGGTGCGGGCGTTGCTCTCCTCCCAGCTGGCCCCGCCTGCGGGGACACCGGGGACACCTTCGGCCACCAGGGACCCCCACGGCCACCTCAGCCCGGCCTCAAATTTATCTCAGGAGGGTCCTAAAGCACTTCTGGAGAAGCTCAGGAGGACCCAAAACCACCTCCCCTGACCCCAAATTCCAACCCTGGGTGAGGATACAGTTTTGGAGAACCTCATGAGGACCCAAACCCACCTCCTTTCACCCCAATTTTGACCCCTCTTGAGACATCACCTTTGGAGAACCTCCTGAAGACTCAAACCCATCTCCTCTCACCCTAATTTTGACCAATTTCCACCCCAGGTTTGATGTCACCTTTAGAGAACCTCATGAGAACCCAAATCCACCTCCTTTCACCCCAGTTTGACCCCTCTTGAGATGTCACCTTTGGAGAACCTCATTAGAACCCAAACCCACCTCTTTTCACCCCAATTTGACCCCTCTTGAGGTCTCACCTTTCGAGAACCTCATGAGGACCCAAACCCACCTCCTTCCACCTCAATTTTACCAATTTCCACCCCAGTTTTGGTGTCACCTTTGGAGAACCTCATGAGGACCCAATCCCACCTCTTTTCATCCCAATCTTGACCAATTTCCACCCCAGGTTTGGTGTCACCTTTGGAGAACCTCATGGAGACCCAAAGCCAATTTTCCTGGCACCAATTTTGAGCCGTTGAGGCATCACCCTTGGAGAACCTCATGAGAACCCAATCCCACCTCCTTTTACCTCAATTTTGACCAATTTCCACCCCAGGTTTGGTGTCACCTTTGGAGAACTTCATGAGAACCCAAACCCACCTCCTTTCACCCCTATTTTAACCCTTCTTGAGATGTCACCTTTAAAGAACCTCATTGGAACCCAAACCCACCTCCTTTCACCCCAATTTTGACCACTCTTGAGATGTCACCTTCGGAGAACCTCATGAGAACCCAATCCCACCTCATTTCACCTCAATTTTGACCAATTTCCACTCCAGTTTTGGTGTCACCTTTAGAGAACCTCATGAGGACCCAATCCCACCTCCTTTCACCCCGATTTGACCCCTCTTGAGATGTCACCTTTGGAGAACCTCATTGGAACCCAAACCCACCTCCTTTCACCCTAATTTTGACCAATTTCCACCCCAGGTTTGGTGTCACCTTTAGAGAACCTCATGAGAACCCAAATCCACCTCCTTTCACCCCAGTTTGACCCCTCTTGAGATGTCACCTTTGGAGAACCTCATTAGAACCCAAACCCACCTCCTTTCACCCCAATCTTGACCAATTTCCACCCCAGGTTTGGTGTCAGCTTTGGAGAACCTCATGAGGACCCAAACCCACCTCCTTCCACCTCAATTTTACCAATTTCCACCCCAGTTTTGGTGTCACCCTTGGAGAACCTCATGAGAACCCAATCCCACCTCCTTTCACTCCAATTTTGACCACTTTTGAGATGTCACCTTTGGAGAACCTCATGAGAACCCAATCCCACCTCCTTTCACCCCTATTTTAACCCTTCTTGAGATGTCACCTTTGAAGAACCTCATTAGAACCCAATCCCACCTCCTTTCACCCCAATTTTGCCCCCTCTTGAGATGTCACCTTTGGAGAACCTCATTAGAACCCAATCCCACCTCATTTCACCCCAATTTTGACCCCTCTTGCGGTGTCTCCTTTGGAGAACCTCCAAACCCACCTCCGTTCACCCCACTTTGACCCCTCTTGAGACATCACCTTTGGAGAACCCCATGAGAACCCAAACCCACCTCCTTTCACCCCAGTTTGACCCCTCTTGAGACGTCACCTTTGGAGAACCTCATGAGGACCCTCTCGCTCTTGAGCTTCCCGGCCAGGGCCAGCGCGTAGGACGCCAGGGCCACCGTGTAGGGCCGGGCCAGCTGCTCGTAGCGCCGCGCCAGGAACCCGGCGGCCTTGTTGATGCTGTCGTCCAAGCTCTGGGAACCAAGGATGGAGAATTTGGCATCTCAGGTGGCTTCCACGACGGTCTGGAAGCTCAGGGATGCCACCTGGGGGGTCACTCACGTTGATGTGGTCCTTGCAGATGTCCCGTGCCTCCTGCAGGGCGATGAGCACGAAGGCGGTGAGGGACACCTCGGGCTCGGCGCCGGCGTAGCCTCCCTGCGGGACGAAAAAGAGGGAAAAAACCTCGGGATTGGGGTTTTCCAAGAGCTCAGTGGTCCACCAGCAGCTCATTCCAAAGATGTGTCCTTGACCGGTCCGAGGGGACACCCAAGGGACAGCCAAGGGACAGCCAAACTTCACCCAAGGGACACCCAAAGGCTCTGTGACCTTCATGTGAGGAACACCCGAGGGACAATCAAGGGACACCCAATGGACACCAAAACTTCACCCAAAGGACACCCAAAGATCATCTGACCTTCACCTGACCTTCATGTGAGGAACACTCAATGGACACCCAAAGAACACCCAAGGGACACCCAAACTTCACCCAAGGGACATCCAAAGGGTCTGTGACCTTCATGTGACCTTCAGGTGAGGAACACCCAAGGAACACCCAAAGGACACCCAAGGGACACCCAAAGAATATTTGACCTTCATGTGACCTTCAGGTGAGGAACACCCAAGGGACAATCAAGGGACACTCAAATGTCACCCAAGGGACATCCAAAGGATACCTGACCTTCACCTGACCTTTACCTGACCTTCAAATGAGGAACACTCAAGGGACAATCAAGGGACACCCAAGGGACACCCAAACTTCACTCAAGGGACATCCAAAGGGTCTCTGACCTTCACGTGACCTTCAGGTGAGGAACACCCAAGGGAGATCCAAAGAATATCTGAGCTTCACCTGACCTTCACCTGACCTTCAGGTGAGGAACACCCAAGAGACACCCAAACTTCACCCAAGGGACACCCAAAGGGTCTGTGACCTTCATGTGAGGAACACCCGAGGGACAATCAAGGGACACCCAATGGACACCAAAACTTCACCCAAAGGACACCCAAAGAACATCTGACCTTCACCTGACCTTCATGTGAGGAACACTCAATGGACACCCAAAGAACACCCAAGGGACACCCAAACTTCACCCTAGGGACATCCAAAGGGTCTCTGACCTTCATGTGACCTTCAGGTGAGGAACACCCAAGGAACATCCAAGGAACACCCAAGGGACACCCAAAGAATATCTGACCTTCATGTGACCTTCAGGTGAGGAACACCCAAGGGACAATCAAGGGACACTCGAATGTCACCCGAGGGACATCCAAAGGATACCTGACCTTCACCTGACCTTTACCTGACCTTCAAATGAGGAACACTCAAGGGACAATCAAGGGACATCTAAAGCATATCTGACCTTCACCTGACCTTCATGTGAGGAACATCCAAGGAACATCCAAAGAACACCCAAGGGACACCCAAAGGACACCCAAGGGACACCCAAAGAATATCTGACCTTCACGTGAGGAACACCCAAAGAATATCTGACCTTCATGCAAGGAACATCCAAGGGACACCCAAGGGACATCCAAAGGGTATCTGACCTTCACCTGACCTTCACATGAGGAACACTCAAGGGACACCCAAGGGACACCCAATGGACACCCCAACTTTGCCCAAGAGACACCCAAAAAATACCCAAGAGGCACCCAAGGAAGACCCAAGGAATGTTTGACCTTCACCTGACCTTCACCCCAGGAAACTCCAGGGAACACGCAAAAAGCACCCAAGGAACACCCAAAACCCACCCAAGCTTCAACCAAGGAACACTCAATGAATTACTGACGCTCACCTGACCTTCACCGAAGGAACGCCCAAGGAACACCCAAAAACCACCCAAGCTTCAACCAAGGAACACTCAAAGAATTCCTGAGGTTCACCTGATCTGCACCCAAGGAATGTCCAAGGAACACCCAAAAAGCACCCAAGGAACACCCAAAACCCACCTGAACTTCAACCAAGGAACACTCAAAGAATTCCTGAGGTTCACCTGACCTTCACCCAGGGAATGTCCAAGGAACACCCAAAAACCACCCGAACTTCAACCAAGGAACACAATGAATTCCTGATGCTCACCTGATCTTCACCCAAGGAACGCCCAAAAAGCACCCAAGGAACACCTGACCTTCACCCAAGGAACGCCCAAGGAACACCCAAAGTTCACCAGACCTTCACCCAAAACCTCCCACCCTCCACCCGAGGTCCCCCAAGCTTCGGCCACCAGCAGTGACAGGGTTTGAGGTGTCCCCCTACCATCATCTCCTTTTGGAGGACGGGCGCGTCCTCCTGGAAGACCCCGTCCGGCTTCTGCTTGTTGAGGATGAGCCACTTCATGGGGCCGCAGATCTCGCTGTGCTCGATGTCCGTCAGCTTCCTGGCCATGGCGAACACCTTCACCACGTAGGCGGTCAGCCTGGGCATGGGGACACCTGAGGGTCACACCTGGCCCTGTCACCTGGGCTGGGTGGTGGCGGTGGTGGTGGCAGCAGGTCCCTCACCAGGTGCTGGAGGGGCGCTTGAGGAAGGCGGCGTAGGAGCTGTCGGGCTTGCGGTAGGCCAACTGTTGGGTGTAACCTGCGAGGAGATGGCCATCGGTCAACGTGAGGGGTGGCCTGGGTGGGCTTCAGGCCACCAGTGCCCTCCAGCCATTGGTCAATGCAAGGGGTGGCCTCAGGCCATCAATGTTCTCCAGCCATTGGTCAACATGAGGGGTGGCTGGTGGTGGTCTCAGGCCACCAATGGCCTCCAACTGTTGGTCAACGTGAGGGGTGGTCTCAGGCCACCAAGGTCCTCCAACCTTTGGTCAACGTGAGGGGTGGCCTGGGTGGGCTTCAGGCCACCAATGGCCTCCAACTGTTGGTCAACGCAAGGGGTGGTCTCAGGCCACCAAGGTCCTCCAAACTTTGGTCAACGTGAGGGGTGGCCTGGGTGGGCTTCAGGCCACCAATTTTCTCCGGCCATTGGTCAACGTGAGGGGTGGCTTGGGTGGGCTTCAGGCCACCAATGACCTCCAACTGTTGGTCAACATGAGGGGTGGCTGGTGGTGGTCTCAGGCCACCAATGTCCTCCAGCCGTTGGTCAACGCAAGGGGTGGCCTCAAGCCATCAATGTTCTCCGGCCATTGGTCAACATGAGGGGTGGCCAGTGGTGGTCTCAGACCACCAAGGTCCTCCAACCTTTGGTCAACATGAGGGGTGGCCTGGGTGGGCTTCAGGCCACCAATGTCCTCCAACTGTTGGTCAACAGGAGGGGTGGCCTCAGACCACCAAGGTCCTCCAACCTTTGGTCAACATGAGGGGTGGCCTGGGGGGGCTTCAGGCCATCAATGTCCTCCAGCCATTGGTCAACGTGAGGGGTGGCTGGTGGTGGTCTCAGGCCACCAATGGCCTCCAACTGTTGGTCAATGCAAGGGGTGGTCTCAGGCCACCAAGGTCCTCCAACCTTTGGTCAACATGAGGGGTGGCCTGGGTGGGCTTCAGGCCACCAATGGCCTCCAGCTGTTGGTCAACGCCAGGGGTGGCCAGTGGTGGCCTCAGGCCACGGGTGTCCTCCAGCCATTGGTCAATGTGAGGGGTGGCCAGTGGTGGTCTCAGGCCACCAAGGTCCTCCAACCGTTGGCCGACACAAAGAGCACCCACCCAAACTGTGGAACCCTCGGGCCACCAACCTGCTCTGGAGCCCATCCCAGTGCACACCAGTAACTCTGGAAACCCCAAACTGGCATCACCCAACCCAGGTCACCTCCGGAGGAGCGACCTTCTGCACCACCTCGGATGATAGGGACCTCCTGCGACCCAAGAGAGGACACCGAGGGACACTCCCACCATTTTGTGGACATTCCCACCATTTTGAAGACATTGCCACCATTTTGAGGATGTTCCCACCACGTCGGTGCCGTTCCCGCCATTTTGAGACGTTCTCACCATTTTGGAGTCGTTCCCCCCATTTTGAGGACATTCTCCTCACTTTTGGTGCCATTCCCACCATTTTGTTGCTGTTCCCACCATTTTGAGGACATTCTCCTCACTTTTGGTGCCATTCCCACCATTTTGTTGCTGTTCCCACCACTTTGATGACATTCCCACCATTTTGAGGACATTCCCACCACTTTTGTTGCCTTTCCCACCATTTTGAGGACATTCCCACCATTTTGAGGACATTCTCCTCACTTTTGGTGCCATTCCCACCATTTTGAGGACATTCCACCATTTTGTTGCTGTTCCCACCACTTTGATGACATTCCCAGGATTCTGAGGACATTCCCACCATTTTCATTGCCGTTCCCACCATTTTGAGGACGTTCCCACCATTTTGAAGACATTGCCACCATTTTGAGGATGTTCCCACCACGTCGGTGCCGTTCCCGCCATTTTGAGGACATTCTCACCATTTTGGAGTCGTTCCCCCCATTTTGAGGACATTCTCCTCACTTCTGGTGACATTCCCACCATTTTGTTGCTGTTCCCACCACTTTGATGACATTCCCACCATTTTGAGGACATTCCCACCATTTTGAGGACATTCTCCTCACTTTTGGTGCCATTCCCACCATTTTGAGGACATTCCACCATTTTGTTGCTGTTCCCACCACTTTGATGACATTCCCAGGATTTTGAGGACATTCCCACCATTTTCATTGCCGTTCCCACCATTTTGAGGACGTTCCCACCATTTTGAAGACATTGCCACCATTTTGAGGATGTTCCCACCACATCGGTGCCGTTCCCGCCATTTTGAGGACATTCTCACCATTTTGGAGTCGTTCCCCCCATTTTGAGGACATTCTCCTCACTTCTGGTGACATTCCCACCATTTTGATGACATTCCCACCATTTTGTTGCCGTTCCCACCATTTTGTTGCCGTTCCCACCATTTTGAGGACTTTCCCAGCACTTTTGATGGCATTCCCACCCTTTCAGTACCGTTCCTACCATTTTAAGGACATCCCACCATTCTGGGGCCGTTCCCACCATTTTGAGGACATTCTCCTCACTTTTGGTGCCATTCCCACCATTTTGTTGCCGTTCCCACTACTTTGATGACATTCCCACCATTTTGAGGACGTTCCCACCATTTTGGAGGCGCTCCCACCATTTTGATGACATTCCCAGCATTTGAGGACATTCCCACCATTTTCATTGCCGTTCCCACCATTTTGAGGACATTCCCACCATTTTGAGGATGTTCCCTCCATTTTGAGGATGTTCCCTCCATTTTGAGGACATTCCCACCACTTTCATTGCAGTTCCCACCATTTTGAGGACATTCCACCATTTTGAGGATGTTCCCGCTATTTTGATGACATTCCCACCATTTTGAGGAGATTCCCACCACTTTCGTTGCCTTTCCCACCATTTTGAGGACATTCCCACCATTTTGTTGCCTTTTCCACCATTTTGAGGACGTTCCCACCATTTTGGAGGCGCTCCCACCATTTTGATGACATTCCCAGCATTTGAGGACATTCCCACCATTTTGAGGATGTTCCCTCCATTTTGAGGATGTTCCCTCCATTTTGAGGACATTCCCACCACTTTCATTGCGGTTCCCACCATTTTGAGGACATTCCCACCATTTTGTTGCCTTTCCCACCATTTTGAGGACATTCCCACCATTTTGTTGCCTTTCCCACCATTTTGAGGACGGTCCCACCATTTTGAGGAGATTCCCACCACTTTCGTTGCCTTTCCCACCATTTTGAGGACATTCCCACCATTTTGAGGACATCCCCTCCCTTCTGGGGCCGTTCCCACCTTTCTTGATCAGCTCGATGGCGCCGGCCCGGCGGTCGACGCCGAAGGTCTCCCACTGCATGGTCTTGTCCAGGTAGTGGACGGCGATGACCGTGGGCGTCATGCCGATCATGTTCTGCTCCCCACAGCCCGACGGGGTCACGATCAGGTGCTTCAGCTTGGCCCCATCGATGGCCTTCTCCACGATGATGGACACGGGGTTGCCTGCGCCAGGAGAGGACGTGTCACGCCCAAGATGTCCCACCTGTCCCCCTCCCCAGCCAGCTTGTCCCCACGTGTCTTCTCCGTGGTGCTCACCCTGGATGCTGACTTTGGTCTCCGACTCGGTGTTGGGGACGATGTCCGAGAGGTCGACGGCCTTCACCCGCTCCTCCTGCACCCCGTCTGTGGGGTGGGGTGGCCGTGGTGACCCCAAATCCTCCCCTGAGGTGACCCAGCCCCACCCCACATCAGGGTGTCCCTTGTCCCTTGAGATGCCCCAGTTCTCTGGTGGGATGTCCCCTGTCCTCCAAGCTGTCCCAAACCTGAGCTTGGAGGTTCCTCCTTGATCCCTCCAGATGTCCCAAACCCACGGTGGGACCTCCCTGGTCCCCAAAGATGTCCCAAACCCACAACGGGACCTCCCTGGTCCCCAAAGATGTCCCAAAGCCACCGTGGGACCTCCTTGGTCCCCAGAGATGTCCCAAAGCCACCATGGGACCTCCATGGACCCCAAATATGTCCCAAACCCACCATGGGACCTCCCTGGTCCCCAAAGACGTCCCAGACCCACCGTGGGACCTCCATGGACCCCAAAGATGTCCCAAAGCCACCGTGGGACCTCCTTGGTCCCCAGAGATGTCCCAAAGCCACCGTGGGACCTGCCCAGAGATGTCACTCACTGACTCCCTTCTTCTGCGGGTCCAGCTCCACGATCTTCACCGTCTTCTCCAGCCGCATCCCCTCGGGCTGTCCAGGGCAGAGTCCGGCACTGAAGGTGGGCTTGGCTCTGGGGTCCTCCCCGTCCCAACCCCTCTGGACCACTGGGAGAGGCCTCCCAGTATAAACCAGTACCCCCAGCGACACATGGGGACAGCCCCAGGAGGCCACACCGGGTCACACAGGTCGCTGAGGTCCTGGAGACCCCAAGGTCTCTCTTGTGTCTTGGTCAACTTCATTGTGTGGTCACCATGGCCATCCTGAGCTTGGTGACCCCACCCAGATCATCAATGAAGATATTGATTGAAAATATCAAATCAATGAGGGCATCGAGTCCCATGGTCATCCTGGCCTTGGTGACCACATTGAGATCATCAATGAAGATATTGATTAAAAATATCAAATCAATGAGGGCATTGAGTCCCATGGTCAGCCTGATCCCATCCAGGTCATCAATGAAGATATTGATTGAAAACACCAAATCAATGAGGGCATCGAGTCCCATGGTCATCCTGGCCTTGGTGACCACATTGAGATCATCAATGAAGATATTGATTAAAAATATCAAATCAATGAGGGCATCGAGTCCCATGGTCAGCCTGGCTTTGGTGATCTCATCAATTAAGATATTGATTAAAAATATCAAATCAATGAGGGCATCGAGTCCCATGGTCAGCCTGATCCCATCCAGATCACCAATGAAGATATTGATTGAAAATACCAAATCAATGAGGGCATTGAGTCCGATGGTCATCCTGGCCTTGGTGACCCCATCCAGGTAATCAATTAAGATATTGATTAAAAACACCAAATCAATGAGGGTATCAAGTCCCATGGTCAGCCTGGCCCTGGTGACCCCATCCAGATCATCAATGAAGATATTGATTGAAAATACCAAATCAATGAGGGCATTGAGTCCCATGGTCATCCTGAGCTTGGTGACCCCATTGAGATCATCAATGAAGATATTGATTGAAAATACCAAATCAATGAGGGCATTGAGTCCCATGGTCATCCTGAGCTTGGTGACCCCACCCAGATCATCAATGAAGATATTGATTGAAAACATCAAATCAATGAGGGCATCGAGTCCCATGGTCATCCTGGCCTTGGTGACCCCATCCAGGTAATCAATGAAGATATTGATTAAAAATATCAAATCAATGAGGGCATCGAGTCCCATGGTCATCCTGGCCCTGGTGATCCCATCCAGGTCACCAATGAAGATATTGATTAAAAACATCAAGTCCCATGGTCATCCTGGCCTTGGTGACCCCATCCAGGTGATCAATGAAGATATTGATTGAAAACACCAAATCAATGAGGGCATCGAGTCCCATGGTCAGCCTGACCCCATCCAGATCACCAATGAAGATATTGATTAAAAATATCAAATCAATGAGGGCATCAAGTCCCGTGGTCAGCCTGATCCCATCCAGGTGATCAATGAAGATATTGATTGAAAATACCAAATCAATGAGGGCATCGAGTCCCATGGTCAGCCTGGCCCTGGTGACCCCACTGAGATCATCAATGAAGATATTGATTGAAAATACCAAATCAATGAGGGCATCGAGTCCCATGGTCATCCTGGCTTTGGTGATCCCATCCAGGTCACCAATGAAGATATTGATTAAAAGCATCAAGTCCCATGGTCAGCCTGACCCCATCCAGGTGATCAATGAAGATATTGATTAAAAACACCAAATCAATGATGCAACCAAACCAAACTGGCCACACACGCTGACCCCTTGGTGCCACCACGGCTGACTGGACGTGCCACCACCCACCCCCCACCTCTGCCGTGGTGGACCTGGCCCACCCATGGTGGCCACCCAACCATTGAAGGAGAACACCATGGATGCCACCATGCTGGGAGCATCTCAAGAACGCAGATGCCACCACTCTTGGCCACTCACCACCACCCGGAGCTTCTTCTTGACCCCGTCACCCATGTATCGGTCACGGACGGACGCCTTGACCTCGACGTCCAGCTGGCCGAGCTTGAGGGGGACGATGACGAAGGGCACGGCGCGCGAGGACTCGGCCTTCACCCGCAGCACCTGCTGGAAGCGCCGCTTGGCCGTGGAGGGGCTGCACAGGTCGGGGTTGTAGATCAGCTCCACGCGCACCTGGACGGTGACAAGGAGGTCACACCTGAGGTCTGGACAGGGTGACCTTTGGCGTCCCCAAAAAAATGTCCCCAGCTGACCGTGATGTCGTGGAGCCAGTAGTTGTAGAGGATGGCGCGGATCTCCACCTGCTCGTTCCTCACCACCGAGTAGGGCAGGCGGAGGTCGATGAAGAACTGCTTCATCACCGTGACCTCGTAGGGGGTGGCCACGCACAGCCCTGGGGTTGGGGACACGTGAGGCCTTGGGGCTGGGGACACCTCGTGCCCCCAAGGCAGCCCCGAGGTCTTCAGAGGTCCCTGGAAGGCCAGGGAGCCCTCAAAAGGTTTGGGAGATCCATCAAGAACTGTGGGATCCTCCCAAGGTATGGGAGATCCATCAAGACCCACAGAGTCCTCAAAAGGTTTGGGAGATCCATCAAGACCCACAGAGTCCTCAAAAGGTTTGGGAGATCCATCAAGACCCACAGAGTCCTCACAAGGTTTGGGAGATCCATCAAGACCCACAGAGCCCTCAAAAGGTTTGGGAGATCCATCAAAACCCACAGAGCCCTCAAAAGGTTTGGGAGATCCATCAAAACCCACAGAGCCCTCAAAAGGTTTGGGAGATCCATCAAAACCCACAGAGTCTTCCCAAGGTTTGGGAGATCCATCAAGAACTGTGGGATCCTCCCAAGGTTTAGGAGATCCATCAAGAACTGTGGGATCCTCCCAAGGTTTAGGAGATCCATCAAGACCCATAGAGTCTTCCCAAGGTTTGGGAGATCCATCAAGACCCACAGAGTCCTCCCAAGGTTTAGGAGACCCCTTGAATCCCAAAGTTTAGGAGATCCCTCAAGTTCCATGGAGATCCCTCAAATCCCAAGGATGGCCACCAGGCTTTGGGGCATCTCCCCCTCAGATTTTGGAGATCCCTCAAATCCTGGTGAACCCCTCCAGGCTTTAGGGGACCCTTCAGGTCTCAGGGACCCCCCACGAGGTTTGGGGACGTTCTGCTGGCCCCGGGAACCCCCTTGTCCTCCATGGCCCCATACCTTTGGTGGGGGAGAGGCTGACGGCCAGGATCTCCCAGGTGGTGATGGAGTCCTGCAGGTACACGGGCAGCGTCTTGACCGAGATCCTGGAGAGGACAGGAGTGACCAAGAGGGTCAGGGGGTGTCACCGTGGGACTTCCATGGTCCCCAGATATGTCCCAAACCCACAATGGGACCTCCCTGGTCCCCAGAGATGTCCCAAACCCACCGTGGCACCTCCCTGGTCCCCAGAGATGTCCCAGCCCCACAGCTGGACTTCCATGGTCCCTAAAGATGTCCCAAACCCACCGTGGCACCTCCCTGGTCCCCAAAGATGTCCCCACCCCACGGACCCCCAACCAGGACCAGGAGCTTGGAGATGACCCCTGAGAGGACCAAGAACCGCTGAGGCTGGACCAGGAGTTTAGCAGGGACCTTTGTGTGGCTTTGGGGTGACCATAACTGCTCTCCAGAGATGTCCAAGCTGGATGGGGACAGGGTGCCCAGGCTGGGCTGTGGGGTGGGAGGGTGGTGGCACAGGAGGGTGGTGGGACAGGGGGGTGGTGGCACAGGAGGTCCAGGCTCACCCCAGCTTGTTGGGTGGCTCCGTCAGCTGCTCCACCTGCCACAGCCAGCTCTCGGGGAAGAGGGTCCGCGAGACGATGTCCGAGTCCTCCAAGAAGGGATCCTCGTCCTCATGGCCTGGGGGTGGTGGCATCGGACCTCTCGAACGTGGCCTCAGGGCTGAGACCCCTGAGTGGAGCCGGTATCACCCCAATGCCACCCCAGTGTCACCCAGTGTCACCCAGCACCACCCAGTGCCACCTCAGTGTCACCCCTTGTCTTGCCCAAGGTCACCCACCTGCCACCCAAGCGTTGCCCAATGGGTTGTCCTAGGGCCACTTGACCTTCACCCAAGGAATGCCCCAAACGCACCCAAGACCCTCCCAACCTTCACCCAAGCTCCACCTGAGGAGCACCCAAGGAACACCCAAGGTTCTCCTGACCTTCCACCAGGGGAAGTCCAAAGAATGCCCAAGGAACACCCAAGGAACACCCAAGGAACATTCAAGGAACACCCAAGGAACACCCAAGGTTCACCTGACCTTCCACCAGGGAAAGTCCAAGGAACACCCAAAGAACACTCAAGGAACACCCAAGGTTCGCCTGAACTTCACCAAAGAACACCCAAGGAACACCCAAGCTCTGCTCAAGCTCACCTTCACCTGAGATCCACCAAGGAACACCCAAGGTCCACCTGACCTTCACCAAGGAACACCCAAGGTCCACCTGACCTTCACTAAGGAACACCCAAGGAACACCCAAGCTCTGCTCAAGCTCACCTTCACCTGAGTTCAACCAAGGAACACCCAAAACCCACCCAAGACCCTCCCAACCTTCACCCAAGCTGCATCTGAGGAGCACCTGAACTTCCCCCAGGGAAATTCCAAAGAACACCCAAGGAACATCCAAGGAACACCCAAGGTTCACCTGACCTTCCTCCAAGGAAAGTCCAAGGAACATCCAAGGAACACTCAAGGAACACCCAAGGAACACCCAAGGAACACCCAAGCTTCGCCTCACCTTCACCAAGGAACACTCAAGGAAAACCCAAGGTCCACCTGACCTTCACCAAGGAACACCCAAGGAACACCTAAGGAACACCTCACCTTCACCAAAGAACACCAAAGGAACACCCAAGCTTTGCTCAAGCTCACCTTGACCTGAGATCCACCAAGGAACACCCAAAACCTGACCTTCACCAAGGAACACCCAAGATCCACCTGACCTTCACTAAGCAACACCCAACCTTCACCCAAGCTCTGCTCAAGCTCGCCTTCACCTGAGTTCCACCAAGGAACACCCAAAACCCACCCAAGACCCTCCCAACCTTCACCCGAGCTGCACCTGAGGAGCACCTGAACTTCCCCCAGGGCAATTCCAAAGAACGCCCAAGGAACATCCAAGGAACACCCAAGGAACACCCAAGGAACACCCAAGGTCCACCTGACCTCCACCAAGGAACACTCGACCTTCATCCAAGGAACACCCAAGGAACACCCAAGGAACACCCAAGATCCACCTGACCTTCACCAAGGAACACTCAAGGAACATCCAAGGAACACCCGAAGAACACCCAAGGTCCACCTGACCTTCACCAAGAAACACCCAAGCTTCACCCAAGCTCTGCTCAAGCTCACCTTCACCTGAGTTCCACCAGGGAACACCCAAAACCCACCCAGGACACTCCACCAACCTCCACCCGAGGTTCCTCCAAGCTCCCCGACCTTCTCCCACCCTCCGTGACCCAACACTTGCTTCTGGCCAGGCCGGCGCTGGGCGAGAGGTTCTGCTGGTCCCGCTTGGCCTTGATGTATCTGCAGCAGTCGAGGAAGGCGCGGACGCAGGCGTCGCCCTCCAGGATGTACTCGCTCCTCTGCTCGCAGCCGTGTCCCATCGGGTTGTCCTTCATCCCGTCCTCGCAGCACCTCCTCTCCAGCTTGTCCGAGTACTCGGCCGCTGGTGGACACCAGGAGTGGGATGGGACAGGCCCTGGTGGCTCGAGGGAGTGGGGACCTCGGGGTCTGGGACATTCTGGTGGCTCTTGGGAATAGGACCTTGGGGTGTGGGACATTCTGGTGGCTCTTTAGGACATGGGGACCTCGGGGTCTGGGACACTCTGGTGGCCCTCAGGGGTGTGGGACATTCTGGTGGCCCTCAAGGACATGGGGACCTCGGGGTGTGGGACATTCTGGTGGCCCTCAGGGACATGGGACACTGGTGGCTCTTTAGGACATGGGGACCTCGGGGTGTGGGACATTCTGGTGGCCCTCAGGGGTGTGGGACATTCTGGTAGCCCTCAAGGACATGGGGACCTCAGGGTGTGGGACACTGGTGGCTCTTTAGGACATGGGGACCTCGGGGTGTGGGACATTCTGGTGGCTCTTTAGGACATGGGGACCTCAGAGTGTGGGACATTCTGGTGGCTCTGGAATGGGGACCTCAGGGTCTGGGACATTCTGGTGCCCCTCAGGGACATGGGGACCTCGGGGTGTGGGACATTCTGGTGGCTCTTTGAGACATGGGGACCTTGGGGTGTGGGACATTCTGGTGGCCCTCAGGGGTGTGGGACACTCTGGTGTCTCTGGAATGGGGATCTCGGGGTGTGGGACATTCTGGTGGCCTTTGGGGATGGGGACCTCGGGGTGTGGGACATTCTGGTGGCTCTTTAGGACATGGGGACATCAGGGGTGTGGGACACTCTGGTGGCTCTTTAGGACATGGGGACCTCGGGGTCTAGGACACTCTGGTGGCTCTTTAGGACATGGGGACCTCGGAGTCTGGGACACTCTGGTGGCTCGAGGGAATGGGGACCTCAGGGGTGTGGGACATTCTGGTGGCTCTCAGGGACATGGGGACCTCGGGGTGTGGGACATTCTGGTGGCTCTTTGAGACATGGGACACTCTGGTGGCTCTCAGGGACATGGGACACTGGTGGCTCTTTAGGACATGGGGACCTCAGGGTGTGGGACATTCTGGTGGCCTTTGGGGATGGGGACCTTGGGATGTGGGACACTCTGGTGGCCCTCAGGGACATGGGACACTGGTGGCCCTCGGGGGTGTAGGACACTCTGGTGGCTCTCTGGAATGGGGACCTCGGGGTGTGGGACATTCTGGTGGTTCTTTAGGACACGGGACACTGTGGTGGCCCTTAGGGAAATGGGACACTCTGGTGGCCCTCAGGGACAAGGGACGCTCCTCTGGTGGCATCTGGGACATGGGACACTCTGGTGGCCTTTGGGACAGGGGTTGCTGTGGGACATGGGACACTGGTGACCCTCAGGGTCTGGGACACTTTGGCAGCCTCAGGGACAAGGAACACCCTGGTGACCTTGGGGACAAGGGACACCCTGGGGACCCCTGGGGACAAGGGACACCCTGGGGACCCCTGGGGACAAGGGACACCCTGGGGACCTTGGGGACCAGGGACACCCTGGTGACCTCGGGGACAAGGGACACCCTGGGGACCTCGGGGACCAGGGACACCCTGGGGACCTCGGGGACCAGGGACACCCTGGGGACCCCTGGGGACAAGGAACACCCTGGGGACTTTGGGGACAAGGGACACCCCAGTGCCACCCACCCTTGGTGCCCTTGTACTCGGCGAGTGCCAGCGAGCGCCGCTTGCGTTTGGCAGGCTGGGGACACAGGAGCTCTGGGGACAGAGGGGACACTGGTCAGGACCCCAAGGTGTCCCAGGTGTCACATCCCAAAGCTCAGCGTCACCTCCACCATCCCCAAGGTGTCACATCCTTGAAGTGTCACCTCCACCATCCCTGAGGTGTCACCATCCCCAGCCCCGAGGTGTCACCTCCTCCACCATCCCTGAGATGTCACCTCCACCATCCCCAAGGTGCCACCTCCACCATCCTTGAGGTGTCACCATCCCCATCCCTGAGGTGTCACCTCCACCATCCCCAAGGTGCCACCTCCTCCACCATCCCTGAGATGTCACCTCCACCATCCCCGAGGTGTCACCTCTCCTGTCTCTGAGGTGCCACATGCTTGAAGTGCCACCTCCACTATCCCTGAGATGTCACCATCCCCATCCCTGAGATGTCACCTCCACCATCCCCAAGGTGCCACCTCCACCATCCCTGAGATGCCACCTCCACCATCCCTGAGATGTCACCTCTCCCATCCCCAAGGTGCCACCACCTCCACCATCCCTGAGGTGTCACCTCCACCATCCCTGAGGTGCCACCATCCCCATCCCCAAGGTGCCACCACCTCCACCATCCCTGAGATGTCACCATCCCCATCCCTGAGGTGTCACCTCCTCCATCCCCATGGTGCCACCTCCACCATCCCTGAGGTGTCACCTCCTCCATCCCCGAGGTGTCACCTCCACCATCCCTGAGGTGTCACCTCCTCCACCAACCCTGAGGTGTCACCTCCACCATCCCCAAGGTGCCACCACCTCCACCATCCCTGAGATGTCACCATCCCCATCCCTGAGGTGTCACCTCCTTCATCCCCGAGGTGTCACCTCCTCCACCATCCCTGAGGTGTCACCTCCTTCATCCCCATGATGTCACCTCCACCATCCCTGAGATGTCACCTCCTCCACCATCCCTGAGATGTCACCTCCACCATCCCCAAGGTGCCACCTCCACCATCCCTGAGGTGCCACCTCCTCCACCATCCCCGTCCCCTGCTCCATCCCCAAGGTGCCACCTCTGTAAGATGCCACCTCCCTGAGGTGCCACCCGCCTGTCCCCGCGGTGCCACCACAGCTGTCCCCACCTGACCGCTGGGGCGTGGTGACCTTGACGCTGGTGGCCAGGCTCAGGCCGGCGTCCGCGAAGACGCCGACGTTGTCCCGGCCACTGCCCGCCGTGCAGCCGATGTCACTTTTCTCCACCGTGTCCCAAACCTGCGCCCACAGGGGACAGCTGTGACCAGTGCCACCACCACCCAGGGGTGACAGGACAGCTGTGACACTGCCACCACCACCCAGGGGTGACAGGACAGATGTGATGGCCAGTGCCACCACCCAAAGGTGATGGGGACAGCTGTGATGGCCACCACCCCATCCTGGGGACAATGGGGACACCCGTGACGGCCATGGCCACCACTCAGGGATGGCAGGGACAACCATGATGGCCACCAGGAGGGGATGATGGGGACAGGGACAACCATGGTGGCCACCACCAAGGACCAATGGGGACAGGGACAACCATGGTGGCCACCACCAGGAGATGATGGGGACAGGGACAACCATGGTGGCCACCACCAGGGGACATCAGGGACAACCATGGTGGCCACCACCAGGAGATGATGGGGATAGGCACAACCATGGTGGCCACCACCAAGGACCAATGGGGACAGGGACAACCATGATGGCCACCACCCAGGGACATCAGGCCCAAGGACAACCATGGTGGCCACCACCCAGGGACAGCAGGCCCAAGGACAACCATGATGGCCACTACCAAGGACCAATGGGGACAGGGACAACCATGGTGGCCACCACAAGGAGATGATGGGGACAAGGACAACCACGGTGGCCACCACCAGGGGACATCAGGGACAACCATGGTGGCCACCACCAGGGACGGCAGGGACAGGGACAACCGTGATGGCCACCACAAGGAGATGATGGAGATGAGGACAACCATGGTGGTCACCACCAGGAGATGATGGGGACAGGCACAACCATGATGGCCACCACCAGGGGACAGCAGGGACAGGGACAACCATGGTGGCCACCACAAGGAGATGATGGAGACAAGGACAACCATGGTGGCCACCACCAGGGGACATCAGGCACAACCATGGTGGCCACCACCAGGGGACATGGAGGACAGGGCCACCCACCTTGGCCTGGGTGAACTTGTTCTTGTTGAGGACGTAGACCCCCTTGTCCACGGCCACCAGCCCCACGTAGGCCTTGTGGTCGCCCTCGATGTGCAGCCTCATCCCCGACCCCGGCTCTTGGACACGGTTGTCACCTTCTGTCGCTCCCTTCACCACCAGCTGCCACAGACACAGGAGGTGACGTCCCCAGGATGTCCCCAAAAGACACTTTTGTCACAGGAGACACCAAATTTGGACATGGGCTTCATGTCTGGGCCACCAGGGCCACCAGGGCCACCCAGGAGATGTCCAAGCTCCTCGTGGAGTGTCCAAAACCGCACAAGTGACACCAAATCCCCACCGGGGGCCACTCAGGTCCCTCAATGTCCCCTCGAGTTCTTCCAAAGGTCCCCAAGGATCTCAGGGTCCTCCCAAACCCTTCCAAAGATCCCCCAGATCCCTCAAGGGTCCCTCAAGGCCACCCAAACCCTTCCAAAGGTTCTCCAGATCCCTCAGGGGCCCCCAAACGCCTCAAGGACCTCTCAGTTCCCTCAAGAACCTCCCAAACCCCTCAAGGACCTCCCAAACCCCTCAAGGACCTCTCAGTTCCCTCAAGAACCTTCTAAAGCCTTCAAGGAACTTCCAGATCCCTCAAGGACCTCCCAAACACCTCCAAGACCTCCCAGGTCCCTCAAGGACCTCCCAAACCCCTCAAGGATCTCCCAAACCCCTCAAGGACCTCCCAAACCCCTCAAGAACCTCTCAAACACCTCAAGGACCTCCCAGATCCCTCAAGGGCCACCCAAGCTCCTCAAGAACCTTCCAACCCCCTTAAGGATCTCTCAGTTCCCTCAAGAATCTCCCAGACCCCTCAAGGACCTCCCAAACCCCTCAAAGACCCCCCCCAAACACCTCCAAATCCTCCCAGGCCCCTCAAGGACCACTTCAAGGACCTCAAGGCCATCCAGGTCCCTCAAGGACCTCCCAAACCCTTCAAGAACCTCCCAAACCCCTCAAGGACCTCCCAAACCCCTCAAGGACCTCTCAGTTCCTTCAAGAACCTCCCAAACCCCTCAAGAACCTCCCAGGTGCCTCAAGGACCCCCCAAACACCTCCAAGACCTCCCAGGTGCCTCCAGGGCCACCCCAAGGACCACTCCAGCACCACCAAGGCCCATCCAACGTCTCCAAGACCCCCCGGGACCCCCCTGGGACCACCAGGGGACACTGACGGAGCCCATGCAGGTGTCCTTGACGTCCACCCAGACGGAGTCGGCCACGATCTCGCCGGGCAGGACGTAGTAGAAGGCCACGATGCGGAAGGACGGGATGAGCTCGGGCGTCACCGGCAGGGTCATGGTCACCAAGCTCTGGCCGGGCTCGTGCCGCTGCCGGCCGGCTCGGAGGATGCGGCCCTTGGTCATGATCTGCCAGGAACCCAGGCTTGGTGACCACCTGGACGCCCCTCAGTGTCCCCTCAAGGACCTCCCAGGTCCCTCAAGGACCTCCCAAACACCTCCAAGGACCTCCCAAACCCCTCAAGGATCTCTCAGTTCCATCAAGAACCTCCCAAACCACTCAAGGACCTCCCAAACCTCTCAAGAACCTCCCAAACACCTCCAAGGACCTCCCAAACCCCTCAAGAACCTCCCAGACCCCTCAAGGATCTCTCAGTTCCATCAAGAACCTTCCAAACCCCTCAAGAACCTCCCAAACCCCTCAAGAACCTCCCAAACACCTCCAAGAACCTCCCAAACCCCTCAAGGACCTTCCAAACCCCTCAAGAACCTCTCAAAACGTTCAAGGACTTTCCAAACCCCTCAAGAACCTCCCAAACCACTCAAGAACCTCCCAAACACCTCTCAAGAACCTCCCAAACCCCTCAAGGACCTCCCAAACCCCTCAAGAACCTCCCAAACCCCTCAAGGACCTCTCAGTTCCTTCAAGGACCTCCCAAATGCCTCAAGGACCTCTCAGTTCCCTCAAGAACCTCCCAAACCCCTCAAGAACCTCCTAAGCCCCTCAAGGACCTCCCAAACCCCTCAAGGACCTTTCAAACACCTCCAAGAACCTCTCAGTTCCATCAAGAACCTTCCAAACCCCTCAAGAACCTCCCAAACCCCTCAAGGACCTCCCAAACCCCTCAAGGACCTCCCAAACCCCTCAAGGAACCCCCAAACACCTCCAAGGCCTCCCAAATGCCTCAATGACCTCTCAGCTCCCTCAAGGATCTCCCAAACCCCTCAAGAACCTCCCAAACCCCTCAAGGACCTCCCAAGTCCCTCAAGGATCTCCCAAACCCCTCAAGAACCTCTCAGTTCCCTCAAGGACCTCCCAAACCCCTCAAGGACCCCCCAAACCCCTCAAGGACCTCCCAAGTCCCTCAAGGGCCCCCCAGGCTCATCCAAATGTCCTCCAGGTCCCTGGACGTCCAGATGGCCAAGGTGGGGGCACCACCGATCAACCGCGGGCACCCACCAGGTAGGTGAAGAACGGGACGGAGTTGCGGACGTTGTTGTTGCTGGTCTTGAGGTGGAAGTTGACGGCCAGGTTCTCCCCGGTCTGGACCTCGGTGGTGGCCACCGCCAGGTGCAGGAAGTTGCCCGAGCCGGCCTGGCTGCGATAGGCCTGGGCCGTCATCTGCCGCGAGGCCTGGCGCTCCGGGGGCAGCCCCTCCTGCGCCGTCCGCACCTGGCACGGGGGACACGGGGGCACTCGGTCAGCGGGGAGGGACACGGGCCGGGCTGGGGGCAGCGGGGAGGCCTTGGCCACCAGAGAGGCTCCATGGAGGGGCTTGGCCACCAGAGAGGCTCCATAGAGGAACCATCATGGAGAGCTTGGCCACCAGAGAAGTTCCATAGAGGCCTTGGCCACCAGAGAGGTTCCATAGAGGCCTTGGCCACCAGAGAGGTTCCATAGAGGAACCATCATGGAGAGCTTGGCCATCATGGAGGCCTTGGCCACCAGAGAGGTTCCATAGAGGAACCATCATGGTGGGCTTGGCCACCAGAGAGGTTCCATAGAGGAACCATCATGGGGGGGCTTGGCCACTAGAGAGGTTCCATAGAGGTCTCAGCCACCATAGGGGCTCTATAAAGGCCTTGGCCATCATGCAGGGCTAGGCCATCATGGAGGCCTTGGCCACCACAGAGGTTCCATAGAGGCCTTGGCCATCATGGAGGGCTTGGCCATCATGGAGGTCTTGGCCACCAGAGAGGTTCCATGGAGGAACCATCATGGGGGGGCTTGGCCACCAGAGAGGTTCCATGGAGAGCTTGGCCACCAGAGAGGTTCCATAGAGGCCCTGGCCACCACAGAGGTTCCATAGAGGCCTTGGCCATCATGGAGAGCTTGGACATCATGGAGGGCTTGGCCATCATGGAGAGCTTGGACATCATAGAGGTTCCATAGAGGAACCATCATGGGGGGGCTTGGCCACCAGAGAGGCTCCATAGAGGCCTTGGCCATCATGGAGAGCTTGGCCATCATGGAGGGCTTGGACATCATGGAGGGCTTGGCCATCATGGAGAGCTTGGCCATCATGAAGGGCTTGGCCACCAGAGAGGTTCCATAGAGGCCTTGGCCATCATGGAGAGCTTGGCCATCATAGAGGTTCCATAAAGGCCTTGGTCACCAGAGAGGTTCCATAGAGGAACCATCATGGAGGGCTTGGCCACCATAAAGGGCTTGGCCACCATAGAAGGCTTGGCCATCATGGCAGTCTTGACCACCATAGAGATCTTGGCCACCATAGGGGCTCCATAAAGGTCTTGGCCACCATAAAGGCCTTGGCCATCATGGCAGTCTTGGCCGTCATGGAAAGCTTGGCCATCATGGAAGGCTTGGCCATCATGGAGGACTTGGCCACCAGAGAGGTTCCATAGAGGTCTTGGCCATCATGGAGGACTTGGCCATCATGGAGGTCTAGGCCACCATGGAGGTTCCATAGAGGTCTTGGCCATCATGGAAGTGTGTTGGTTATCATGGAGATTTTGGCCACTATGGAGATTTTGGCCACTATGGAGGTCTCTGGACATCTTGACCACCACAGTGCACTGACCATCCCGAATGTCCAGTCCTGCTGTCCTGAGCCGTGGTCATCACCACCTCAGCCACCTCAAGCCCCGGTCACCTCCCCAGCCCTGGGCCACCCTGGTGAGGTGACAGCGGTGTCCCCACTCACGGTGATGGGGACGCTGTCCCTGGTGGCCGGCATGTTGAGGACCAGCCTGGCCGTGCCATCGCCCCGCGTGGACACCTGGCCCTGGAAGCCATCGGCCTCGACGGTGACACGTGGCGCTGGGGACCCATCAGGGTTGGTGACATAAACCTGGAGGGGACACCGGGATTGGTGACATAAACCTGGAGGGGACACTGAGGGATGGTGACATAAACCTGGAGGGGACACTGAGAGGGTGACATAAACATGGAGGGGACACCGGGGGTGGTGACATAAACATGGAGGGGACACTGAGAGGGTGACATAAACCTGGAGGGGACACTGAGGATTGGTGACATAAACCTGGAGGGGACACCAGGGGATGGTGACATAAACCTGGAGGGGACACGGGGATTGGTGACATAAACCTGGAGGGGACACTGAGGGTGGTGACATAAACCTGGAGGGGACACCAGGGGATGGTGACATAAACATGGAGGGGACACTGAGAGGGTGACATAAACCTGGAGGGGACACTGGGGGGTTGGTGACATAAACCTGGAGGGGACACTGAGGGATGGTGACATAAACATGGAGGGGACACCAGGACTGGTGACATAAACCTGGAGGGGACACTGGGGGTTGGTGACATAAACCTGGAGGGGACACTGAGGGATGGGGGGACGTGGGAGTGAGGGAAGGGACACTGGAAAGGGGTGGTGGCACTGGGGACAATGACACTGGGAAGGGGTGGTGACACTGGGAAGGGACACTGGGAAGGGGTGGTGGCACTGGGAGGGGACACTGGGAAGGGACAATGACACTGGGAAGGGGTGGTGACACTGGGAGGGGACACTGGGAGGGGTGGTGACACTGCAAAGGGACACTGGGAAGGGGTGGTGACACTGGGAAGGGGTGGTGGCACTGGGGACAATGACACTGGGAAGGGGTGGTGACACCGGGAAGGGGTGGTGGCACTGGGAGGGGACACCGGGAAGGGGTGGTGACACCGGGAAGGGACACCGGGAAGGGCTGGTGGCACCGCAAAGGGACACTGGCACCAGCAAGTGCCACCCCAGGGACACGGGGACAGCTCACGGTCCCCAGCCCCTCTCAGGTGACACAGGGACATCACCCAGGCACCGACTCCTCCTCCAGCCCCAGCTGTGCCCTGTCCCTGCCCTAGGACACCCCGAGGGTCCCCGTGCCACCACCCTGGGCCACCGCTGTCCCCAGGATGTCACCAACCATGAGGTCAAAGGGCATCCCCGGCTTGAAGTACTTGGGGGTGCGGGTGAAGTGGATGCTGTAGGGGGACGTCACGATCTTGATGTCACCAAGCTGGGCCTCCACCATGTCACTGCCTGTGGGGACACCGCGGCGGCCGTGTCACCTCCGGGCCCTGTCCCCACCCCAGGTGTCCCCCATCCTCACTGTCCCTGTCCCCTGTGTCCCCCCGCTGTCCCTATCCCCCTGTGTCCGCCCGTGTCCCCCCATGTCCCCCTGCTGTTCATGTCCCCCCATGTCCCCCTGTGTCCCCCCATGTCCCCCAGCTGTCCCTGTCCCCTCATTGTCCCTGTCCCCTGGGTCCCCCTGCTGTACCTGTCCCCTCATGTCCCCCTGCGTCCCCCCGTGTCCCCTCACTGTCCCTGTCTCCCCATATTCCCCCGTGTCCCCCCATGTCCCCCTGTGTCCCCCCGTGTCCCCCCATGTCCCCCTGCTGTCCCTGTCCCCCCACGTCCCCCCGTGTCCTCCATGTCCCCCCATGTCCCCTCACTGTCCCTTTCCCCCCATGTCTCCCCATGTCCCCCTGCTGTCCCTGTCCCCCTGGGCCCCCCTGATGTCCCTGTCCCCCCATGTCCCCCTGTGTCCCCTCACTGTCCCTGTCTCCCGTGTCCCCTCATGTCCCCCCATATCCCCCTGCTGTTCATGTCCCTCCATGTCCCCCTGTGTCCCCCCATGTCCCCCAGCTGTCCCTGTCCCCTCGTTGTCCCTGTCCCCTGGGTCCCCCTGCTGTACCTGTCCCCTCATGTCCCCCCGTGTCCCCCCGTGTCCCCTCACTGTCCCTGTCTCCCCATATTCCCCCGTGTCCCCCCATGTCCCCCTGATGTCCCTGTCCCCCCATGTCCCCCCGTGTCCTCCATGTCCCCCTGATGTCCCCCTGATGTCCCTGTCCCCTCGTTGTCCCTGTCCCCCGTGTCCCCCTGCTGTCCCTGTCCCCCCATGTCCCCCCGTGTCCCCCCATGTCCCCCCGTGTCCCCCCTGGGTCCCCCTGATGTCCCTGTCTCCCCATGCCCCCTCATGTCCCCCCATGTCTCCCCATGTCCCCCATGTCCCCCATGTCCCCCATGTCCCCCCCGTGTCCCCTCACTGTCCCTGTCTCCCTGTATCCCCTCGTGTCCCCCATGTCCCCCTGCTGTCCCTGTCCCCCTGTGTCCCCCATGTCCCCCCATGTCCCCCTGCTGTCCCTGTCCCCTCGTTGTCCCTGTCCCCTGGGTCCCCCTGGGTCCCCATGTCCCCTCATGTCCCCTCACTGTCCCTGTGTCCCCTTGTGTCCCCCCATGTCCCCCTGCTGTCCCTGTCTCCCCATGTCCCCCTGTCCCCCCCGTGTCCCCGCACAGACCCGACTCGGTGATGACGGTGACAGTGACATAGAGGGAGTGTCCCACCAGCTCCTGGGGCTTGGGGAAGCGCTCGCGCAGCTGAGCCATGGACAGCAGGACATCAGCGTCACCATCCTGCACCTGGGGACACATTGGGGACACATTGGGGACAGGGTTAGGGACAGCAGGACGTCAGCGTCACCGTCCTGCACCTGGGGACACATTGGGGACACATTGGGGACAGGGTTAGGGACAGCAGGACGTCAGCGTCACCGTCCTGCACCTGGGGACACATTGGGGACAGGGTTAGGGACAGCAGGACGTCAGCGTCACCGTCCTGCACCTGGGGACACATTGGGGACACATTGGGGACAGGGTCAGGGACAGCAGGACGTCAGCGTCACCGTCCTGCACCTGGGGACACATTGGGGACAGGGTTAGGGACAGCAGGGGACAGCATGGCCTCGGTGTCACTGTCCTGAACCTGGGGACATGGTTGGGGACATGGGGACAGGGTTGGGGACAGGGTTAGGACAGGGCTGGGGACAGGGACAGTGGCAGCGTTGGGGACAGGGACAGTGGCAGTGCCAGGCTCACCGGGACAGGGCTGGGGACAGGGACAGTGGCAGTGCCAGGCTCACAGGGACAGTGGCAGTGCCAGGCTCACCGGGACAGGGTTGGGGACAGGGACAGTGGCAGTGCCAGGCTCACAGGGACAGTGGCAGTGCCAGGCTCACCGGGACAGGGTTGGGGACAGGGACAGTGGCAGTGCCAGGCTCACCGGGACAGGGCTGGGGACAGGGACAGTGGCAGTGCCAGGCTCACCGGGACCGGGCTGGGGACAGGGACAGGGACAGGGCTGGGGACAGGGACAGTGGCAGTGCCAGGCTCACCGGGACAGGGCTGGGGACAGGGACAGTGGCAGCACTGGGGACAGGGACAGTGGCAGTGCCAGGCTCACCGGGACAGGGCTGGGGACAGGGACAGTGGCAGTGCCAGGCTCACCAGGACAGGGCTGGGGACAGGGACAGTGGCAGTGCCAGGCTCACCGGGACAGGGCTGGGGACAGGGACAGTGGCAGCACTGGGGACAGGGACAGTGGCAGTGCCAGGCTCACAGGGACAGGGCTGGGGACAGGGACAGTGGCAGTGCCAGGCTCACCGGGACAGGGCTGGGGACAGGGACAGTGGCAGTGCCAGGCTCACCGGGACAGTGGCAGCGTTGGGGACAGGGACAGTGGCAGTGCCAGGCTCACCGGGACGCGCCGCAGGGACTGGGGGATGCTCTTCCTCTCATCGTCCACCATGACCCCAAACAGGACAAAGGCCATCCCGTCCACGCGCTTCCCGTACAGGTACCTGGGGACAGCCACCGTGCCACCGTGTCACCCTGTCACCCTGTCACCGTGTCACCCTGTCACTGTGCCACCGTCCCCATGTCCCCATCCTGTCACCCCATCTCTGTTATCCAACCTCTGCCACCACCACCAATGTCCCCATGTCCCCCCATGTCCCCATCCTGCCACCCCTGTCCCTGCCATCCCACCCCTGCCACCATCACCAATGTCACCCCATGTCCCCCCATGTCCCCGTCCTGCCACCCCTGTCCCTGCCATCCGATCCCTGCCACCAACAGTGTCCCCATGTCCCCTCCCTGTCCCTGTCACCCCATCCCTGTCACCATCACCAATGTCACCCCATGTCCCCATCCTGCCACCCCTGTCCCTGCCACCACCACCGATGTCCCGATGTCCCCATGTCCCCCCATGTCCCCATCCTGCCACCCCTGTCCCTGCCACCCCATCCCTGTCACCATCACCAATGTCACCCCATGTCCCCCCATGTCCCCATCCTGCCACCCCTGTCCCTGCCATCCCATCCCTGCCACCAACAGTGTCCCCATGTCCCCACCCTGTCCCTGTCACCCCATCCCTGTCACCATCACCAATGTCACCCCATGTCCCCATGCTGCCACCCCATCTCTGTCCTCCCATCCCTGCCACCATCACCAATGTCCCCATGTCCCCATGTCACCCCATGTCCCCATCCTGCCACCAAGAGTGTCCCCATGTCCCCACCCTGTCCCTGTCACCCCACCCCTGTCACCATCACCAATGTCACCCCATGTCCCCATCCTGCCACCAACAATGTCCCCATGTCCCCTCCCTGTCCCTGTCACCCCATCCCTGTCACCATCACCAATGTCACCCCATGTCCCCATGCTGCCACCCCATCCCTGCCACCACCACCGATGTCCCCAAGCCACGCCGTGTCCCCCTCGTGCCACCCCCAGGGCCACCAGCCAAGCCCAGCTGTCCCCTGTCCCCCCACACAGCTGTGACCCCCGAGGGGACACTGTTGTCCCCAAAAAGGGACATTTTGGTGTCACCTGGCCAGGATGGACACCTTGAAGTCCTCCTGGCTGTCGATGTAGAGGAACTTCTCCTCAGGAATCACGGACACCTCGAAGCTGGGCAGCACTGCGGGGTGACATCGGTGACACGGTGACATCGGTGACACCGCCACCCCTTGGGGACAGCCCCCGATGTCCCCAAGGCCACCCTCACCCCTCACCCACCGTATTCCTTGACCTCGAATTTGGTGCTGAAATCCTGATCCGGAGAATCCTCGAATTTGGCCGAAATCGTCCACATGCCCAAGCTGGGGGAGGTGACAGGGAGGTGACAGGGAGGTGACGGGGAGGTGACAGTGCCAGGGGTGTCCCCAGGCCACCGCGGGGGACGGTGACACCCACCTGATGACCTCGGGCAGGTTGTGGGTGAGGGACAGGATCCCGTTTTTGGTCGGGGACGACACCGGGATTTGTTTGATGATGACGTTGTCGGGCGTCTGAGGGGACACGCGGGTGGCACCGTGTCACACCCATGTCACACCCGTGTCACACCCGTGTCACACCTGTGTCACCCACCCGTGTCACCCACCCGTGTCACACCCGTGTCACCTCTGTGTCACCCACCCGTGTCACCTCTGTGTCACCTCTGTGTCACCCACCTGTGTCACCCACCTGTGTCACACCTGTGTCACACCCGTGTCACACCCGTGTCACACCCGTGTCACACCTGTGTCACCCACCCGTGTCACCCACCCGTGTCACCCACCTGTGTCACCCACCCGTGTCACCCACCCGTGTCACACTTGTGTCACACCCGTGTCACCCACCCGTGTCACACCCGTGTCACACCTGTGTCACCCACCCGTGCCACCCCAGGGCGCTCACCTTGATCTCCACGGTGACCGTCTTGGCCACCGGCTGCATGAGGTGGTTCACGGTGAAGAGGCGGCAGAGCACTGGGAGGGGACACAGGGGACAAGGTCAGGGGGGACACAGGGGACACGTGGGGACAGCCAGCACTGGAGGGGACACTGGGGACTGGGAGGGGACACAGGGGACAAAGTGAGCAGAGGGGGACCTGAGGGACAAGGTGAGGGGACACAGGGGACATGGTGAGGGGGGACAAGGGGGACAAGGTGAGAGGGGACACAGGGGACAAGGTGAGGTGACAACGTGAGGTGTCCCCGGAGTGTCCCAATCCCTTCAGTGTCCCCATCCGCTCCAATGTCCCCAGCTGTCCCCGCAGTGTCCCCGCAGTGTCCCCAGCTGTTCCCAGGGTGTCCCCACAGTGTCCCTGCAGTGTCCCCAGCTGTCCCCGCAGTGTCCCCAGGGTGTCCCCAGCTGTCCCCGCAGTGTCCCCGCAGTGTCCCCAGCTGTCCCCGCACTGTCCCCAGGGTGTCCCCAGGGTGTCCCTGCAGTGTCCCCAGCTGTCCCCGCAGTGTCCCCAGGCTGTCCCCTCAGTGTCCCTGCAGTGTCCCCAGGGTGTCCCCAGGCTGTCCCCGCAGTGTCCCCAGGTGTCCCCAGCTGTCCCCAGGCTGTCCCCAGCTGTCCCCACACTGTCCCCAGGTATCCCCAGCTGTCCCTGCAGTGTCCCCAGCTGTCCCCAGGTGTCCCCGCAATGTCCCTGCAGTGTCCCCGCACTGTCCCCAGGTGTCCCCAGGTGTCCCTCACCGGTGCTGCCCGGGGTGTAGATGGGTTTGTCGGTCTGCACGAAGATGTGGCCGCTCTGCAGGGACACCAGCAGCACCTTCTCCAGTGTCACCGCGCCCACCCGCGCTGTCACCGCCACAAACGGCTTCCCTGGCGCCTGCGGCAGCGCCTTGGCTGGCACCTGGGGACAGGGGGGACATGGGGACACTGGGGGGACATTGGGGACAGTGGGGACATGGGGGACACTCGGGATATGGGGACAGGGGGGACAGGGGGGACATTGGGGACAGGGGACATGGGGACACTGGGGACAAGGGGGACAGTGGGGACAGGGGGGACACGGGGACACTGGGGACAGGGGACATGGGGACAGGGGGACAAGGGGACATTGGGGACAGAGGGGACATTGGGGACAGGGGGGATATGGGGACACTGGGGATATGGGGACAGTGGGGACAGTGGGGATATGGGGACACTGGGGATATGGGGACAGTGGGGACAGTGGGGATAGTGGGGACAGGGGGACACTGGGGACACTGGGGACATTGGGGATATGGGGACAGGGGGACACTGGGGACAGGGGGACATTGGGGACAGGGGGACAGTGGGGACATGGGGACACTGGGGATACTGGGGACAGTGGGGACAGGGGGGACACTGGGGACACTGGGGACACTGGGGACACTGGGGACACTGGGGACAGTGGGGACATGTGTGGGACAGGAGGTATTGGGCACATCTGTGGGGACAGGGGACATTGGCGACATTGGGGACACTGGGGACTGTAGGGACATTGGAGACATCTGTGGGGACAGGAGCACTGGGGACATTGGGGATATCCACAGGGACATTGGGGACATCTGTGGGGACACTTGGAGGTGGCCATCCCCATGGAAACCAGGAGTGACCACCCTGCTGTCCCCAGCAGTGACCACTGTCCCCAGCAGTGACCATCCCTCTGTCCCCAGCACTGACCACTGTCCCCAGCACTGACCACTGTCCCCAGCAGTGACCATCCCACTGTCCCCAGCAGTGACCACTGTCCCCAGCAGTGACCACTGTCCCCAGCAGTGACCATCCCACTGTCCCCAGCAGTGACCACTGTCCCCCCCCGGCCATTCCCCACCCCCGCTCAGGGTCAGTTCCCGTTTCCTGTCCTGGGCAGTGACCGCAGGGACAGTGACCCGTGCTGGTCACCAGGGGGTGACACTGACCAGAGAGGGGACAGTGACCCGTGCTGGTCACCAGGGGGGTGACACTGACCAGAGAGGGGACAGTGACCCGTGCTGGTCACCAGGGGGTGACACTGACCAGACGGGGGTGGTGACATTGACCAGGGGGGTGACAGTGACCGGGGGGGGGTGACAGTGACCAGGAGGTGACAGTGACCGGGGGATGGTGACACTGACCAGAGGGGGTGGCAGTGACCAGGGGGAGGTGACAGTTACCAGAAGGGGGTGGTGACAGTGACCACAGGGTGGTGGCACTGACCGGGGAGGTGACACTGACCGGAAGGGGGTGGTGGCAGTTACCAGAAGGAAACGGTGACACTGACCAGTGGGAGGTGACGGTGACCAGAAGGGGGTGGTGACAGCGACCAGGGGAGGTGGCACTGACCGGAGGGGGTGGTGGCATTTACCAGAAGGGGATGGTGACGCTGACCGGGGGAGGTGACAGTGACCAGGGCATGGTGACAGTGACCAGAGGGAGGTGACAGTGACCAGAGCATGGTGGCACTGACCAGGGGATGGTGACAGTGACCAGAGCACGGTGACAGTGACCAGGGGATGGTGGCACTGACCAGGACATGGTGGCACTGACCAGGGCACGGTGACACTGACCAGGGTGGGGAGGTGGCCCCGTACCTTGATGGTGGCCGTGGCCAGGGGTGGTGACAGTGACCAGAGGGGAATGGTGACAGTGACCAGGGCATGGTGGCCGTGGCCAGGACATGGTGACAGTGACCGTACCTTGATGGTGGCCGTGGCCAGGGGATGGTGACACTGGCCGGGACATGGTGGCACTGACCAGGACATGGTGGCACTGACCAGGGGATGGTGGCACTGACCAGGACATGGTGGCACTGACCAGGGGATGGTGGCACTGACCAGGACATGGTGACAGTGACCAGGACATGGTGACAGTGACCAGGGCACGGTGACAGTGACCGTACCTTGATGGTGGCCGTGGCCAGGGGTGGTGACAGTGACCAGAGGGAAGTGACCCCGTACCTTGATGGTGACACTGACCAGGACATGGTGACAGTGACCAGGACATGGTGACAGTGACCGTACCCTGATGGTGACAGTGACCGTACCTTGATGGTGGCCATGGCCAGGGGTGGTGACAGTGACCAGAGGGGAATGGTGACAGTGACCAGGGCATGGTGGCACTGACCAGGACACGGTGACAGTGACCGTACCATGATGGTGACAGTGACCGTACCTTGATGGTGGCCGTGGCCATCATGCCCTGCTCCGGGCTCAGCTCCACGTGGCTCCGGAACAGGACCTGGCGCTTCTGGGGGAAGTCCTGGACCAGCAGCAGGGCCTGGGTGGCCGCGGTCACCCCGGGGGCCTCCAGGAGCAGCCGCTCGTCCGTCTCCAGCCGCAGCACGGCCGGGGTCACCATGGTCACCCTGGGGACAGCCGGGGCTGGCCGGGGCTGGGGGGGCACGGGGCACAGGGACCTGCCCCGAAACCCCAAAATCTGCCCCAAAAACACCCAAAATCTGCCCTGAAACCCCCAAAATCTGCCCCGAAACCCCCAAATCTGCCCCGAAACCCCCAAAATCTGCCCCAAAAACCCCAAAATCTGCCCTGAAACACCAAAATCTGCCCCGAAACACCCCAAAATCTGCCCCAAAAACTGCCCCCAAAATCTGCCCCGAAAACCCCAAAATCTGCTCCGAAACACCCCAAAATCCGCCCCAAAAACACCCCAAAATCTGCCCTGAAACACCCAAAATCTGCCCCAAAAACCCCAAAATCTGCCCCAAAAACACCCCAAAATCTGCCCTGAAACACCCAAAATCCGCCCCAAAAACCCCAAAATCCGCCCCAAAAACCCCCAAATCTGCCCTGAAAACCCCAAAATCTGCCCCGAAAACCCCAAAATCCACCCCGAAACACCTTGGGCACCTCAGAAACACCAAAATCCGCCCCAAAAACCCCAAAATCTGCCCCAGAAACCCCAAAATCTGCCCCAAAACCCACAAAATCTGCCCCGAAACCCCCAAAATCTGCCCCGAAACGCCCAAAATCTGCCCCAAAAACACCTTGGGCACCTCAGAAACACCAAAATCTGCCCCAAAACCCCAAAATCTGCCCCAAAAACCCCAAAATCCGCCCCAAAAACACCCCAAAATCTGCCCCGAAACACCCAAAATCTGCCCCAAAAACCCCAAAATCTGCCCCAAAACCCCCAAAATCTGCCCCAAAACACCTAGGGGACCTCAGAAACACCAAAATCTGCCCCAAAACCCCCAAAATCTGCCCCAAAACCCCAAAATCTGCCCCAAAAACACCTTGGGCACCTCAGAAACACCAAAATCTGCCCCCAGAAACCCCAAAATCTGTTCCCACAGCACCCATGGGTGGGGGGGGGGGGGGGTCCCAAAAAGGGGATTCCATGGGGGTCCCTTGAACGGGGGTGGGGGTCCCATGGGTGAGGGTCGGGTTGGGTGGGGGTCCCATGGGTGGGGTTGGGTTGGGTGGGGGTCCCATGGATGGGGTTCCCAATGAGGGTCCCATGGGTGGGGGTCCCATGGTTGGGGTTGGGTTGGGTGGGGTCCCATGGGTGGGGTTGAGGGTCCCATGGTTTGGGGGGGTCCCATGGACAACGGGGTGGGGGTCCCATGGGTGGGTTTGGGTTGGGGTGGGGGTCCCATGGGTGGGGGTCCCATGGGTGGGGTTGGGGTGGGGGTCCCATGGGTGGGTTTGGGTTTGGGTCCCATGGGTGGGTTTGGGGTGGGGTTTGGGTCCCATGGGTGGGTTTGGTTGGGTGGGGGTCCCATGGGTGGGGGTCCCATGGGTGGGGATGGGGTTGGGTGAGGGTCCCATGGGTGGGTTTGGGTTGGGGTGGGGGTCCCATGGGTGGGGCTGGGGTTGGGGTCCCATAGGTGGGTTTGGGGTGGGTCCCATGGGTGGGGTTTGGTTGGGGTGGGGGTCCCATGGGTGGGGGTCCCAATGAGGGTCCCATGGGTGGGTTTGGGTTTGGGTCCCATGGGTGGGGATGGGGTTTGGGGTGGGGGTCCCATGGGTGGGTTTGGGGTGGGGGTCCCATGGGTGGGGTTTGGTTGGGGTGGGGGTCCCATGGGTGGGTTTGGGGTGGGGGTCCCATGGGTGGGGTTTGGTTGGGGTGGGGGTCCCATGGGTGGGTTTGGGTTTGAGTCCCATGGGTGGGGTTGGGTTGGGTTTGGGGTCCCATGGGTGGGTTTGGGTGGGGGTCCCATGGGTGAGGGTCCCATGGGTGGGGGTCCCATGGGTGGGGGTCCCCAGTGTCTCACAGCTGAGCGCGGGCGGGGGTCCCGAGCAGCGCCAGGAATCCGAGGAGGAGGAAGAGGAGAGGACGAGGATGAGGAGGGTGAGGAGGGGGCAGCGCCGGAGCCCCCATGGCCGCAGGGAGGGGGCGGCGACAGCGACAGCGACAGCGACAGCGACAGGGACAGCGACAGCGACAGGGACGGGGACACGGGGGGGTGTGGGGGGGGGTCCCTTGTCCCTTTATGGGGGCGGCCCCGGGGGGGTTATTGGGTAACCCGAGCCCCGCCCCCACCCTGACCCCTCCCCCATGGGTGGGGGCGGGGCGCTCCGGCCACCCCCGGTCACCTTTGGTCACCTTTGGTCACCCCCGGTCACCTGCGGCCACCTGCGACCACTGCGGCCACCTTTGGTCACCCCCGGTCACCTTTGGTCACCTGTGTGGGTCTGGGGGTGACACCTTGGGGACCCCGGTGACAAAGGGGGAGTGGGAGGGGTTCCGGCCACCTGCGGCCACCTGTGGTCACTTTCGGCCACCTTTGGTCACCTCCGGCCACCCCCGGCCACCTTTGGTCACTTTCGGCCACCTTTGGTCACCTCCGGCCACCTGTGGCCACCTTTGGTCACTCCCGGCCACCTTTGGTCACTTGTGTGGGTCTGGGGGTGGCACCTTGGGGACCCCGGTGACAAAGGGGGAGTGGGGGGTGGCTCCGGCCACCTCCGGCCACCTTTGGTCACCTTTGGTCACTTGTGGTCACTTTCGGCCACTTTGGTCACCCCCGGCCACCTTTGGTCACCTGTGGTCACTTGTGTGGGTCTGGGGGTGACACTTGGGGGACCCCGGTGACAAAGGGGGAGTGGGAGGGGTTCCGGCCACCTCCGGCCACCCCCGGCCACCTGCGGCCACCTTTGGTCACTCCCGGCCACCTTTGGTCACTTTCTGCCACCTGCGGCCGCCTGTTGTGGGTCTGGGGGTGACACCTTGGGGACCCCGGTGACAAAGGGGGGGGGTGGGGGGGGGTGGGGGAGGTGGCAGCGGTTGGGGTGGGGGAGGGGCGGGGCGGGGTGGGGGAGGGGCGGCCGCTCCTCATTTCGGGGAAGGAGCGGGCGCGGGGCCAGCGCGGGGCTTGCGACACCGCGGGGACAGCGCGGGGACAGCGGGGACAGAGGGGACAGGAGGGGACAGGAGGGGACAGCGGGGACAGCGGGGACAGCAGGGGACACAAGGGGACAGGAGGGACAGCGCGGGGACGGTGGGGACAGTGGGGGATGTGGGGGACACAGGGACAGTAGGGGACAGTGGGGACAGGAGGGGACAGCGGGGACAGAGGGGACAGCGGGGGAACAGCGGGGACAGTGGGGGACAGTGAGGGACAGGAGGAGACACAAGGGACATCAGGGGACAGCGGGGGACAGCGCGGGGACACAGGGACAGTAGGGGACATCAGGGGACAGTGAGGGACAACAGGGGACACAAGGGGACAGCGAGGGACAGCGGGGACAGTGGGGGACAGTGGGGACAGTGGGGGACAGTGGGGGACCGTGGGGGACAGTGGGGGACAGTGGGGACAGTGAGGGACAGGAGGAGACACAAGGGACAGGAGGGGACAGCGGGCACAGGGGTGGACAACAGGGGACAGCAGGGACAGTGGGGACAGTGGGGACAGTGGGGGACAGAGAGGACAGCGGGGGATGTAGAGGACAGCGGGGACATCAGGGGACAGTGAGGGACAGCTGGAGAACAGTGGGGGACAGGAGGAGACACAAGGGACAGGAGGGGACAGTGGGGACATTGGGGACAGTGGGGGACAATGGGGACATTGGGGACATTGGGGACAGTAGGGGACATCAGGGGACACGAGGGGACAGTGGGGGACGGCGAGGGACAGAGGGGACACTGGGGGACAGCAGGGGACATGAGGGGACACAAGGGGACAATGGGGGACAGTGGGGACATTGGGGACATTGGGGACATCAGGGGACATCAGGGGACATTGGGGACAACAGGAGACACGAGGGGACAGTGGGGGACAGTGGGGACAACAGGGACATTGAGGACAGTAGGGGACATCAGGGGACACGAGGGGTCAGTGGGGACATTGGGGACAGCAGGGACATCAGGGGACAGTGGGGGACAGCAAGGGACAGAGGGGACAGTGGGGGACATTGGGGGACATTGGGAACACGAGGGGACATTGGGGACATTGGGGACAGTGGGGGGTGAGGAGGGTCCTCCTTGACCCCCCCCTCAATGGGTCATGGACAGCTGGGTGACCCTGGTGACCCCTGGAAGGTCCTGGGTGACCTCCTGGAGCTTTGGTGGCACCTGGAGAACGGCGTCACCTCCTGGGCATGGACACCTGGGTCCATCCTGAGACCTTGACAGGTCCTGGGTCCCTCCTGGACACCCTGGGCCACCATGTCCAGAACACCTGGAGCCACCTCCACCGCATCCACACCACCTGGACCCCTTGGGCCACCATGTCCAGAACACCTGGACCCTTCTTGGATCTCCTGGGCCACCATGTCCAGACCACCCAGATCTTTCCTGAACCTTTCCTGGGCCACCACATCCACCCCACCTGGACCCTCCTGGGCCACCATGTCCAGGTCACCTGGACCCACCTCCACCATGTCCAGAACACCTGGACCTCTCCTGGACCTCTCCTGGTCCACCATGTCCAGCCCACCTGGACCCACCTCCACCATGTCCACCCCACCTGGACCCACCTCCACCATGTCCAGACCACCTGGACCCCTCCTGGATCTCCTGGTCCACCATGTCCAGCCCACCCGAATCTTTCCTGGACCTTTCCTGGTCCACCATGCCCAGCCTACCTGGACCCCTCCTCGATCTCCTGGGCCACCATGTCCAGGTCACCTGGACCCCTCTGAGACCACCATGTCCAGGTCACCTGGACCCACCTCCACCATGTCCAGCCCACCTGGACCCTCCTGGGCCACCATGTCCAGAACACCGGGTCCCCTTGGGCCACCACATCCAGACCACCTGGACCCTTCTTGGACCCTCTGGGCCACCACATCCAGGCCACCTGGACCCTTTGGTCCACCATGTCCACCCCACCGGGACCCACCTCCACCATGTCCAGACCACCTGGACCCACCTCCACCATGTCCGGGCCACCTGGACCCTCTGGTCCACCATGTCCAGACCACCCAGATCTTTCCTGGACCTTTCCTGGGCCACCACATCCACCCCACCTGGACCCTCCTGGGCCACGACATCCAGACCACCTGGACCCTTCTTGGATCTCCTGGGCCACCATGTCCAGACCACCCGGATCCTTCCTGGACCTTTCCTGGGCCACCATGTCCAGGTTGCCTGGAGCCCTTGGGCCACCATGTCCAGACCACCTGGACCCTTCTTGGACCCTCTGGGCCACCACATCCAGGCCATCTGAACCCTCTGGGCCACCATGTCCACCCCACCTGGACCCACCTCTACCATGTCCAGGTCACCTGGACCCTCTGGTCCACCATGTCCAGAACACCTGGACCCCTCCTGGATCTCCTCTGGTCCACCATGTCCAGACCACCCGGATCTTTCCTGGACCTTTCCTGGGCCACCATGTCCAGGTTGCCTGGACCCCTCTGAGACCACCATGTCCACCCCACCTGGACCCTCCTGGGCCACCATGTCCACCCCACCTGGACCCACCTCCACCATGTCCACCCCACCTGGGCCCACCTCCACCACATCCACACCACCTGGACCCACCTCTACCATGTCCAGCCCACCTGGACCCACCTGGGCCACCATGTCCAGACCACCTGGACCCACCTCCACCATGTCCAGGTCACCTGGACCCTCTGGTCCACCATGTCCACCCCACCGGGACCCACCTCCACCATGTCCAGACCACCTGGACCCTCTGAGACCACCATGTCCAACCCACCTGGACCCACCTCCACCGCATCCACACCACCTGGACCCCTTGGGCCACCATGTCCACCCCACCTGGACCCCTCTGAGACCACCACATCCAGACCACTTGGACCCTCTGGTCCACCATGTCCACCCCACCTGGACCCTCCTGGGCCACCATGTCCAGGTCACCTGGACCCACCTCTACCATGTCCAGCCCACCTGGACCCATCTCCACCATGTCCAGGTCACCTGGACCCCTCTGAGACCACCACATCCAGACCACCGGGTCCCCTTGGGCCACCATATCCAGACCACCTGGACCCTTCTTGGACCCTCTGGGCCACCATGCCCAGCCCACCTGGACCCCTCCTGTGACCTTGTCCCCTCTCCAAGCCCCAGGAGCTCAGATCCCCCCCCCCACCATGTCCCATGTCCCCCCCGTTGTCCCCTCATGGCCACCACCCCCTTGGTGGCAGCTCCTCCCCGGTGCCACCGCTGGGACAGGAAGTCACCCTGTGTCACCTCCGGAGCGCAGGCGCCACCGCCGTTGTCCTCCGTGTCACCTCCGGGGTGTGACACTTCTGCCTCGGGCCACCAGGCCACCGGGCCAGCCCAGCAGCTCCTCCAGGCCACCGGAGCTTCTCCAGCAGCAGCAGCAGGAGGAGGAGGAGGAGGAGGAGGAGGAGGAGGAGCCCATCGGGGCCATCCGGAGGTGGCGGTGGCACCGGGAGCGGCGTTTGTCACTTGTCACCGGTGGTGGCCCCACGGGGCCCCAGCGCCTCCGGTTCCTCCCTTTCCTGGGGGGAAGGGACCTCCTGAGCCGGGGGAGGTGGCCCAGGAGCGCTTGGAGGGGCTGAGGTTGGTGCAGGGGTCATCCAGGGGTCATCCAGGGGTCATCCAGGGGTCAGCCAGGGGTCATCCAGGACCTGGCCACACAAGGCAAGGCCTCAGCTGGTGCTGGTCTGGACAGGAGTGGTGACACCAGGATCTCACCTCCACCAGGGTCTCATCTCCACCAGGATCTCACCTCCACATCAGGGTCTCATCTCCAGCAGGATTTCACCTCCACCAGGATCTCATCTCCACATCAGGATCCCATCTCCACCAGGATCTCACTCACATCAGGATCTCATCTCCACATCAGGATCTCATCTCCACATCAGGATCTCATCTCCATCAGGATTTCACCTCCACCAGGATCTCATCTCCACCAGGATCTCACCCACATCAGGATCTCATCTCCACCAGGATCCCATCTCCATCAGGG